GCATCGCAGCAGTTAGTCGTTGGAAACAGCTCCCAGCCGTGGCGGCTAGCCTCGCTCAACCGCGCAGAAGGTCAGTGCACGAAAATCAGAGTCGAGGTCACGTGATGAAAACACTGAATAAATTGTTAGCGATTCTTGTACACGACAGTTATTTCTCGGCATCGCATGACAAGAGAAAGTAAATAAATGCGATTTTATTCTTTTGTGCAGTTCAACGGTAACTCTGAACGGGCGTTTCTCTCCCCAGAACACTTTAAGCCAATTTGTTGTTCATGCATTACTTATCGTCAGTATTCGTCTTTTTTTTTGACTTTTGAAAATATGGCCTTTGACTTTCTTGGTTCGTTTGACCTTCCAACTTTATTTTTCATTTACTATGATTTTACTTTTTTTTAGAAAACTTAAATATTTAAAATGGGAGTCGAATGTGTGCTTCCACAAGCTGTCGCACGCAACCGAATATCCACACATGCTGGCACCCAGCTGTATATGACGGCCACTTCTACAGACAAGCGTAATGCTTTTCATCCAGTGTCGTAATCCAAAGTCAAGATTGTAGTATTGAGCTATTGATGGGTGCGCTTACTTTATGATTGCAGTCATGCGTAAAAGAAGACTGCAAAATACGTTGAAAGAAAACAGACGACCAATGGCTTTGACTGCCCACTATGAAGGCCGTTCGTGTAGACTCATCAAATAAACCAAAGCGTATCAAGGTAGCATCCGATTGAGCGAAGACGTGGTGGAATGATATGTAAGCAAGAGTGACTGTGTCATAAGATGTAATAGCAAGAGGCAGTATACAGTCCGCCAATAAAGCACATACAAAACAAATAGCAAAGACGAATCCTGAGCGTTTGGAATACAAGGCAACAGCAAATAATAAAATATTAAATTACGGAGAGGAAGTGGCTACTAAACTCGTGTCCACCAGCCTCGTGCACGCCGGCGGAGGACCGCAACGAGAGCAAAAAACAACAAAGTCGCTTTGGTGAGATACTCGCGAAATATGAAGCAATCACTAATACGCTTCGCCATCCCCATTAGCAGTATTATTAAGGCTAAGAAAGGCGTCTCATCCCATGCAATTGAAGAGAGTGCGTAAGCGCCTCACGAGAGAGTAGCTCTTTCCCATGTTTCTTGCTGTTTCCATTTGCAGAATGGTATTAGGTGCTCCTGCCCTTTGACTTTGCTACGGCTTCCTTCTGTTTATACCGTGGCATTTCGCCACCTACGCACATCCTACGCCGGACCTTTGTCCCTGCCTTTTGTTGGCGGACCTCAAGATAGTTCTTTCCTCCGTTTCGAGTGTTCTTTCCGTCTTACAGAATTAACTTTGGCAAGTGACTGCAGTCTTTGGGTGCTTCTTTCCGTGGAGAGTACGGCTTTGCTGTATGGGTGATCCATTGTTTTGATGGTTCCTTCTATTTTCGTCTCTAAGCATTAGTTCCGCCTTTCGACTGACCAGGTGGGTGTTTCCATGTCTCGTAAAATTTGAGGTCGCTCTTTCCCTTAAAGTGCATTGGTCTTTCCTTCTCAGTACGTCAGGGGAAGCACGTTTCTCTTGCGCACCTTCTTGATTGTCCCAATTTTCAATCGCGCCTTCCACGTACGCGTAGATCTTGAGGCGAAAAGCTTGGTGCAATTGCATGTTTTGACTATTTTTGGCTTTTGAAGGACGATTCAGAATTTGTTGTTCCTTCCTTTTATATGTAAAACTCCTGTTGCTCCTTCTCCTTCTAGGAGAACTCTCTGCCAATACCATTCTTTCAGTCTCGTTTTGGTCGGTTGAAGTTTCCAAAACGTTTCTGCGCACAACGCCTCCTACCTCATTTCCATGACTTGATGCGGACGTTCTTCTTGGGTTGTTCGTACGCTCCTGTCGCCCACTACAAAATGGTTATTTGTTACTCCGGGCACCTGTAGAACAGTACTCCTCGTTCCTTCCCTTGGTAAATTATGGACACTGCTTGTTTGGGTTGCTCCTGTCGTTTCGAATTGATAGATCTTGCTTCTGATCTTTGCAAGGAAAGAACACATTGGTCGGTGATATCTATGTTGAGCAGGCACGACGTTTGGCGACAGCCTCTCTTTCCAATTTCACAATTTGAAACCATCGTGCCTTCCGGCTTCTAGGTAACCTGGTTGTTTCCATGATCGGGCAGTTGATCGATCCTGCCTTGGATGGTCATAAGCTTTCCAGTTGAACGGACAGCAGGAGTTAACGGAAAGAAGCATCGGGCAATGTAGCTGTAAAATAGAATCATAACATTGTTGAAAGGAAAGTGCGAGGCAAAAGTAACAAATTTGTCCCAATCCGTCCAAAACAACCCGGATCAGCCAGCTCTTTACACAAATATAAATATCATTTGGACTGCTCTTGTTTCTCTCGATTTTGCATCTTCTGCCCTTTTATTCTTCTCTCATCTGTTTTGTCTCGATGTCTACCTCGCCGACTTCTTCCCCCTTCCAATTCCCTTTGCCGATCCTCGTATTTGTTCTCAACCTCATGCTCTTCTCCTTGCATTTGTCTTCCTAGTTCACCATGTCTCGACACGCAACCTTGGCGGCCTCGACCCCAGACATTCAGGTAAAGTCCTCCAGCCCTCTGCCCAAGCAAGTCCTGATACATTTGAGCACAATCTAACAGTTTCTCTTTACCCAGTCAATGCCCTCGCCTACCAAGCTCCCAAGAACCCCCAGTTCTCACACGAGCCCTCACTGCCGAACAAGATCCCCCAGCATGGATACAACGACATTGACCATAATACCATGACCAACGTTTGATTGGGTGACAAAAAATTTGAGACTGAAAGATGTCTTCCAGCTGTTGACACAACACCACATCATCCACTGCAAGCACCCAGTGTCCAGTGCATCCCATTCAAGAGGAACTATTGGTTCTAAGGCGCTTGTGGAACCTATTAGGAGTGCCCTATAAGGTGAGAATTTTATACTTCCCCAATGATGAGAACACAAGACTGGAAAAGTCACACATAGGACGCGGTGCTCGAGCACGTCCGATGATTGATTACAAAACAAGCTTTAGAAGAAACTGAGGGGACAGTTAGCATAGGACACGGTGCTCGGGCACGTCCGATGATCGTTGGGACATCGAAGGAACTGGGGGAACAGTTTGCATAGGACGCGGTGCTCGGGAACGTCCGATAATTGTTGGGACATCGAAGGTACTGGGGGATGTTTGGAATACCAAGGCTTTTCTTCGCTGAATTGCAGTCTTTCGGTTTCATTCACCCCCAAAGATGACAAAATTGACTGAAAGGTCATACATAGGACGCGGTGCTCGGGCACGTCCGATGATTGATTTTGGGGCCAGTTTGACATGCCAGAGATTTCTTTGCAGTGTTCTTTTCGCCTCTCACTAACGAAAATGAACGACAGTCAATACCATGCATCAACTGCAACTATGCAGCGTCCATTGCATCCTCTTTAAGAACGCAAGGTTCTGATGTCTGCGAGCTGATCATGGCGATGCCCTCAAGGTGAGACTTTTATACTTCCCCAATGATGAAAATCCACGACTCAAAGAGATTGAGTATAAAACATGCTTTAGATGAATCCGAGGGGCCAGTTTGAAATGCCAGAGATTTCTTTGCAGTGTTCTTTTCGCATCTCACTAACGAAAATGAACACAGGTGCGAAGACGGTCTTTTATACACAAAACAGCAAGGTTCGAGGTCTGGTGTTACGGACTAATAGCCAATGTCTAGTTTGGCATGTTAGTCATTCTAGTGTGTGGTGTGATAGTGCAGGCGGGGATGAATGTGTGAAGAAGTGTGCAAGATACAATGGATGACTACACATTGTGGCAAAGATGCGGATTCATGGAAAATTAGGTTCGACGTATAGGATGCAAATTCTAGGCTTTCTCTCCATTATATTCCACTCATTGTTCTTTTGTGTTTTTTCAGCCACTCTTTTCTCAAGCAGATAGCTTTGCGTCGAATACTATTCCCATCGTGGCAATATCATCATATCATTATATTAGAGTTCACGGTGCTAACAAAAAAAAAACACGGATAGAGGCGTGCGGAGAGTGGACATGAGCGAACGCTAGGCGCACATATTTCTGGCCATACGAAGTTTCGTGTGTTACTATCCAGCCATCCCTTAACACACAATTACATTAAGCTGAGGACACACCCAAGTGGCTGCAGGTGTTCAGGTGTTCAGGTGCTATACCGTGCGGCCTGCAATGACTTTGACATCGACGCCGACGCCAATCATATTGCTGGCTCAAAGGGCTCGACCGCCGACTTCGTCAATACAGCACTACTGGTCTGTTATGTCCCGTCGATGAGACATGCTAGCACGACCAGTTGTTTATCTCGGCCTGGCAAACTAACAACCATCTTACATTGTGGGACGAAATTACAACACCCTCTGACCGTGATTGCTGTATTTACTTTCTCCAGTGTATTCTGTATTTTCAGGGATCCAATCACCTCTCCTCTTTCAACGTTCAGCAAACGTCCGGAGCTCGGAGGATCCTTTTGCCGCTTTTCCGTTTTGGGCCATATTCAGGTAAAAACTGGGTCCGTCTGAGACGCCGCTGTAAAACGGCCTTCAGCTTCCGGCGGTCCCACTTCTACCGCCCACCACGGGCCTTGGTCTACATTTTACAGGCGGGGCAACATTTCTACAGTGGGAGAGTGGACGGTCGAGAGGGTGGCTTTTCGAGTATCTGTCGCCAACGCGCCAGCACCAATTGTAAGCTTGACGTCGCCACAAAGCTGCCTACTGCCTAAGCTAGAAAGCACCACTCGATACTAGAGAGATTCGGCCAGTTCTTGACATTTGACGACACTACGTCGTACTTCCTCACAAATCCCGTACGGAACAACGTATTTCACAACGTCCTCACCTCTCTCTTCCTCGCAATCTTTACCGACACAAACAGCTCAGCTGCCTCTCGACTACCAGACAGCTACGACACGTCCTATTCCCCCACTACCGCTGATCATCAACTGCTTGCCACCATGGCAGAAGGCCTTTCCAAAGATGAAATCATCAGCTCTTTTTGCGGTATCACGGGCGTCTCGTCCTCCGAGGTGAGCTTTTTTAAATGGCGCTGCTCCGCTGACGGCGAGAACACCAACCGCTGACTTGTTCGCCTAACGTCTCCAGGCCACCGACTTTCTAGATGCGGCCGACTGGGACGCTGATGCCGCCCTCGCCGAGTTCTATCAGAGCCAAGAAGATGCCACTTCAGGAGCAGCTGCTGCTTCTGGGGCCGCTGCCCCAGCTGCAGGCGCGGCCGCCGCCACCGATGCTTCCTACACAGGTCCCCGCACCCTCGATGGCCGACCTGCCCCGCAGTCGTATTCCAACTCCGGGTCCTCCTCCCGCGCCGCCTCGACCTCCTCCCGGCAACCCCAGCCGAAGCGAAAGGGTTTGATGACAATGAGCTCGCTGCAGAACAGCAGCGGCAGCGGCAGTGGCCACGGCCATGGGCATGCCCACGACGACGACGACGACAACTACGATAGCGACGACGAAGACGACAAGCGCGGCCGCGGCGACCTGTTTGCCGGTGGCGAGAAGTCTGGCCTGGCTGTCCAGGACCCGACCGTGGGCGGTCCCTCGAGCGATGCCCGCCGCGTCATGCGCGATATTGTGGCCAAAGCAAAGGCGTACGTTCCTTCCGTCCTTCCCCAGGACTGTTCGATGTAACATACCCAGCATACATTGTATCCCGCTGACCATGTAAAGAAACAGACAAGCCGGAGAGACGCCTGGCCCATCGCAGCCGCCACCGTCGCGCTTTCGGGGCTCGGGCCAGACGCTGGGCGGCGAGGGTGCCGAATCACGCACGATCCCGGATCCGGCAGCGGCTGCGTCAGGTCGGCCGAGTGCGGCAGCAGCGGCCGACGCACCCGCTGAGCAGCGCGTCCTGCATATCTGGCAGGACGGCTTTAGCGTTGACGACGGCCCGCTGCACCGCTACGACGACCCCCAGAACGCCGCCGATCTGCAGATGATCCGCCAGGGCCGCGCGCCGCTGCACCTGATGAACGTTCCCTTTGCCCAGGCCGTCGACATCAAGCTGCACGAGCATGAGGAGAACTGGCATCAGCTGCCGCGTGTGTACCGTCCCTTTGCGGGCGAGGGCCACCGTCTGGGCAGCCCTGTGCCGGGCGCCCCGACGACTGCTGCTGCTGCTGGTAGTATCGACGCTGTGGCCTCGGGTCCTGCGTCGTCCTCCGCGCCAGCCGCAACCACGTCGAATCCCAACCCCACCACCCACGTCGACGAGAACCTCCCGACGGTCAACCTCCGCGTGCAGCTGCCCGACGGCACCCGGCTGCCGGCGCGCTTCAACACGACCCAGACCATAAGCGACGTCTACGACTTTGTGCAACGGGCCCTACCGGCCTCGTCGACGCAGGGCCGCGCGTGGGTGCTGGCGACCACGTTCCCCAACAAGGAGCACACGGACAAGTCGCTGGTGCTGGGCGAGACGGACGAGTTCAAGCGGGGCGGTGCAGCGGTTGTGAAGTGGGTGTAGAGAAGGTCGGCCCTTAGTGAACTTGAATAGGAAATGGGAAGGTGCGGTATGGTACGGACGGTGCAACAGGTCCACGTGTTCAATTCTTTTTCGTTTTCATTTTCATGTTTCATGATACATGTGTAAGGTGAAATACATAGACCATGCTACCCAAGCTGTTTTCGCCCGTTGATAACATTGTTTTTGGTGATTTGCGTTGATGTCATGGACAACGTCCTCTTGATGCACAAGTACCTGTGTTGTTTCTAACTACGACGTAGAAAGAGAAATGCAAATGCAGTATGCCATGATCGTTATCGACACCAGCTCGGTGCTAATTTGTTCCCAAAAATACAATATATGCCCAATGAAAGTCCGTGTCCCAAACGCCACATTGCTTCTCTTGTCTGTCCCACAATCTGGGTATCGTTTGTGTGCCTTTGCCTCCTTTCCGTCACGCGTACACGGCTGACGATCCATTTCCACCGTATTGCTGTTGTTGCTGCTGCTGCTGCTGCTGTTGACCCGGTTGATTTGGTTGGCTTTGCTGCTGCTGCTGCTCCTTGTTTGTCGTCACACCCACTGGCACGTCCAAGAACTCGAATTGCTTTGCCGCGATCTGCGTGTTGAGCAGGGCTGCATTGAAGCGTGCCTCGCCGGGTGGCAGCACCACCAAGATGTAGGTGTTGGTGGTGAACTTGCCGATAAACAGGTTGAAACGCACACCGAAGCGCAGCTCAAAGAGCTTGAACTGCTCGGCGTTGCGCGGCGTGCCAGTGTAGCGCGCCAGCGAGCTCTTGAAGCTCTTGAGGATGTTGCTCATGCGCTCGAAGCGGTCCTCGCAGGGGTTGGACGCACCCTCGGCCGAGGTCCAGTGCGAGACAACCAAAAAAGAGGTGCGCTCAAACAGCAGCATCTCCTCGGCCTCGAGCAGCCGGCCCAGGTGGCCCAGGTTCGTCTCGATCAAGGCCAAGTTGGGCACCAGGTCGTGGATGATGCTGGCCCACGCCTTGTAGAGCGACTGGTCCCAGATGCTCGTGGCAAACGGCGTCAGCTCGAGGTCGGGCAGGTCGTCGTATTCGCCTCCCATGGATGCATCACCACCACCGCCGCCGCCGCCGCCACCCTCCGCAGCACTGCCCCCGTCCGACAGGACCTCGCCGCGCGCATTGTCCCGCACGTTCTGCAGGTACTCGGCCGTCTTCTGCCGCACCAGGCGCACGCGCTCCTCGAAGACGGCCTCGCGCGACGCCGCCACAATCAGGTCCATCTTGTGGATCAGCACAAACACCTTGGCACCCGACGAGTACTGCGTCAGCGCCGAAATCACCGACACGTACGTGGCCAGGTCCCGCTCGATGTCGCGCGACTCAATGTCAAAGACGTAGATGAGCACGCCGACGTTGCTGAACACGTGCTGCCGCTGCTGCGACAGGTAGTTCTCCGTAAACGCCTCCTGGCCGCCGCAGTCCCAGAGGTTGAGCGTTAGGTTGCCCAGGAACTTGACCTGCGAGAGGTCAATGTCGATGGTGGCGCCCAGGCGCCGCGTGTCGCGGGCCAGGTAGCTGCTGAAGATGATGGAGCGCATCGACGACTTGCCGGAGCCGCTCTTGCCCATGAGCAGCACCTTGCGCTTCTTTGGCTTCTTCACCTCGCTGCGCACGTCGGCGCCAAAGAAGGGGATGCTGTCGGCCATGCTCGCGGGCACGTGGCGTGGTGCGTGAAAAAGACGGGAGATCCGGCGAGAGGTGTGCGATCGGGTGAGAGAGTTTGGCGGGGCGAGCCGTCGGAGCGTCGGAAGAGCTGCGCAGCCAGCTATTCGTGGACGGGCGCTCAGGCTGGATGCAGTGGTCGTTTCGCTTTGCTATCGTTGCATTCGTTGGCCGTAGTTCGTTGTTCGTTGGTCGTTGTTCTTTGTGGTCGTGTAGGTGGCCAGGAAGGCTTTGGGATGTTGAGGTGAGCTTGAGCTTCGTTTGTAAAGGCGGGGAACATGAGAAGACTAGTCGTGGTTTTGGTCGGTTTGCCTGCTGAGGCCCGTGCAGGAAAGCCATACGCTGGAGTGTGGGTAGTGGGGCTGCTGAGAGAACCATGTAAAACCAGTAAAGCCCACTGCGATGACAGCGCTGGGGGCTGGTTCCCACGCGGTATTAGCTGCCAAATACGGCAGATTGAGGCGCTATCGACACTAGTTACAGTGGGCCTAACGATAGTCTACATCAACAACTTCGAAGCAACTGTCAAAGTATCATATCGTCAACTAGGACTCATCAAATTGTACATTTTGAAATCCCTTGTTATTCCTTGTTATCCCTTGTCAATTCTCACATGCTTCTTCCTCTTCCAAATTATACGACGATATTCCTATGAAATGTGCGCTTCATGTTATGCGTTTAAAGGAGGACTCGACCTGTCTCGCCCCTTCCTCTCTCGGCAACCTCACGCCTCTTCCTAATTGTGCATTCTTTCACGGCCCACACATTTTGTAAGTCTCACTTTTCTAGACAGCTTTTCCCGTGGTATCTTTACCTGTCTCCTACACCATCATCAACATCCAGGCCTCTCACCCCAAGGGACAGCCGCCTGTCCGTATCGTGCGCAGCCTCTCCATTTCTACCGCCGTCTCTTCCTTCCCCACGCCCATGAAACTGAACGGTCCCAGGTCCGATACCAAGAATCCTTCTGGTAAATAGGTTCTGCCCCCTTTGCCTCTGCCCCTTCCATCCTCCCTGTGTGCTCCCCGTCGATCATCTTTATCTGCAGGTCGCACATCTCCCGGCACCGCGCCACCGACGGCCCGCCTCAGCAGCGCCATGGGCCCCCAGCGATTCCACAGCGTCGGCGCGTTGTACCATGGGTGTGTCAGGTACTCGTTGAGCTGCACACGGCCCGTAGCTGGATTGGCCTGAGCACTCGCCACGCGATAGACGCCAAAGCGTGGCAGCGTGAGATGCCGGAGCACAAACCGGCGCACGGCCAGGGCGCCGTACGTCACGAGGCACGCAGCCAAGCCAGGCGTCTCGTAGGCAAAGGCCGCACGCATGCGGTCGCTCATGAGCACGGTCAGGGCCTCGACACAAAAGGGTTCGAGGGCAGATGGTACGAGCTGCAGCAGCATGGCCGTCAGGCGCCGGGCGGGCGGGATGTTGGCCGGGTGCAGGCCCATGGCGACGCGCTCATACTCCTCCGCCCATGCGGATATGGCGTCGACAAACTCCAGACCGTCGCGCCAGCTGCGGTGGGCGCCCTTTTCGAGGCCCTGGGCCCGGGGACCCGTTTCGCTGGTTGGCCCGTACTCGATCCCCATGGCTTCCCCGAGGCCCATCCAGAACACGCCAATGGCACAGCGCTCTAGGTCGCTGAGCGGGCGCCATTCGTAGCGGCCGATGAACCGGATGGGCTCCGTGACGCAGGCGGCCAGGGTGTACAGCAGGTCGGCGTTGCGGATCTGGCCGGCCGCGCGGTACTTGCTGTGCAGGTAGTTCATGCGCGCAATGGCCTGCAAGGCCCGCACAGACGTCGGCGGGTTGACCGAAAACTCGCTGATGATTGCCAGCGTGTCGGCGGCGCGCTTGGCGGCCGGCAGCGGGTCGGTCACGGCTCGCGTGGCGCCGACGACGCGCGAGATGGTGGGGATGCCGTACGTCTTGAAGATGCCGAACTCAATGGCCAGGGTGTACATGAAAGGGAACTCACACTGCTGGATGGTAGCCACGATCGCCTGGGCGTCGTTGGTGGTCATGGCGGCGAGAGACGCGCGATCTGTGTATACGTGGTCGAACTGGCGGTGCATGGCGGCAACGCGGCGGAAGCGGAGCAGGCGGCACACGGCCACATAGACGGCGAGGCAAGTCAATACGACGACAAGGGAGGGTAGGCTGGCGACCGTCGATGGGAGACCTATGATGTGATGCCGCAACATGCGGGTGGCTGCTTTACCGGCCCCAGCTGTTTCGCTGTTGTGTCCCATGATTGTGTCTATTGATGATATTGCGTCGCGGAACCTCAGAGTGTAAAATAATGATGGCGATGAGACTAGAATGCACGACTGGAACGAACACAGCGTCCTTGTCGCGGGACCAAGAAAAGAACGAGGAGCAACATCTGTCACCCCATCACCGTGCTGCTTCCACGAGATGATGGCGTTCACTCGGTGTTCATTCTGTAATTATCGGGCATCTACTGATGCAGGTATATGTCAGATGGGTGTGCAGACGGGTTGGATCAGATCATGTGGTTCGCGCCCGTTCTGTCCATTCAGCTGTGCAGATTTCTGCATTCTGCATGTGCGCACAAGGTGTCTCGCATCTGCAGCGCCCGAGATCCTGCCTTGGTTGCTGTGTCTTCCGCGTTCAAATGTCCCTGGAAGGTTCGTTGCATCCTCTGGAACGACCGTGGCGTTCTGTCCACAGAGTTACTGTGGGTGAAAATCCCGCAACGATTTGGTCGCCGAGGCCACTCATCTGTGCAGTTTATTCTCTCCTGGCCCTCCTCCTCCTCCCTCTCTCCTCTCTATCGTGCATGTACGTTCCGCCCGCTCAGCTCGGCCCATTGCAACCATACTTCCTGCACAATGCTACAGACCAGAGGCACATCGCGTTCCGAAGGTAGTTGTGTGCAAATGTGCTCTCAGGAATCCGTCCATGAGACAACAGCGGACCACGACCATATATCATTGCGAAAACAAGCCAAGCACAGGAGATTGAGCAGGACACGATACGCAACACAAATTTCTCGCATTTGTGCCATGTACTCCATACAACGAAACGGAAATGCGGCATGCGCTGTAGTGGCTATACGTGCCATTAATTAAACTCTCCGTCTCGTGTGAGCTTCAGACCTTGCCGTCGACAAGTCCCTGTCTCCCTGACAAAATGAACTACTTCACGTCCACGATGGAGTGCGTGTTAGTGGCTTTCTTACAGCACAGGTATATATGGGACAGGGCAATGCATGTTATAGCATTTTGATCTTGTTTTTATTATATTTGTATCTTTTTTGGTTTCCTTCCCTTTCTTTCTCATTTGTACACGTACAGCCAGAGCTTAATACTTTCTCCCCGCCAAAAAACATGTTTTGGTTCAGGGATCTCCGGACGTCTCCTCTCCACCTCCAAGACCAAAGTCAAAATCCGCATGTAGAACAAATAAAATATGCAGCAAATGCAGCAAGTTGGGTCCCATTCCTCGTCATCGTTTCTCTCTGCACCTATCCGTCATCCTTTGCACCATGCGACAAAGCATCTACCATAGCAGAGCCAGGCCCAGGCTGCCAATCACGCTGGCCACCCAGATGGCATTCGTCGCCTTGGCAATGTCCGCCTTGGCGAAGCCCTTGACGGCCGCGTCCCACACGAGGTGGCGCACGCCGTTGAACGAGTGGAACAGGAAGGGGAAGGCCGCCAGCGTCTTGAGGACCACCTTGGCGGTGACGGGCAGGCTGGCGGCAAAGGCCACGAGGCTGGCCGACTCGAGGTGCCAGCCGAGCAGCGGGGCGGCCAGGTAGGCGAGGGAGCCGGCATACAAGGCGCCGGCGTAGGCCATGCCGGTGTAGCGCTGCATAATGGAGGCGCCGTACCAGATCTGGGCCGGGTCGTAGATGGTGAGATGGGGCGCGACGGGGCGGTTGAGGCGCTGGGAGGCGAGGACCTTATTGGCTTCGTCGTGGGAGAGCTTCTGGGTGGTGATGGCGCGGGACTGGAGGGTCTGGGCCTGGAGGGCGGAGCGGACGATGAGGCCGCGGGCGATGCTCGGGGCGACGAGGGCCATCGAGGGCTTGGCGGCAGCTGGGCGGCGGTGTGTTAGCAAGAGCTGTCTTGGAGAGGATTCAACAGCCACAGTAGTTCGTAGCGGCATCCAATGGATCGTCACCATCATCATCACCACGTGGCAGCAGGGGAGTCAAGATACGAACCTCTCCGGAGCGCCATCACGCCTACCCGCTGGGCGTTCATTGTGCTGTGTGTTGGAGGGAGGAGGGCGATGGAGGGGAGATGGATAAAAGAAAACGACAAGAGCCTGTCTGTCGTTATGTCGTCGTGGTCGCGAAAGGAAATGGGTGAGAAACAGCCGTGTGTTGTGCTTTGCGACAAATTTGGTGATGCATTGCTTTCCAGTTACAATGGTCTCCAGTTCCAATTCGGCTTGGTTTTTCGGGCTTCCTCGGCTGTCACAAGCAGTTTCCTGGAGCCTGGGGGTTGTTGTGGTGGCCAACCTGGGGCCATTTGGGGCGCTGGCTCCAGCGCGCGAGTCAAACCCGCCAATCACCGCGCCGCCGATTCTGTCCGCTCGTCATCAGTACCTGTTCCCCACCAAATGGCAGAGCACATGCTTGACCACCGCAGAAAAACGGATCAATATTTGGCCTATTTGCTGTGGTCACGTGTATAGTGGAGAACTGTGGGGACCGGAGAGCTCTCTCCATAACAGTGGAAATTTTTCGTGATCTCGACTTGGAGGTCTCCTTTCTCCCTCCTTTCTTCTTCAGATAGATAAACGAGTGCTCTTCTGCACCCCTGGCTCGGGTCTTGTCCGCGGCCAACGGGTACGCAGCGGAGAAGGGAGAGGCATTCTGTCTCTCTTTTTCTCTGTCTCTTGGGGGCGCTCGGAGAAGAAAGTGCGATCCTTCGTTAATCTCTGTCATCAGCCGTCCATCTGATGATTGTTTCATTTTTGAGATCTACATTGCTGCGTCTTTTGCTACGGTGCCTTTATTCTTTTTATTCATTGTCGAATGTGATTTGTTTCTGTCTGCTCGATGGGTGACTTAGGCTCACGGCATCGCTATGCTAGCCAAACGCCCCGAGCCCTCGCGATTGACGTCCAATCCTTTCCAATCATAAACCTTCGCTTGTCTAGCCGGCCTCAATTTTTCCATCTGTTTCACGAGGATTCTCCTCCATGCCGGCCAACCGCTCAGTAGAACGCATTCATCGCGCCATTGACAATCGACTCGACCGACCGTTCGCGTGCGTTTTTGAACGAGGCTGCAAGTCAGTGACCGGCACAGCAGTGAAACGGGGGACGGGGAGACGGGGGAAGAAACTCACTCAGATCACGGAGCACAATCTCGCGCATCGCCTCGGGCAGCAAGTCAATCCGCGCTGGCCCGTTGACGTCACAAAACACGCCCCGTTCGTTGAGCCACCAACGCTCCAGCAGCGTCCGCAGACACACGGCAAACAGCTGTCGGTCGCCCAGCACGCGCGCCGTGAACAGCACGTACGGCCAGTCGGCCGGCGCCACGATGGCACCATCGAGAGTGCGGCGGCAGCGCGGGTTGATGGTGACGGCGCGCATCCAGGTCTCGGCGCGGCTCCGGAAGCGGCCTGCGCCCGCAGGTCCTTGGGGCGACGACGGCATGGCGACGTCGTACTGGTTGTTGGTGTGCAGCAGCTTGTGCTCCTCTTCGCCCTCCAGGACGCCCAACTGGTGGGCAAACAGCGTGGCGTAGGCCAGCACGCGGGCCGGCAGCTCGGGCGGAATGGCCGGTGGGTGTACTTTGGCACGGGACGGCGTCGTTGCCGGAGCCAGGCCGGGGCGTAGGTGTCCGCTTCCGCTTCCGCTTCCACTGCCGTTGTTGTTTTCGTTGTTTTTGCTATTGCTGGTACCGTCGGAATCGCTCCCATGCCCATGGTAGTAGCTAAACTCGGGAGGCGTCTCCACCTCCATGTGCAGCACCTGCAGCAGCCAATACATGCCGAGCACGGCCGCCTCGTCGGTCGCCGATAGATCGTAGTCGTTGGTGCCCTGGTGGCACACGCGAGGCCAGTTGTGGGCAATGCTCTGCATCCGCCGAGCCGAGACGACAAAGGCCGTCGTGCTGGGCGAGCGATCCAGGCGGTTGAGGTGTACAAAGACATGCGCGGAGCCACCCGGCTGGACGACGACTTCGGTCACGCCGTCGTTGACGTCGTCGCCTGAGGTGCCGCCGGTCTGGGAATCGGCAACGGAGCCAGAGCAGGCTTCACTGGCGCTGTAGTCGCAATGATCGAACGCTCCGTCGTCCTCGTTGTCATCGTTGTCGTTGTCGTCTTGGTCCGTATCGTCGGCCGCTTTCTTGTTGTCGGCTGTATTCTCGTTCAAACTCTCCACCACCTGGTCCCATGGCATCAGGCGAGGTCCCGCTTTCTTCTTCGTCTTGGCCTTGCTTCCGCCGTCCCGGCGGCCACGCTGGTCGTGCTCCCGGCTGCCAGTTCGCTGCGTCTTATGCACCGGTTTGGTGCCTTCTTCTCCCTTGCTTTTCTCCTGCTCCTGAGGCGCGCCGGGCCAGCAATTGAACATGGTGCCGCCACTGCCCGCGCTACCGAGCAGCTGCGGTTGTGGCAGGGCCGCAAACGGGGGGTTACTGGAGATGGGTGCGTAGAAGCCACCGAGATTCTGCGTCGTAAAGTAGCCTGTCGAGCGGGGCGCACCGTACCCCGGCGGCGGGTGTGCCTGCATATAGGGCGGATACGGGTAGGCCATGGTCGAGAACGCAGGGCTCGACGTCGACGGACGTTCTCGCCTTGTGAGACTGTCGTTCGTGGTCGAGTCGACTCTGTGATGAGACAAGTGCGAGTTGGTTGTCAATATGCGTGGTTGTAGATGTCAACGTGCGAAACCAAAAAAGGAAGAGGAGGGAATAATAGGAGGGAGAAAATGCCACGATGCAAAATAAAGACACGCGTAGGTTCGCGGAGTGGCTCGCAGCGAGGAAAGAGAGAAATATAAAGACACTGCCGTTCTATCGACGCGCGTTGCTCTGCAGTGCTGCACAAGATTTCTTGTGTTGTTTTATGTTTGCTGCTGCTGACTTGGAGAGAAGAGGAGCAAAAGCGAAGCTGCAGTTGGCAGGCCACCCGTCTTTGTAGGACAAGATTGGGTGCGAGGCGGGAGTTACAGGTGAGGTGAGGAGAAAGTGATGCAAAAGTCATACAGATGCTCTACGGCAACGGCAAAGCAAAGGAAACACAGTCTCTACGAGGACATTCTCAAGGTACGCAGCTCGAGGTCTCAATAGATGACAATTGTTAAGCAAGGCCTATTCTATGTTTTCAATACTGAAAATAATAAGTAGTCAATTAGTTTAAAGGTCTGGTATTTGACGCACAGCTTTTTTTCTTCGCGTTGGATTTGATCATGCGTTCTCTTTTATTTTATTCCACACATATTGCAACTTATCGAAAAGGAGCCAAATTTTTTTTTTAAAAAATAAAGAACGAAAACAGAAGTAAAAAGAAAGTCTTGCATTTGATTGGAACTGATTCTAATATCGTTGGTCTGTAGTTTGTTCTGCCATGGTCCATTGTTTGTTATCTTCCTCCTCTGTTGTGTAGCCCATTTTCTCCCATCGTGAACGTAAAAATAACGCCTGCGAAATAAGCAAATCTTTCTTGTCGTTGTCCGACTGTGGCCCCGCGGTGCCATTTTCATACCCGGATCTCTTTTGTGAACGCCCATTGTCTTCCGTGACTCGCAAACAGTCATCATAAGAATTGTCCCGTAATTGTCGCAGAATAAAATGTGAAGGATAACGCAACGCAGAAGATGAATCCCAGATCAGTAGCAGCAGAAAATAGCAAAACGAACCATGTCCCATGAAATCAACGAATATGAGAGCAAAAACAGACATGAATAAGAACACACATAAAAAAAACTCGAATCCAGCGAGCACGCAATAGCAATATCAGAAAGATCAGTTGTAGTGCTGAAGAAGCGACAAGGGCGAAAAGTCCGGGTTCAGCCCCTGGCCCGTAAAGGCAGACCGGAAATCCGCCAGAAGCTGGCCATAGGGCTCTTTGTGGACGAGAACGACTTCTCGCATGTAATGCATCAGGCCAGAGAGGTCAAAACTGTCACTTGTCAGCGCCGCTTGGCTCATGAACCGGTACTTGAGAGCGCACAAAAAGTGGAAGCGAGTGACGTCGATAGGCTCCTGCCAGGCTTCGTCGATGGCCAGTTCGACAATCTGCATGATGATGTGGACGATGCGGCGGCGAACAACAATGTTGGAGACTGATAAAACGAAGCGTTAGTATTTCTACCTCTGTCATAACAAAACCGTGCTCGAGTTTGGTTGCCCACTTACAGAGAGGGCGATGGAGCACATACGGCAGATATGGTGCCACTGTGCTCAGTTTCTTTAAACAGTTGGAAACCTCTTCTCCCGTGAAATTGAGTGCCAGAAAAGGTTGGAACATGCTGAAAAGATCGTAATTGCTCGTCGAAAACGCTGCAGCGTGGAGTCCAAAAATTGTCTCCTCTAGAGACGACACCTCTGCATTCAGCAGCGCCCACCGAATGAATCCATCGATGCGAGGTCCCGCTCCACCAAGTTCGGCGGCAAGTTCCACGACGCTGGAAACGGTACGCATGTCTATATACTCGGTCGAAGCTTCTGTAGAAGTGTAGTGAATTTGGTCAAAGAGCCATTTGGCCGCGTATTTGGCGGTCTCGAGATCTGAGGTGACATAAATGTTCATGGGCGCGCCGGGAATTGGATACTCCTCATTTTTGATCGCTTCCCACCCAGGCAAATGGCTGGCCATGCTCTTTTCGCAGACCTGAAAATCGACAACACCCTGAAATCGGCCGGGGAACAAGCCATCGTAAGAAGTATCGTGCACAATTCGAAGTCGGAAATCAGCACAGCCAAAGTTGCCGGCATGGCGCGACTCTGTGCATCGGTGGCCACCAAACGGATTTCCAGCGGAACTGAATTGTATATTAGTATCTTGATGGAAAAGGGGTTCCAGAAAAGAAACCTACTGGGCTGTTGTGGTCACCGGAGACGTTCTGTGGCTGGCCCCCGTCGTCTCCGTCCGGTTTTCGGGGAGTGGGAGATCAGAATTGAATTCGGGCCAAAGGACAACCGGCTGGTCGACAGGGACACGCTCAAAATGGGATTCTCCTGCTAGGATGATTGGATATGAGCTGCAGCCCACATCTGGATTACACCAAGCATCAATGTCTGGCTGATACCAGTCGTCGCTTCTGATGTGAGTATTCTGTGTTGCAACATTAGGGGAAGCCATGCCGTTTTGCATGTCGACTGAAACAGTTTGAACCGGTTGCGCAGTGCTAGGAGGAACAATCGAAGGCCTTGCAGTATCATCGAGCCGGAGAGCGAAGATTCGCTCTTGGGCCTCTCGGAATAACGGAGCCAGACCCGCACCGCAGTCTTCCAGGTCTCCTCCAAAGGCAAATCTGCCGACAGCTTTTGGTTTAATGGGCGGCAAACTGACCTCGTGGTCAAGGTTGTCTGGTGTGCGAACTTGTCTGCCGCGAGCTTGAGAAGTAGTTGTGTTAGAAATGGACTATAAAACCAATTGAATGCTGATAGAAACTCACCGTCGTCCCAGATCGAAGGCCCGTCTTCAAATTTGTCGAACACCCAATCTGAGTCTGGCGTGTGAATGACGGGGCTAGACATAGGTGACGAGCTGAGTTGATCCTGACCCGTCATGTTGAACAGAAAGAAAAAACAACGAGAAGGGAGAAAAAAATACAAAGAAAGCACGAAAGGTGGACAAATCAAACAGTGTCGTAGAAGATAAAGCGAAACGAAAATGGAAAACTGAAAATAAAAAAAAAGTACTGAGAAGTCAAGCGGGTGCAAATGAGAATAAAACTAAGGAAACGCAGAAAGAACTGAAAGAAAAACGATTCAAGCTGTGAGAGGAAAAGCTGAAGCGCCGGCGAACAAGCGACCCGACAGAGTGGTTGCAAGGTTGTCCGAGTGACAAAGTGAGAAATAGTTGAGATGAATCTGAGAAACCCGCGAAAACGACCAGATTATTCACCGTAAAGCCGCACAAGGACGAAAAAAATCCCAGGAAAAAAATTTAGCGAAAATCAAGGGTAGAATAGAAACCCGAAAACAATAGAACGACCTGTACTCTATGGACGAAAATGCTAATATGAAACGCGACTGGGGGAGGCCCGAAAAGATGTCTAGTCGCAACGATGATGGTAAGAGAAGAGAGGATATGGTGACCCGGTGGAATCAGAAGAGCGAAACCCAGAAGGACACAACGCCCGAAAGAAAAGACGACAAAAAAGACACACGAAATAAGCGAAACTAAACAAAACAAACGAAGAAATCAATACAGGAAATTCGTAAAACGGACTGGGGGATATTGTCGGGGATAATGCTGGCCTTGCGCAGTTTTGCATTGAATTGATCACATCTCTGATTTCGAGAGCATCTAGGCGACGGGCAAGATGGCGAGGAAATAGAAAAAAAAATGAAGAGAAAAGAAGACGAGATAGGAAGCGCGGCAAATGCAATTTGAGCTGGGAGAGACCCGAGAAAAAGGCAACGCGAACGGCTACTTTTGTTTGACACTGCTTCGAGAAGGTGCAGTTTGGTGTAGTTGCCGTTTTGGGAAATACGTGATGTGGGCAGCATGATAGCTCTTTCCCTCTAGAGTTGCTCGAAGATACACGACGCGACAACGTGGTGCTTTGGCACGCGCCACGCTTGCGCAGCCTAAACCTTCCGGGAAGCTTAATTTCGAGATGCATCGCGTAACGTCTTTGCTTGGGATGTACATTTATAAGAACGCATGGCGATGTCGTTCCCCTTCAATCCTCTTCCCAGCAGGACATCACGTGATAGTAAACATCGTTTGGGCGATAAATAGCTGAACTGATCACTGTCTGCCTTGGGCGTACTTTTGTCCTCCCTTCTTGCAAACTCAGACACAACATAAAACAGTCGCCCAATTTGTGTCAATTATGCCCTTTGTTGTGTCCAGGCAACCCTCAGACATGTCACTACCACGATTTCCGGGCGTCGGCCGCCTCTTTTCGGCGTCGGCGTGGTCCGCAAGGCCGGCGGGTGTGCGCTTCACCGGGCTATGCCGGCCTGCAAACACAGTCGCCCGTCGCACCGTCCGGCTCCGACCTCCACGCACATCTCGCCAGTACAGCACCGAGCCACCGCCCAAGTCTACCGCTCCGCCTACTCCGTCCACAAAAGAAGCCGCGCAGGCCTCCCGCCTGGACCGTGTTTTGTCGCGGCTTCCCAAATCGCTACAAAAGTACACGCGGCGGCTCAAGGATGCGCCCGTGTCGCACGTCGTTGCGTTCCTGATCTTGCACGAGATAACGGCCATTGTGCCGCTGGTTGGGCTCTTTGGGCTGTTCCACTGGGCTGGCGCGGGCAGCGGCGGCAGTGGCAGCGGCGGTGGCATTGTGAGCAAGCTGGTGCCGCTGGACTACATGACGCATTACTTTGGCGGACTGGTGGTGGAGGGCGTGCGGCGGTTTGAAAAGTATTTTCGGAGAAAGGGCTGGTTTGGGTTCAGCAGGTACGACGAGGACGCAGACAGCACAGACGAAGCGACAACGACAGACGCCGTGATGAGGAAATGGGCGAGCGCCGACAGCAAGTATCGGATTGTGGTGGAAGTGGGCCTGGCGTACAGCATCACCAAGGTGCTGCTGCCGCTTCGCATTGTGCTCAGTCTCTGGGCGACACCGTGGTTTGCAGGCGTCTTGGTGAGGTTGCGTGGTCTGCGGCGAAAGGCGTAAGCGTAGGCGTTTTTTTGGGTTTCCTGGCTAGAAACCTGTACGATCTTTGACCATATAGTTTTTATATAGCGAGCAATACGAGCAATACGAGCCGCATCGGCGTCACTAGTAAGCTATAGGAACAGTTTTATTGCCTTTACACGTCAAGGCTCTTTTTTTATTTGCTGTCCACCCAACAGCTACTATCTATGTCCATTTTTGTCATTTTTGGGGTTTGTGTTTCTTCGAGTTTGAGTTCTCCGCGTGCCACGAACAGGTCGCGGGTCACGAACGGGAACGCTCCTGCGGCGATCAAGGACGATGACGCGGTAGGATTTACTCGTAGATCCAGTCGTGCTGGGACGACTTGTAGGAGATGACATCGCCGTCCTTGAACCACAGGGCAATCTCCTTCTTGGCGTTCTCGACGCTGTCGGAGCCGTGGCAGACGTTGCGGCCGGTGACAATGGCATAGTCACCACGGATGGTGCCGGGCTGCGAGTTCAGGGGGTTGGTGGCACCGAGCAGGACACGGCCGGTCTTGACGGCGTCAAGGCCCTCCCAGACCATGGCGACGATGGGGCCGCTCAGCATGTCTAGAACAGTTAGTGTGAAAACGACAACAAAGCACGACGAGGAGCGGACAATCGGACGTACAGGTGATCAGGCTGGGGAAGAAGGGCTTGTCCTTCAGGTCAGCGTCTGGACGAGGGCGTGGTTAGTGACAATGGCCAAAGCGGTTTCCGAAACCAGAATGTGTTCAGCCGGTCAGAGTTCAGCTCGGCAAATACGTACAGTGAGCCTCAAGGTGCTCCTTGGTGGGCGAGACCAGCTTGATAGCGGCCAGCTTGTAGCTGCACGAGATTCAGTCAACAGGTGCCTGACGGGACGACGGGCATTGGAGGCTGGAAGAGGACCAAAACATACCCACGCTGCTCGAAGCGGCTGATGATGGGGCCGACCAGGCCACGCTGAGGAGAAGAACAATGTTAGGTATAAGGACGAAGGGCGATACCAGCGGCCGGCAGATATGTTGTCGAGAAGAAGGTCAGACGAACCTGGACGCCATCGGGCTTGATAGCAATGAAGCTGAGAATGTTAGCAGCTGAGCGCCGGCGATGTGTGCACCCTCTTGGAGCCCAATTGGGTCAAGAGAGGAGGCTGTTCCTTGGCCAAACTATTCTGAAGAGCCGATGGGAACTCAGATAGCAAGCTTGGAAAGAAACCAGAGAGAAAGGAGTGGAAAATCCAAACAGGACAACTTACGTCTGCTCAGTAGCCATTGTGTTGGATTGGGGTGGTTGGACACGGGGTGGTGTTTCTGGAAGAGGTTTGGAGGATGGTTCGAGATGCAAGAGAGAAGATGCAGAACTTTGCTCGGCCGGCGACGTAAAAATAAGGGCCAGCTGGTGGTGGTGGTTGTGGTGCTGGTATACGAGGGCGACAAGGAGGAGGACGACGGCCAATAGTGAAAACGACAGTGGTGGGGTTAAAATTTGCGGTGTCTGGTGGTGGGGCAGTCTTTCACGTTCGCGCTGCTGGCTTTCGTCGGCCGCTGTCGTAGCGGGGCCAGGCGCCATTGTGTTTTAAGGTGGTCGTTTTTGGTGGCAAAATGGAAAGGAGCTGCAGCAACGGTCTAGGGCTCTGGCAGATGTGTAGCAACGGGACCAAAACCGCTCTTCTGATTGGAGAGGAAGAGCAACGGCGAGAGAGCTTCAAAGGTGTAGGAAAACGAACATAAATAAATGGAAATTACCCCTGAAAGACTGAAGTCGAGTCGTACGAAGGCAAAAGACAAAAGGCGCTGGGCGAGCTTAGACAAGGACAAAAGCAATTGGGTATCATAAAAGGAAGAGAACTTTACGTTGCTGAAGATAAGGGAAAGAAGGAAGCAACAGCAAATTCAAATGTCGTCTTGGTCGCTTGTTGACTTTTGGTGTTCATTGAAGAGGCCATCTGGCGATTGGCGATAAGAGCAGATGGCCCCGATACATACATCAAAAGCAACAGCATGCAACTATCCGCACCATCTTTTGTCCATTTGTAGACTAGCGTCACCGGCTCGCATGCGCCGTCGTTGCCCCCATTCCTTTTTAGGCTTTTGGAAACGGCCAGCTTGAGCTTCCAGCAGCACACAAACAGGACCAGGTCCCTCTTCGTCAACACGGCCATCTGTTGTCGTAGGCGCATTTGCTTGTCCATCTCGAATTTTGGACGAAACGAGGAGACGATCTCGAGTCTCATTGACGATTCACAACGACTATTTCCTTTCCCTCTCCTCCCCAATCCAGCATCCCTTTGCGTCTGCAGGCGACTTGTACCTGCCAGCGTGTCGTCTTCTCGACATGCGCTCTTCCACATTGACATGGGCCTCGAGCCTGTGTCTTCTGTCGGCCCTCACGTCGCTGACATCGCCAGTCTGTATGTTTGATGGGTCTTCGGTGGCACTTCTACACGCACCTGCTAACACCAACAGTGGCCGTCAAGGAACACGACTTCAAGAAGTGCGACCAGTCTGGCTTCTGCAAGCGCAACCGCGCCTACGCTGACACCGCCGCGGCCACCGGGTCGTCGTGGACCTCTCCCTACAACATCCTGCCCGAGTCGGCCTCCGTCAAGGACGGCCAGTTCCAGGCGGTCATCCTCAAGACGATCAACGACAAAGGCGAGACCGTCCGTCTGCCCATCACCGTGTCCTTCACCCAGGCCGGCGTCGCCCGCGTGACTGTCGACGAGGAGCGTCGACAGAACAAGGACATTGAGCTGCGCCACGGCAGCACCGTCCGGAAAGAACGCTACAACGAGGCCGAGGAGCTCGTCATTGTTGGCGGCCTCGAGCTTGACAAGTCGGCCAAGGCCATTGACGAGGACAGCACCGGCAGCACTGTCGTCCAGTACGGCCCCGACGGCCAGTTCGAGGCCCACATCCAGTACAGTCCCTTCAGCGTCGAGTTCAAGCGCGATGGTGCTACGGAGATCAAGTTCAACGACCGGGGCTTGCTCAACGTGGAGCACTGGCGCCCCAAGACCGAGCCGCCCGCACCCAAGGAGGGTGAGGAGGCTGTCGCGGCTCCGCCGGAGGAGAACACTTGGTGGGACGAGACCTTTGGCGGCAACACGGACTCCAAGCCACGTGGGCCCGAGAGTGTTGCTCTGGACATTTCTTTCGTGGGCTACAACCACGTCTTTGGCATCCCCTCGCACACGGGCCCGCTTTCGCTCAAGGAGACGCGCGGCGGCGACGGCAACTACGTTGAGCCGTACCGCATGTACAACGCTGACGTCTTCGAGTACATCCTCGACAGCCCCATGACGCTGTACGGCTCCATCCCCTTCATGCAGGCCCACCGCCAGGACTCGACTGTCGGTGTCTTCTGGCTGAACGCGGCCGAGACGTGGGTCGACATCACCAAGGAGAAGGTCAAGGGCAACCCTCTCGCCCTGGGCGCGGGCGCCTCCACCGACACCAAGACGCACTGGATCTCCGAGAGCGGTCTGCTGGACGTGTTTGTGTTCCTGGGCCCGACCACGCAGGACATCCTGCAAAAGTACGGCGAGCTCACGGGCTACACGGCGCTGCCCCAGGAGTCCGCCATTGGCTACCACCAGTGCCGCTGGAACTACGTCTCGGACGACGACGTGAAGGACGTCGACCGCAAGATGGACAAGTTTGGCATTCCCTACGACGTGATTTGGCTGGACATCGAGTACACCGACGGGAAAAAGTATTTCACGTGGGACGGCGACAAGTTCAGCGACCCGTCGGGCATGGGCGCCCGCCTGGACGAGCACGGCCGCAAGCTCGTTGTCATCATCGACCCGCATATTAAGAATACTGACGGCTACCCGATAGTGTCGGAGCTCAAGTCCAAGGATCTTGCGGTCAAGAACAAGGACGGCGGCATTTTTGACGGCTGGTGCTGGCCCGGCTCGTCGCACTGGGTCGACGCCTTCAACCCTAAGGCGGTGGAGTGGTGGAAGAAGCTCTTCAAGTACGATGCCTTCAAGGGCACGGCCGAGAACACCTTCATCTGGAACGACATGAACGAGCCGTCCGTCTTCAACGGACCCGAGACCACCATGCCCAAGGACAACATGCACCACGGAGGCTGGGAGCATCGCGACGTGCACAACCTCAACGGCATGACCTTCCACAACGCCACACATCTGGCTTTGCTGTCGCGCAAGCCGGGCGAGTTGCGCCGGCCTTTTGTTCTTACTAGGTCCTTCTTCGCCGGCTCGCAACGCCTGGGTGCCATGTGGACCGGCGACAACCAGGCGGAGTGGGGCCACCTGGCTGCCTCGATTCCCATGCTGCTGAGCCAGGGCATTGCTGGCTTTCCCTTTGCCGGTGCCGACGTCGGCGGCTTCTTTGGTAACCCCGACAAGGAGCTCCAGACGCGCTGGTTCCAGGCCGGCGCCTTCTACCCGTTCTTCCGTGGCCACGCGCACATTGACGCGCGCCGCCGCGAGCCGTACCTGGCGGGCGAGCCGTACACAACGATAATCACGTCGGCGCTGCGGCTCCGCTACAGCCTGCTGCCCGTCTACTACACGGCCTTCCACCGCTCGCATGTCACCGGCGAGCCCATCATCAAGCCTCTTTTCTACACGCACCCCAACGTCGAGGCCGGCTTCGGCATCGACGACCAGTTCTTTGTCGGCAACACGGGTCTCCTCGTCAAGCCCGTCCTGGCGGAGGGCAGAGACACAGCTGCGGTGTTCATCCCCGACCACGAGGTGTACTACGACTACTTTGACTACTCCGTCGTGCCCACGCAGGCCGGCAAGCGTACGAACATGCCCGCGCCGCTCGACACCATCCCGCTGCTCATGCGCGGCGGCCACATCTTCCCGCGGCGCGACCAACCCCGCCGCTCCAGCCAGCTCATGAAGTTTGACGACTACACCCTGGTCGTCACGCTGCCGCGCAACGGCGGCCACGCCGAGGGCTCGCTGTACGTCGACGACGGCGACTCGTTCGACTACGAGAAGGGCCAGTACATCCACCAGGCCTTTGTCCTCGACGGCAACACCATTTCGTCGTCCAGTGCCGAGCCCGGGCGCGACGCCGCCAAGGTCAAGCCGGGCGCCTGGCTCGCTGCTATGGCCGACGTCCACATCGACAAGATTGTCGTCGTGGGCGCGCCCAGCGACTGGGCCGGCCAGACCGAGGTCGCCGTGACGTCCGGCGGCAAGACCTGGACCGCGCCAATCGACTACACGCCTGCCAGCGGTGGCCGCGCGGCGTTTGCCGTGATCCGCCATGTGGGCGCGTCTGTCGGCGCCGACTGGCAAGTGACGGTGGCGTAAAGCCGCGGTGGTGGATACAAAAACATGTAAATGTAATCATGCAAAAAGGAGACGGAATGGATTGGGCGACGTTCTGCGGTTTTTTCTATTTTCTGATAGTCAAACACCATGTAGACACCTAAACTGGTAACGGACATGAATATGATTGTATTTGATTGAGTTTGACCATGTTAATAGAGTGTGCTGGTCGCTCCTTCCATGGACCGTACAGTGCTGTTGTGGCCGTGACTGCCTCAAAGCTGGCGAATGTCACATGCCGTAGTGATCTGTCGGACGCATCGTTCTTTCCGTCTGTGGTACAAGTTTTCGATGTCTTCTCACCATTCAGCCCCTTTTCCAACAATTGGATATTGTCTTCCTTTGCATAGTCTTTGCATCTTTATTCTGCACCTCGTCAACCTCGCCTATTGAAACACATACCATTCCCGCGCCGCTGCGAAAGCGGAATACAGTCCCAAAGAACAAGTATTAGCCGACAGACGTTTGGTGGGCCGACCCATCACGACGGGCACTTCTGGTGGTTTAGTTTAGCCGACCAACAAACCCAACATTAATGGTCTATTTATGCTCCTCTCTTGGCCTCGGATAAGGATACAGCGGCACGGGAACAACACATGGGAACCGATACGTTGGATTACCTTCCCGTTGTCATATATTTCCAGTATGCCGGGAATGCCCAGTGAAACAGAGAAGTCCCAACCGTATGTTCTCTGTTACCGTTGCAGACGAATACTCGGAAAGGAATTGATTCCGCCTTGTGCAAATCCAACTGTCACGATATCGCCCACAAACCCCATAACTAAGATACACGAACCCATCACGTCACTGAAGAGAGCCCAGGATAAAGCTGGCGGCGGCGACGAAACACCGCCGAAACACCGTCTTCATCGACATGGCGGCTCTTGTCTCGAGAGGCGTTTTCTCATCTGCTCTCGTTGGCCAAAGCGGGCTAGAGCGAAATGGCAAAAAGAGCAACAAGACCAACACGACCTTTAACCGCTGTATCTGCCTCTGCCATCTACCGGCTGCCGTCTTCTGTCTTCTGTCTTCTGGCCCCCCTCGCCTCACCGCCTTGGACGGGACGCTTATTTACCGACACACGGTCGGTGTAGCATCCTCCAGGCCGAGCCAATCCTCCTCGCAGTCGCCCTTGACCCCGTCCCTGTGCCTCAGTGACTTCAGTCATACTCCCGGAAGACGGCGGCGGTGCGCGTGGTCGTCGGGACGGTGCCCTCGGTGGGCACCTCGCCGGCGTGGTTCTGGGCGTCGGCGCGCGCGCCCAGGGCCAGCAGCGCATTTGTTGCGCTCGGCAGGCTGTAGCCCATGGTCCAGTGGAGGGCCGTGTTGCCGTCGGCGTCCGCCTCGTTGACGGCCTCGTTGACGGCCTCCCCAGGGGTTTCCCCGGACGAGCCCCCTAAGACATCCCTTAATAAAGCCGTCATACCCTCGCCGACTCGCGCATCAATGGACTGCACAACTTCGTGGTATTTGGTGAATATTGTTCCCCTAGAATGCCACGGCTGGTCGTTAGCCACGCGGGACCGCGCGGCGCACAGACTGTGGATCGACGCAACGACGGCCGCAAACACGCTTCTCCCCCCGGAATTGGAATGCGCGGGTCGGCGCCGCGGTCGAGGAGCACGCGTAGCAGGGGCAGGCGGTCGAAACGCGCGCCGAGATGTAGCGGCGTGTACCCAGAGTGGGCGGCATTAATATCGAATGACTTTGAGCAGACAGAGGCCGCCTCGGCCGTCAAGAGCTCGACGGTCGCCACGCGGGCATCAATGTAGGCTGCGCGGTCCGCGACACTGGCGGCTTTGACCGCGGCCACGTAGGCCTCCCGCTCTTCGTTCGAGATGGGATCGTGCATCTAGCCATCTTGTCGAAAGAATACCTTGTTGTTGTGGACAAAACGGATCGGGCGTTGGTAGGACGGTTCCGGGCCGCCCGGCTGCGGGATGGCTGCTTTGAGAACGGGCACACCGACCATGGCAGCGTGAAGGGGAGGTAGGCCAGTCGCCGGAACGAGGTCCGCAATACAATTTGTGTTTGGGGTCCGTAAGAGGGCCTCCACGCCCGCTGCGTTGCCAAAGAGGGCGGCCGTCGCGAGCGGCGTTAAGTAGACGTCGGTGTCGTTGGTCGGTGCGCCGTGGTAGCCGTCGACGCCTTTGTCGTCGGCCACGCCGTTGACGCCACGGCCGTCCAGCCGCGCCGTATACCACGAAAAGCCGGCGTGTACGTCGATGCCCACCTCGTCGATGAAGAAGCGGGTTAACGCCGCGTCGCCCTGGCCATGGTCGGCCATTAATACTAAAAGTAAGGGATTCGGTCGCCCAGGCCGGCCGTCCGTCGAGCGCGGTACCGCGCCCCTGGCCAGCAGTATCTTGACGATGGCCATACGCCGCGCCGGCTCGTCCGGGTCCGTATACGGCCCCGCGCTCAGGGCGTACCGGGCCACGGATTGCAGCGGCGTGTAACCAAACTTGTCGCTCGCGTTGACATCCACTTTGGGCATACTCGCCAGCAGCATTTGCACGGCGTCGGCCTGCCCAGCCATACACGCTGTGGTCAGGGGCGTGCCCCAGGGGCGCCGAAAGGGATCCTCCCATACCTGCTCGTCCCGCTCATACGCGCCCTCCCGCCGGTCTCGCTCGTCCGGCGGCAGGCTGTCGCGGTAGTCGAGTAGGACGGATAGCATGTCCACGCGGCCGCTTTCGGCAGCAATGTGGAGCGCGGTGGGTGTGAGATTCTCCGAGATCTCGCCCATGTCGCAGAGGTAGAGTACATCCGTGCCAAGCAGGCGGATGAACTCGTGCACGGCGGGCAGGTCGCCACCGGTGATAGCAAAATAGATGGCGTCGGTCGTCCATTTACCCCGGTATCTGTGGTTTAGGACGGGAAAGTCGTCGGGTAGGTTGAGCAGGGTATTCCAGCGGTATTTCCTGAGCGACATTGTTACATGCAGGCTCCCTTCACGGGAGACTGGTTTTTCACCAAGTTGCAACACCGCCTAGTAAGGCCGTGCAACGGACATATAAAGACCTTTTCTCTAACCTGTAATTTAGATAGCTTCCAGAATCAACAATCATTCATCACATAGTTTGTCATATTATTATTCAGGACGTACACCATAGTACGGCGTTCTGAATCGTGGTACTTGTGATATTTTATTTCTTGTTCCGTTACCTGGCATCTCGGAGCCAGTGACGTATACGCTTGTGTGTAACAAATACCTACAAGAAGAACGGCTGTTATCGAGGTAAACAGTAGACACACGAGTTTCTAAGGAGATACCTTTGTTTTCTAGTAAAGTGGAATAATCCTTGTCGTTTTGGTGACTTTTCCTCGGCGTGGTTTTTTGGCGTGGTTTTTTACACTTGTCACCTCCCGTGCCTCCGTACTGAATTCATTAGAATACAGTCTACATTCGTAGCGCGCGTCGTGACGTGGAGCTTAGATTAGTCCCCAATATTTTGACGTCCCCAGAAAAATAGGGCCCCACGGCCGCCGATGGAATATTGATATTCTGCATGCGCCAATCACATCAACTGCAGCTCTCATTTGCTAGAGTTGGCGATGGACGCCACGAGACCGTGCTGGTCTGAGCCAGGCCAGACCGCCAACGGCCACGGGTGCACGAAACAGCGAGAAACAATCAAAACATGAAAGGAAACGGCTCAGCCGCAAAATAGCGTCCATTTTGGTGAGTAGTTTAACGCGCGAGAGGTCAGAACCGAACGAGAAATGCGGGCTAACGTGACAGGCTAAGCCTTTCCGGATCTACCTGAACAGGGCCTGGCCTCTCTTCCATCGATCTGGCTCCAGGGGCTACGTTAAATGCGATTGCGACTCGCCATTACACTCTACCCTTCCACAGGTGTCGATTCCTCTGCCACTGTGATCGCGCGGAAGGTTCCGCCAGCCATCGTCGTTTCGAGGCATTCTTTACTGGCCCGACTGAAGTGTTTTCCGCAGGTGCTCGTTCTGCAGCTGTTGAGTGGTCGCTCGCAGACATTCAAGCTTCCGCCACCAAGCCACCTTGCCTTATTGGCACGAGGCGTGTTCGACTTGTCGTGTATTACATGCCTAGAGCTGAACACGGAACTGCACCAAAGCTCGCGCAGTTAGACTGCCTACTCTTCGCAAGCTTTTTCGTATTTCCTACACATTGCTCTCCTCTCAAGCCTCGTGCCGTTCGGGAGCTATCGAACGGTCCCTCCCGAACGAGAGAGATCGGCCATTTCACAGCAACTTCCTGACACCCGGTCGATACGACTGCGGCCGCGACAGCTACCACCTCACCCACGACCACACTCACACCCGCTGTTGCTCACCCCTCCAATATTGCTTTACGCTTCCTGCCCGAGGCTAGATCTTGGAGGTCAATACCCGTATGCGCGTGTGTGAGCGCGGCTCTGCAAGTGGTGGCTTAGCATCTGAACAGGAAATCGTTCTGGTGCCAAGGGGAGCAAATTAGGGGCAGCGCTTTGCCAGCCTACCCGACAGAGCAAGCTCCAGCCTTCAGCCTTCCGAGACCGCATTCTTTCACTCTCCTCTATCATCACACCTCCTTCTCCCCCGTGTCGCCTGCGTCTTGCCTCTCCCCCCCCTTGTCTGCATTTTCCTGTTTCCCACAGCCTGTGCCCTTTTGCGTCTGTTGTCCTTTTCAGCTCTGATCCTACCCCCTCACTAGCTCGGGCTGTCTATCCAGTACATACGTCGCCAGGCTTTCTTCGTCCCTTCCCTCCTGTGCGCGGTTCTTCCGCCTACAGGGTTTGCGCATTTTTGCGCTCTCCCGTCACCTCTGATCCCCTCCCCCTTCCCCTCTCCCTCGTGTGCCCTCGACCCCGTCCCAATCATGGCCTCCCTCCCCGAGGGTTGGGAGTCGGACTATGATGGCTCGAGGTGGTTCTTCCGCTACAAGCCAACGGGTGCCGTGCAGTTCATGTTCCCCAAGCCAGGCGACGAGTTTCCCGAGTACTTTGATAACTTCGGCCCCGTCGCGCAGAGCTATATCCCCACTCCCGAAGAAAGCCTCGAGAGCGACCGCCAGCGGCGCATGTCAGGCTTACCCCCAAGACGGTCGGCCAGCATTGCATCCCGAACTGGTGCTGCTGCCAGCAAAGAGCCCGCCTCCGCCACACTCGGCCGCAGCGACTTTCTCAACTCATCGTCCTTTGACATGTTTGGTGGCTTTCTCGGCCCAGCTTCTTATACCGACGTGTCTCCCCTCTACGAAGACGAAGAAGAACCGGACCCCAAAGCTGTTGACGACCCCACACAACGAGGCATCGCCGAGGTCGACAGCACACCTGCCAGCACACTCACCACCCCGAACCTAGTCAATAGTGTTGCCACAGAAAGCGTCGACACAACAGCTGCTGCTGCTGCCGCCACAACCCTGCCACCCAACACGGAGCCGGTCATTATCCACGAGCTCCCGGACGCTCTTGCGCTTGGCGGTCGGCACTACGCCTCCGACCCCGTCGGCAACATCTCGGAGCTGGCCACGGAACAAACACCTCTGACTGAAGAAGAAGCCAACCCACCGCCCGTCGAACTTGACAGTGGGCCCATCCTGCCTGGTCCTGCAGAGCTGCCACACGAGCCCATTGTCGCGACAGCTGCACCCATCGCCACACCCCCAGTTGCGGCCACAGCTGCGGTTGTAGCCGCCAAAGAGACGAAGCCCAACGAAGCAACAACCGCTTCTGCCGAGAAGCCGCCTGCCAGTGACGATACAGGTCGCCAACCTCCTGTAGTTGCCGACCTTGCTATTGCTACTGCCGCCGCTGCGGAGGCGAGAAACAGTCAACGTGACGGCCCCCATCAAGACAAGCCCCACGAAGAACATCGCCGTGCTACCCTTGACACAACACTCACTAGCATACCTCTTTCACTTCAGCCATCGCAGCCGCTTCAGAGCCAGCCTGTGCCAAGACCAGTTGAAGAGCCTCAGTCTCCACCTCAGCCTCAACCACCAACCTCTTTCACTCCTGCACCCGTTGCTGCCCCTGCTTTTCCTGCATCTGCGGCAGAGCCTCCAAATTCCCCCCCCACAGCAGAACGAGAAGCCAAAGACGCCCCCAACCGTGTGCCCTCTATTCTTCAACCTGCGTCAAACCGTCCGTACATCCCCCAGGCTCTTGTTACTCCGAAACCTGCGGGCGCCGTTCTCTCCGACGTTCCTTTGGTGCTACGAGCTGCTGTGCCTCAAAGAACCGCACCACCTCCTCAGCCGACTCCAACGCCCGTGGCCAGCGTCTCTGCGCTGCCTGCTCAAGCACCAGCTAGCCAGACGAGTGAAAAGAAGGACATTGTAGGCACAGCACCGGCCCCAGCTACCCAAGAAGGTACCGAAGGATCTGATTTGGCAACACCCCAGGCTGGATCGAAAGACGTCCAGGACTCACAGCCTGAGTTGATGCCAGCACCGCTCCGCCTGTCTCGCCAAGGTAGCCCGACGTCGCTTGCTTCTCCACTATCTATGCCAGCTGTTCCCAACGCACCCCAAACTACGCCAGCCACGATCAACCAGATTGCACAGGCCCTCGCGCCTAAGACCTCTGCTTCCTTTGGTGTTACGGCAGCAAACGAAGCCATTCCCTCTCCGTTAAAGCCAAGATCACCACCTCCTCACGCTTCTACATCTGCTTTTAGCATCCTCTCGGCCTCCGGAACCTCATCTTCGATACAGCCGCCTGCGCCGGCAGCTGGATCGTCCGGAGCTGGGCCAGCTTCACCGCCTCCACTTGGTGTGGTCGTCGGATCCGAAAGTGTCTCTACAAGCAAAGATATGCCCGCACCGGTGCCCCCAACCGGTACAGCTACAGCGGCCACCATTGTCTCACAGCCGCCGCCTCCCACACCCGTCGTGATGTCTGCCAACTTTGCCAGCACCGCACCGAAACCGATGTCGCCGGTCAACACACCACCTCCCGTTGCCGGTCCCACCCGTGCTCCGAGCGTAAAGGCGCCCCCGAGCGGCCTTGCGTCGATCGCCGAAGCATCGTCGGGTCTCATACTGGCCGCCGAGGAGCGTCAGACGCCCCAACCACAGGCACAGCCCCCTACCACCGCGCCACCGCAGGTCCAGCAATCGTCTCCGACTTCGACCTTTGCAGCTACACCGTCCGCTACGCCGCCGCCAACCGTAACTGCTGCCCAACCGCCCCTGCAGAACCGCATCCAGCGCAAGCCAACTGTGCAACGCAAAGCTGTTGGTGGAGGCTCGGGGAATGCATCGCCTCGGTCTGCGAGCGCTCAATCGCCACAACTCACTGCCTCGGCCGTCCCCGGTGCCTCCTCGGGCCCTGGTCCCGGCCCTGGTCCGACAATTCTCCCTCACCGCATGTCCGTCTCGTCCGTCTCAAACCAACAATGGGGAGTTGCCGTCGACCAGCTCGGCCAGCAACCCATCCAGCCCATCCAGTCCATTTCGTTGCAACAATCTCCTGCGTCAACCCCGGCGCAGCCTGCTTCCTCGACAATTGATCCGCAGCGCGTGCACACGCCCGCCCAAAGCATTCACAGTGTCCATAGCGCCCCGAGCCAGAGCAGTCCCCAACAGACGCACCAGTCGCCGGCCCTGTCCGTCAATTCGATGCACCGCAACTCGGTGGCCGGCTCGGTTACTACACCGTCTCCACCCGCCCAGCAAACGCAGCCAGCGCCCCAGCGCATGTCCATGTACGCTGCTCCAGGTCAAATACCGTCACCCGTGGCCGGTGTGGCCCAGCCGGCCCCGGCTGGCTACAACCCTCAAGCATTCCATACGCCAGTCCAGCCTCTCCAGCCCGTGCAGCAGCCACAGTCGGTGCCACAGTCGCAGCCACAGCCGCAACCCGGGCAGCCAGGGGTTGCTTCCCAGGCTTTCCCTGGCGCACTCCCACAATTCCAGCCAGTACCGGGTACGAACGCCGGCCAGCAGGCTCATCCGGCGCACCGCATGTCCCTTCCTGGCCAGCTGCCAAGCCAGCAGACACAGCAGCCTTTCTTCCCTGGCCCACCTCTGGCCATGGGCGGCATACCACCTCCGCTGCCAAACCGTTTCGCGACACCGCAACAAACGGGCCAGCCAGGCCAGGTACCACCTCCTGCCCAGGCACCGGTTCCGGCTGCGGCTCCAGGCGCCCCAACTGGCACCCAGAACCCGCAGCCTCCTCCTCTGCACCACAGCCAGACGGCACCAGCGGCTGTTCCTCAAGTACACCCTCAGCCGCCTCAGCAAGGTCAGCAGCCACAGCATACCCCGCCACCCGGGTTTGCGCACCCACAACATGCCCAGACCATGCCTCTTCCGGGACAACAAGTTCCCGGCCAGCCTCAGCCCGCCCAACCGCAACAACCCGCTCAGCAGTTGTTTGTTATGGGTCCCAATGGTGTCCTTGTTCCGTACCAGCCGCAGGCACAGCCACAGGCACAGCAGCAGGCACAGCAGCAGTTTGCTACGGCTCCTGGTCAGGCCCCGGGACAAGTGCACACGACGCCGGCGCCGGGCCCGGCGTACCGCCCATTTGCTGCACCCCCAACCGCGCCTACTGGTACAGCGCCCCAGCGTGGCCAAATGACAGTGGGCACGGCTCCAAACCGACCGGGTGCTGTTTCACCCACCACCAACAACGCCAACAGCGGTGGCAGCGGTGGCAGCGGCAGCGGCCTTTTCTCCAAGTTGATGAAGAACCCGGCCGTCAAGCGCACTGCGTTTGCCATTGGCGGCGCGCTGGTTGGCGAGAGCATCGGCATGTCGGGCGCCGCCGGCGCCCGCATTGGCACCACGGCCTACTCGACGCACCAGCAGTATAAGCGTCAGTCGTCGCAGCAGGACGCCATGCAACAGGCCGTGCAAAAAGCGCAGGCCGACGCGGCCGAAGCCCAGCGCCAGGCGCAGATCCAGATCCAGCAGGCCAAGCAACAAGCCGAAGCGCAAATCTACGCGGCGCGGCAGATGGCCGCCACAGGCGGCCCCCCGCCACTGCACACAACACACACGGCGCCCGGCCAGATGCAGCACGGTGTCCCGCCGGGTGGTACGCCCTCTCCGGCCGCGCCAGTGACACCGCAACAGCCATACATTCCCGGTCAGCCCGTGGCGTCTCCCCAACCCGCCCCCAGCCAAGTCGCGCCCGGTCAGGCAGCTCCCGGCCAACAGGTGCCAGGGCAGCCTGTAGCAGGCCAGGCCGGTCGGCCGCCTATGCCTACGAGTTTCTCAGCGCCTCCGGGACAAGTTCCGCACGCTGCGGCACCCGGCATGCCTGCGCAGACGCCTCCTGGGTTTGCCCCCGGTGGTGCTCCGCCCGGTATGCGCGCTGTGCCAGTTGCGGCACCTGGTGCGGCACCTGGAGCGGCTCCCGGTGCGGCTCCCGGCGCTGCTCCTGGCGCTGCTCCTGGTATTGCATCCGGCGTCCAACCAGGTGTAGTTTCTAGCGCCTCTCCTGGCACCTCTCCTGCAGCCTCTCCTGCTTCCGGTGCAAGTTCAGTTCCTGGAGTTGTCCCTGGAGCTGTCCCTGGAGCTCCAGGGGCTGCTCGTGTTGTTGCTCCTGGTGCCCCTCCTGGTGCCGTTCCAGCGGCAACTTCTGTTGGGCCTCAACCATACATTCCTGGCACTACCACCGGAGCGCAAGCTGGTACAGCCCCAGGTGCCCAATTCCAAGTCCAAGGCGACCGGGCGGCTGGCCGTGGTGGCCCCCCAGGTGCTGGCCGTGGTGCCCCAGGTGCTGGTCGTGGTGCCCCAGGTGCTGGCCGTGGTGCCCCAGGTGCTGGTCGTGGTGCCCCAGGTGCTGGTCGTGGCTACGGTACAGCACCTGGCGCCGGTCGTGGCTATGGTCCCGGTGTTGCCGCAGGTCGCGGCGGTGGCGCCGCGGGTGTGAGCGCAGGCCGTGGTACCGGTGCACCGACCCCGGGCGAAGCACTGGCCAATACGGTCATCGACTCGCTCCTGCAAGCTCATCAGCATAACCAGCAAGCAAACAACCCGTACGAGGCGATCCTGCAGCAGCAGCAGCAGCAGTCCAACCAATTTATGAATATATTGCAGCAGTCGCAAGCCCAGGCGAACAACAATTTCATGAACATTCTGCAGCAGCAAACGCAGAACCAGCCGACGTTTGTGCTGCCAACAACCACGCCTGCCGTACCCGTGTTTGATATAAACTCGAACACACAGATCAACATTGACGTCAACAACACAAGCAGTGTCGGCGGCTGGGGCGACTCGGTCAACTACTCAGGGGACGACTGGGGCGCCGACACGGGTGACGTAGGCGGCGACACGGGCGCTGACTTTGGAGGTGATTTCGGCGACACTGGCGGTGACTTCTGACAGGAGGCATATGAGGCAGCTGTCCTTTTGATCTGATCTATGTTGTTAGTTTGTTTTTATCATGTCTGTATTACTTTGCTTGGATTTTTGTTTCGGTTTCATTTGTGCAGCGTTTTCTGCGTCCTGTTTGCTTTTGGCATATTCATTTGATTCCCAGCCCAACGAGCCTGCCTCTGTCCATTGTCTTGATTTGAAGCTCATTTATAATTTGCAATAATAGTCTTTCCGCCACAATATACGATGTACGGCGTTCCCCAACTTTATCCTTGTTCCGTCGATTTGATTGCCTATTTCAGATGGTTGCATCGCCAAATCGTCGATTCTGCCTAATAGAATCCGCTGCGACGCCTCACGTGAACCCGTGCCACATGCGCGATCCACATCAGTCGATCCTGCAGTTTTGGTGTCTCCCATAGCGCGTCCAGCGCGTGCCCTAAAGTGGCACTTTCCCAAGCTATCAACGACACAAAGGCTACAAAGGGCCCAGTCGTGGGGCTTCACAAAATGGCCGAAAATGGCTGCTTCCGGCAAAAGGGGGGAGTGGCATCTGTTTTTTTTGTCCCACTCAACGGTCACATCGTTGCCTGCGAGGCAGTGCTGCATCAAAGGGAGACGAGACAACAACTCGGCCACGTCGCACGAGTACAGGGTAAAAGGATCAAAGGGAACCCATTGCTTCTTTGTCGGCCATCTTTACGGCGTACATAAATCGAGCCTCCCTTCCAACTTTGGATGTCTTGGAAATATCATCAGATTCTCTTTAGCATCACATTTCCATCTGACCTTTAGTACATTTGACGCCCGTCTCCCTTTCTACGTCCTTCCGCACGTCGACATGCGAGCAGACGCATCAGCATCTCGGCCTCCCTTTCCATTGTCTATCTCGACCCTCCCACCATGCCCTTCCTCTTCAGCCATGTCTGTGATCTCTTCCAGCAGGTCGCTGAGCTCCCGACGGCTCATCGAAGTCGACCTCGGTCCGTCAACCTGGTCGTCCAATCTTGGTTTGCAGAGCACAGGAAGGAGGTCGATGCGTTGATCGTCGAACGACCAACGTCCTCCGCGGCCGGCTCATCAGGTGCCGCCGCCCTCCTCTCCACCCTCCTGCCCGACCGCCGCACCGACCGCGTCTATGCCCTGCAGGCCCGCGGCCTCCAGCGCATCCTCATCCGCGCTCTTGGTCTCGGCCACTCTCGCGTCCCTGAACTCTCTCGCTGGATGCGCCCCTGCGATCATGCCACCACGGGACCCGTGGACCTTGCCGACTGCGTCGAGGCCATCCTCCAGCGGACAGTACGTCCAAACTCACCCGTCCTTCATCCGGTCTGTTGCTCGATCGTCCGCTAACCGCCAGCCCAATCCCACGCCCAATGTACCCGTCACCGTCGAGGAGATTGACGCCACTTTGCACGGCGTCGCTGCACGCTGTCGGTTCAGTGCACCGGCTGTTCGGGGACGACATACGGCGCGCCCGTCGAAGAACGACTTTATTGCGCCTCCGCCGACGCAAGATGCCCTCGCGCGGCTGTACCAGCGCCTCGACCCGTGCGGCGCCAAGTGGCTGACACGCCTGATCCTCAGAGACCTGAGGCCAGCCGTGCTCGACGGGGCGGTCGTGGCGCGCGCCTTTCACCGCGCCCTGCCGCAGGCTCTGCAAGTCTTTGCGGATCTCGAGGCGGCGGTCGCGTCCTTATCCGGTGACAATGACATTGTCCGCCCCCGTCTCGGCGTCAAGGTCGGCCGCCAGCAATGGGCCAAAGGCCGCAGCATCCAGCACTGCATCGCCATGGGCGGTCCACAACGGATGAGCTGTGAGCACAAGATGGATGGCGAATACGTGCAGGTGCATGTGAACCTCGTCAACGGACCGGACCACAAAGACTGTCTTCAACTCTTTTCGAAAAGCGGCAAGGACAGCACGTGGGACCGCGTGAACCTGCACAGTGCCATCCGCGAGTCGCTGCGCCTCGGGCAGCCAGACTGTCCAATCACCAAGGGGTGCATCCTCGAGGGTGAAATGCTGGCGTACGACGAGAAGGTGAGTCGCCTGCGGACGGCCCGTCAATGCTGATTTGAATTTGCGTTGCTAACGCGGTGTAGGCCGCCAAAATCATGGACTTTGATGCCATCCGCAAGCACGTCAACCGCAGCGGATCGCGCCTCTACTGCGACCCGCGCGGCGACACCCAGGACCACGAGCACCTGATGATTGTCTACTACGACGTCATGCTTGTTGATGACGAGTCGTTGCTGAGCACCAGCCGAGAAGACCGCTTTCGCCGTTTGGAGAAGTTGGTCACATGCCGCCCAGGCTATGCGGAGCTTGTCAAGCGCGAGATCGTCGACTTTCGCGCCCGTACGGCACCGGCCCAGCTGCGCCGCGCCTTTGCACGGTGCATCACTGCCCATCTCGAAGGGCTTGTCCTGAAGCCCTTGAAAGATCCGTACTTTGACCTCAAGGGCCCGGGGTCAGGAACTACCTCGTCCACCACCCTCGAGTGGCCGCACCTTACCTCCTACGTCATCAAACTCAAAAAGGGCTATATTGGCGGCTTCGGCGAGGTCGGCGACTTTGCTATTGTCGGTGCCCGCTACGATGCCTGCAAAGCGCGTGAGTACCCTTCCGACCTGCCAGGGCTCAAATGGACGCACTTTTTCATCGGGTGCCAGGAGACGCCCAAGGCCGGCCAGACTCGACCGCGCTTTGTCGTCACCAACGTTGTGACTCTCACGCCGGCGCAGATGGCCACCTTTTTGCGCCACTGCCGGCCGCGCGTCGTTCCCATGCCACGCAGAACCGACGGACGAAAGACACGAAACACAAGACGTGCCACGTCTACGCCCGGCGCCGATGGTGGCCACCGCGACACATGCCCTTTTGACCTCGCTCCTCTCGAGCCCGGTCTGGACGACAGCAAAGGCGGCCCTACCGACCTCTTTGCCGACCCGCCCGTCGTCGACATTCGCTGCTTTTCCTTTCACCGCCCGGGCTACGGCCGCTTCTGGAGCCCGCGGTTTCCCAGTGTCGTCAAGTTCCACTTTGACCGCACGTGGGCCGACACGCTACCGTTTGACGACCTACAAACCATGGCCGTCGAAGCCGAGGCGCGCACAGCTGTGTACGACGACGACTTTTTTGATGGGCCGGACAGTGGCGGCGGCAGCGGCGGGCCTGGTCCTGACGCGTACGATGCCTCCCAGCACGCCCATTGGGTCGCGCAGCTGAAGCGTGCCGATAAGGGCGGCATCGCCATGGATGCCGAAACGAGCCAGTCGCAGTCGCAGTCGCAGTCGCCTTCGCAATCGACGACCCGCAGCCAGTCGTCATCAGGATCGACACAACGGACCCAGTCAGCCACGAGCCAGCCGCCGCTGTCGGCTGGTCTTGGGCTGCCTCTGATTGACATTTTGGAAGAAGCAGAGGCAGAGGACGAGGACAAGGGCCTCTGCAAACAAAGCCAGTTGTCCATTGTCACAGTCAAAACATACGACGAAAGATACGATAAGTATGAGAAGGCGAAGCTGGCGAAGGCGAAGCTGGCGAAACCGAACCTCGTCGTGTCCGTCATTGACCTGACGGGCGACACCCAGGAGACGGAGGTGGCAGAGGAGACAGAAAGGGTCGTAGCTTCGGTTGAGGAAAGTACGGTCAAAGGAAGTACTGTCGAAGAAGACGCTGCTGTTGGCAAAAGAGAGATCTTGCCTGGCGAACCCTCGCCGCCAAGGACACCCAAGCGGAGAGCAACATCGCTTCCCCTCATGGGAACGTCGCCCATGACGCCCAAAACTCCGCCGCGCGTTTCCAACTCCCCACTGCCGCCCGCCTCGTGCTCGCCCATTGACTTTGTCTCCAGTCTGACCGCGCCGTCGACGGCCGACGGCAGCCAAGCGTCTGGCAGCGATGAGAGCCAAAGCAGTTTGGACGGTTTGGGCAGTCAGGACAGTTTGGAGAAGAACGCGCACAGGACGAAAAGTCTCCCTGGCGACACGCCCAGCCGGAAACGATTGCGAGCCTGGGACGCCGCCAGCCTCGACCTCTGCCCCGTTTCGCCGCCGCAGCTCAAGCGGGCGCGGAGTGGGCTGTGACGATCCACAAGTGCGTCGTTCGAGGGAGCATGTCTGTTGTGTGTCGTACTGTCGACCACGCGATGGACATTGGATGAAACAGAGAAACAAATAGCATCAATGCGTTTTGTTTTAGGATCGACATAGTTCTGTTTGTTGCACGGAATACGAACCAGGACTAGATGCCTGCCCCCTTATTCGCGCTTAATGTTGGGCGAAAAAGGGGAAGTCGTCGTCCCAACTTCTTGGTTACCATTTCCGGGGTGTTTGTGTTTCAGAATGTCGTGTGGGAAAAAACAGGCGATTTCAACCGGGCCGTGCACAAGGAGAGTGCACAAACGAGAGAGAGACAGAGGGCGACAAAAAAAAATATACCCATACCTGCAAATGAAAAAGTAGTTGGCGTTGTTGATTAATTGATCCCCCTTCAAACACGACGCTTGGCCTGATCTGGCGATGCGTTCGTTGGTGATCTTTGCGTAGCCGTTACAATCGAAGGAAGACGTCGTACGCATCAGGGGAACCGATGGTGCATCAGTGCCAAAACATATCGGAGCATGCGGAGGAAAAGCAAATCTCGACCCCCCTTTCTTTTGTCCGATGTAGCTCTCGGATTGTAGCTCTCGGATTGTAGCTCTCGGATAATAGTCAAGACGTGAGGGGAATCTGACCTGACACCTCAACGTCCACTGCAGGATCAAACGGTCGTGATGCGCTCGGCGTAACGGCTAAGATGTCGGCAGCAAACTTGCAGGCTGCAACGCTCAATTTCGGCCAAGGGCACCGCAATCCTCGTGTCCAGTGTTGGATCGCGTCTATCGTAAAGTCAACAGTGCTCCTACAGGAGGATTCTTGTGTGCCATTCTCAGTGTCTTTCTGTCTTTAGCCTGCTGCACAAAGCAGAAGGCCCCCAGCCCCTTCCTCCCAGCGCTCCTAAATCCCAAAATGCAACGACGAGCTAACAATATTTGAAGACGTAATTCGTAGCAGACAGGTAAGCCCTAGCGAGGTCGCCAAACCAAGCCCGAGACCTTTGCCCACGGGGACAATGGAAGAGACGACATTTGAACCGAGGACGAAGGATGAAGGGTGACAGATGTGGCGAGACATTATGTCCAAGCCATGAGGATGCAGAATGCAGGATGCAGAATGTAGGCGCAGGCACGACGCACTACTTCGTAGACGCAATGCGATCGTAGAGAGGATCTGTGGGATCAACAGCACCGACTCATCGGATTTCTGAAGTATGGGGTCATCTAGGAAAATGTGTGTGGCCCCCTTTACGCCGTCTGGCCGTATTACGTTGGATGTCGCTTGTTTGGGCTTTCTGCTTCAGGCAATGATGCGCTGGATTGGCTGGCAGGCCCAGGCCGCAGGGCTCCTGTGCGGCTGTGAAGCGCTCTCAGGCGCTGTTCCTCACACAAACCTTCTCGCCTCCCAATCCCATGGATCGGAATTGTCGGGCAGAGGCAGCACCAGTCTCTGCTGCTCCCTTCCTGTTCAGTTCAGGATCGACAGAGGGAGGGCCAAGACCATCTTCTCGTCAGGTCGGTCACGGATTCTCGGAGTCTTCCGTGAGCTGCGCATTTGGAATAAGATGTCCTTCTGTCATAAGAAAATCGACAAGGCACCTACGACGATCCACGCATGACAGGCAACGCTTCCGGAAATGTGCGCAAAGCCTTGCGGAGTACGCTGTACATTGCCTTCAAGACGAGAAAACAGAAAGAGGAGACAACAGAAGCTTCGGCCTAGAGTACCCTGCACTCTTCTCTCCAAGGGGACCGTTTTTGAGAATAAACGTTGTGGATAGACGAGGAGTTTGTTTCGAAGATCAAACATCAAACAACGGCGTGGACCGTGTAGTGAAGGTGGCCCCTGGTCCGAGCTCCGAGATGCTTCACTGCTACCCAATGCAAATATACTCTATTGAATGCCTGGAGACATGACCTGTGCTCTCCGTCTGTTGTTGTTGTTGTTGCTTTCTTTGGCTGTCTATGGCTGTGCATTGTTCAGCCTGGGCCTCGTCTGCCCGAGGTAAAATAGAGTTGGATCACGAAAACAGTCGGAACGAAACGAAGGATGATATGTGCTAGAAAAAGAGCATCGTCTGAAGGGTCGCTGCTTTGAAATAAAATTGTCTGCAGTACAATTGTTGTATTGCTAATCCAAAGCGACATCACTACACGACGTACGACGTACAAGTACCGAGTATTGCTCAATACAGTGTACTTCGTACGTCGCACCTTTCAAAGAAAACGCGCAACGTCGATGATATTGACTCTCGTATTGACTGCAACCAAAGGAAGACATCTGGTTCTCGCCAGAAATCAATATTGTGACATCTCATTTTGAGCTGCATGAGCACCCCTGTAGAGTCCCCTTTGCACCTTCTCTCTCGCGCAATGTGACCCACACCAAAGCCCCTGCTTGTTTTATTTTTGGGAAGGAAGAGAAAGAAGGAAAGAACCCGATGCAGTTCAAAGCTAACAAAGACCATACTCATGACCTGAGAGAGTCGCTCTTGCCCTCCATGCGCGGCCGCGGAACGTTGCCTGGGTGTCCACCGGCCGGTGGCGCATCAGAGATTGCACCAGACCGCAATTCAAAAGAAGAAAAATAAGTCAATAACAGCCTTTATTATTGTTAGGGATTCTGGTTCGTTCGGGGGCACAACCGATGCGATGTATTTCTTTTTCGGTCTCCCAAATGTAAAAGACGCAACACCGTATTGGCTGAGACATTATTGACAAAAATGGAAAGAGCGAACAGCGTCCCAAAGACAGAAGGAGCATTCGACGCAAATCGTCCTTACCTCAATCATTTCTTAGTGGCAAACCCCCTTTTGTAAGATGCTTCGTATTTACTTTTCTTTTTCCAATTCATCGGTCCTACTACTGTTCGCCAGCTTGTCTCTTCTGACCTCCGTTTCCTGTCGGCCCCCAATTCAGCGCCATGGCCCGTCCCCATAGAGACATACGCCCATGCGCACGGAACGCTGCTACCGTTCAGCAGCCACCCAAGGTTTCCGTAATGAGATGGCGCCCCCCCTTTCGGTGGTGTCTCTGTGTTTCTTTTGTTTTTCTGTGCTCTTTGCGGCGTATCTCCCGTGTCGACCTCCGTTTTGGCCGCCCTCAATGCGTGCATCGTTCATCGACGGCGTACGGTCGAAAGTCACAAGCAAGAGGCGGCAACAGAGTGGCCAATCCGGCAAATGCGGCGGAACGCTGGTGTACTCAGCTACGGCATTGACGTTCACATTCGGGAAAACAGACCACTGGAAACGACCAGATACATTTGTGCCTTTTCGCCGTTTGGGCCAGTCCTGGCTGGAGCGTTATCACTGCTCAACAACGTAACAAGCTGCCCACCGTCCGGCAGAACAAAGAACTGGTGACCAACAGCACGGCACAGTTTCAAAAGACCATATCGCGCTTGTTCAGGCATCCGACAAAGTTCGACCTGTTGGTGCTGGGTGCAACAAGTCCTGTCCATCTGGCGCTCGTTGGTCGACAATGGCTCATGGGCCGCCTTGCATGCGAGTACATGCAAGGACTGCACCAGGTGCATAACATAGACTGCATTCGTCTCGTGGAGTCGTTTGTCCTGCCCAAGTCAACATTGGACCATAAACGCCTCCTGTGCATGGTTTTTACTCGTCACCATCATTGAGCATCTGCATAGACACCTGCGTGCTTCCTGATGGGAAATACGGTCCGCCAGCAATATAAAAAAAAAAAAAAAAAAAAAAACCAAATATGGTCTACGCACGGGACATCCGCTGTTCAGTCGGGAACATCTTTGGCAATCCGAAAAACAAGACACTGCACAACGCAGTTGCACAGCTGATAGTCTTCTCTGACATTCTCGATATGGGGGCCCACCACCGTCCTTCGTCCACGGTCCATAGTCCACGCACAAGTGCGACGTACCCCGTTCTGCATACCACGTTTCTGTGAGGTTGTAAGCAACGAGAGGTACGACAGTACTACAAAGTACGACGTACTTTGTACTTTGTACTAACACCTCGCCATCTGTGGCAAAGGACCCTGGCTCGCCTTGGCCATCCCGCTCACTCCCCCTTGCAGCCCTTTCTGCAGCTAAACACATCCCCTGTCGTTTTAGACGCAGCCATCGTTTTTGTCCCGTCTTCAAGGCAAAACGGTAATCTTGCCGCACCCGCGCCCTCCATCTCTTTTCTGAACCCCCTTGGCGTTGTTTTTATTTTTGCGTTTGCCTCGATTTTTATTAGTGCTGTTTTCAGAGGCATGTCTCGTGCTTTGCTAACGCGTCTCTGCAACCCTCTAATGCACGATAGTCGACTCAAATGCTTACGATGGGTGGCGTTCCCCCACTCCTTGGAACAAACGATCTGCAAGCCATCAATTGGACGAGTTCCCGAGCACAAGCTGAGAGACTCGCCAGGGACATCAGAAGAACGAAAATGCCAGAAGAGTCGCAAAGCTATCCAGGTGAAAACCTCTCTTGCCAACGGAGTGCTCCAACGCACCATCAATGGAAACGTCTTGCTTGGCCATTGCAAGGCTTGTCTCGGCATCCTGGCGACCTGCCGCTTCGAAGTTCGTTCTGCTTCTGTAGACGGCAAGTTGAACCGCGGGGTTGTATTATCGGGGGTCTCGCTCTCGTGCGTCCTCGTTCTCCATACGACGTACTAACAAGTCTGTAAAATCGTGGAGAGCACAACGACACAGACCGTCAGCACACAGCGTTCCCATGCAACAAACAGACGCAGAGGCATAAGGCCCAAACTAGCACCGAGCATGGACACGAAAGAGGACGATAGCCTCGCGAAAATAGCAACTGGCAAAAGGCACGGCGCAAGGATGGGTCAGTGCAACCTCTGAGCCCTGGCCGGCCCACGATCTTGTATCCTTCCATGCCACCGCAAAATCATTCGAGCTCCACCCAACCACCTTACTCTTCTCTTCAACCCTGTCCGAGTGCCCGGGCCACAGCTCGTGAGTTCCTTTTTGTTCAGTTTGTCCGTTGCTCTGATCGCCGCTTTGGGCGACATGTTGGCTGCCGTCAGGCCCCGACTTCTCTCTCGTTACCTTTCCTGTTGGTCGTCCCTTTCTACGGCTTGACTTTCGTCCTTCGGTTTCGTCTACTTGCTTCCTTTCTTGTTAACCATGTCTCCTCTTCGCCCTGTTGCTGACACCTTTCAAACACTTCTTTCCAACTCCTGACTCTTGGATTCGAACTCTCCTTCTTTTCCTCTTTCAACCTCCTTGCTCGCAATCCTTTTTCCATTTCCTCCTCAGTCGTCAGTCTGAAAACAATATAAATCGACGGGGTCAACCTCCCCAAGACATCTTCTCGGTTTTGCCTTTGTCTGACAGGTCTTAACCCAAATTCCAGAGACTCTTGTACTTCTCTTCTCGTTTCTTTTTCACCAATCCAAAAATACACTATTTTCCCACTTCTCTGGATCCTGCCGGCCTGGCCATCCTCCAACACTGCCTATTCTATCATATTTTTGTGGGGTTACCCAAGAAAAACGCTCTGGAAGCCTTCGTTGCCAATAGCCCACTTTCCCCAGCTGTCCTCCCGTTTCTTACACCAAAACACGGTCTCCGACCCGGCCGGCGCTTAACTTTTATATTGCATTCATTTTCCCTGACGCTGTTGAAGCACCGCTCGTTTTGCATCTGCGAGGCTTTCTCCGAGGAACGAGTCAGCCTCTTCTTTTCGATACTTTTATATATTATTGTTCTCACCCGCCCTTTTGGCTCTTTTTGTATTCTCCATCGCCAACGCAATCATTCACAATGGCTGCACGATCGTTGACTCTCCTCGCCAGCTTGCTTGCTGTCGTCTCGGCCGCACCACCACCACCGTGCAAGGCGCCTACCTACGCTCTCCCCTTGACCGGTACTGGTATGTTATTTCACTTTTTTGAACCTTTTTGAAAATGAATGAAATTGTCCCCAAAGCCCAGCTCGATGCAACCAAGCTAACACTCCCAGGTACCGAACTCCCTCCTGTTAGCCCTGGCTTGGCTCTTTTGAAAATCGCCGTTGGCCACGGCATCCAGAATTACACCTGCGCTTCCAACAGTGCGGCAACCGTCGCCACCGGTGCCCTGGCTACACTCTACGATGTCACCAACCTGTACCCCGGCACCGCAAAGACTGGTCTTCATCCTGATGCCTTCAACGCCATCTCCAACGCCGTCCTCTGGGGCCAGAATCTTCCCCTGAACCTGCAGAACGCCGCGGCCGCCAGCCCGGGCACCCCTTCAATCCCCAACGTTCTCGGCGAAGCTGACTACGGCGCCGTCATCGCCGACCCCTTCTTGGCCGCCGCTGCCCTCCCGCTGCCTGGTGTCCTGCCCAAATCTGTTCCGTTCCTGGGCCATCACTACTTTGACTCCAACGGTGTACCCATCTTCAACCTGGTCGCCGCCAACCTCTACGGCAGCATGAACAAGACTGGCAACGTCAAGGCGCCCTCGACTGCTGGCACCGGCATCTTGTCCACGGGCGCCGTCGACTGGCTCCAGCTGTCTGCCAGTTCCAACGCAGCCTCCAACAGCATCAAGCAGGTGTACCGCGTCATCACTGTCGGTGGTGCCTCGCACACCTGCGACATTCTCAACGCTGCTGGTGGCAGTGTCCCCTACACTGCTTTCTACTGGTTCTTCGGTTAAGCAAGACGAACATGGACAAACATTAAAATGACCAACCTCGCAAAACCCGCGCGCAACCTCAACGGCCGACAACACATACACTGTACCAACATTTGATAATATCTTTTCTAAACTCATTTCATTTCACTTCTACATATGTTTCGCTTCTTTACGGCTGGTTTTTGGATATACCCTGCCTCTTTTTTGCCATTTCTTTTTTCGTCTTTCAACACAACAGGCACTGGACTGTACAGTAGGACAACGCGCTCATTTGTCTAGGGACGGGCAAGGCGAGACAAGGCTACATTTTTCACTTTGGTATTCACAACTTCTATTATCATTCAAATTCTATTCCTATGTCCGGGACAAAACAAAAATCAAACAAGCCTCTTGTTGTAGCGTCTAGCGAAGGACAGGCCTTCGAGTATGGCTACAAAAACCAAATAAAACTACATTAAAATCAAAAAGCAATATAGCATTACAATGTTTTCGTGAGCGTATTCGGGTGGACAAAATGGCCACTACCAGGCAGGCCTCACCGCTCAAATGCGAATTGAGGTTCATCCACTCATTTTCTTTCATGATGCTGTTATGCGCCGTGCGGCTTGGGCGTAAAATTACATTTTTTATGCAAGACGAAAACAGCCAACCCAGACAGCTACAGTCCACACGATTCCCAACCAAACACTGTTGTACATTAATAGGAACGCAGGGCGGCCCGTCGCGACAGACCCAGAAGAACCCTTCATACCGACTTTCATACTTCTTGCCCTCGAACCGCCCATGCCCTTGTCTTGTGCTCCCACTCACGTTTCTTTCAGGGTCCAATATTTCTTGGTATTTTTAGGTATATGGCTGGAGTCGTCCTCGTCGTGTTGTGGGATCTCGCCGCCCCCAGCCTCGACAACGAACTACTAGCAACCCCCAGCGGCTAATGATTGGCCGACAGCGGCACACAGCCCAGACAACGGAGCGACACAAAACACACATAAAGGAAATGCGATGCACAAAATGTGGCGCGTGGCCCTCCAGCAAAAAACGTATACGGCGTATGAACAGGGTGAGGCAGCATATTATTAGACGGGGTGTCCCAGAGAGACGCTTTGGTGGATTTTGGCAGACTCATTTTGTACGACGTAAGTCTGTAAATTGCACCGATACTTGACCTACGATCCCTCTTATAAGCTCCAAGGTGGCCGGTAAACAGTACGAAAGAATCGGATTTCATGACATTAGTCAACTCCCCATGGTGTAAGTTGTGATTGCGTTCGACTGTAATGGCTACGTTGGCATCGAAACGTCGCCAACTCGACTTCAGCTCGGGAAAAACCTGAGTAGTGTTTTTGATGTTGTCAGTAGGGTCTGGATGACGCAGCCAATCACGCTTCACATGATTGCTTTGTCAAACCCTTGCAATGTCTAGAATTGGTAAACGGTTATCACTAAACAGAAAAGGTGCAGATTCTCCCGTGAAACTGTTTAAACACGTTGTTTAATTGTTTTTTTTAGAAAAAAAATATAAAATAAAATAATAAATATAGTTACGGAAAAGTGAAATAAATTTATGTATTATAGACCTCTTATTTATGATCTTTTTATTATTATTTATTAATTCAAACATATCTCAAAAAAAAAAGTGTGAAGCGTTCAAATCAAATACCAGCCAAAATGGACCCTGCAGACGACATGTCTTGTGGAAAGACAAATAATAGTTCGGAACAACGATGCGGTAGACAGACGTCCACATGCCACCGCTTCGCGAACAGGAATTCGGTTCATGAAGCGATTTGTGTAAAATGAAACTGTAGATTTATAAAATCAATGTGCACAGAAAATAGGTACATTAAAACAAGATGAAAAACCCAAAGTAGAAATCCAATAGGAGGGGTCCTGTCCTCCCCTCCCTCTCTTCCTCTTTCCTCCCCTCCTTTTAATAAAAATACCATCGTCAAGTCTGACAGAAGACGCCATGCTCCCAGTCTCAACCTGTCCTACCCAGTCGATTTGTCGCCCTCGATATCATCCTCGAGAACCCAAAGGTCTCCGTTTCAGAAGACACCCGTCATCCTCTCGACCTCAAGCGGTACCACAAATCGAATGAAGAAAGAAAAAAAAATGAGACGTGAAAAACTGGCGATCCGCTCTCTGGCTCTCCGGCGTGTAACTTTTTCGTCACCACGATAGACAAGCCTCGTCCCCCTGGATATCTTAAAATGTGTTGGTCGTTGTTGTGGAGTCGTTTGCAGTCGTACATGCCGTTGTTACAAATAAGTTTGGCCGGCTGTTTTGGGATATATGGTCGTGTTTCCACGCCGATACATGTAGAAATCGGTGTTGATGATAAGAGGGTGTTTTTGTCACTTTGAAAGTGCCGTCCGCGAATACAACAGCTCAACCAGCCGCGCCCGTCGACACAGGTCAACCGAGCTCCGGTCGGTCCAGTCCAGTCGTCCCCATTCGGTCATTTCCACTCGTCCTTTTCCATTCGTCATCGATTCATCGTTTTCATCTACTGTCAGAGCCGGTCCCCAAAAGTTGTCGTCGGGCCCGGATTGCTTTACGCGGCGGCGGGGTTGGCGTTCATCTGTGGACGTTAGCATGCTGTGCGATGCGATGAGGGTGGACGACGGTGGTCGACGGCGGTCGTCGGGCGATGGACAGTATCGTTTGCCGCGTGCCCGCCATCGCCTGCTTCGCCCCAGGTTCTCACGGCTCCTGCGCCGCCTTGCGAAAACTCACCTTGCGCTTGCCACCCGGCGTCGTCGTCACGTTGACGAAGCGGCGCGTGTACTGCTCGCGCTTGTGGGCGCGGCCCTTGGGCGTCTTCTTGGACTCCTGCGGCTCGACCTTGGGGGTCTGCGACTTGACCTTGCCGGCACGTGCCAGACTGCCGTGAACCTTGCCCATGATTGCGGTGTGTGGTGTTGTGTTGTGGTTGTTTGTGTAGGTTTGTGATGAAAGAGTTGCAGCTACTTTGTTTGGTTGTTTGAATGGCTGATGACTTTGGTGAACGTGCGGTCGTTGATGCAGATGATCAAGGAGAGTTCTCATTTTTAATCAAGGCGGGCGAAAAGACGGCGAAGTAGGCTGGAAAAACGACGAGGGGATGGTCACGTGTTCGCCACATTTGGGTAAGGCTCCTGGGCTCTTGGCTTTTTGTGGGGCAATTCTCAGCATGAGCTCGCCGTATGACTCTACATTTTGCCACTGAATAGCGGTCTGTAAGGGGGCACAAGGGCCTCTAAGGCGCCGTGTTCCTCAAATTTCAGGTACTGAGCTCAAGACTGAGTGCCCGGCGTTAACGGTGAAGTCCGGTATCGCCAAAGCGAAACATTCGTGAACTTGCTTCGTTGCGTAATTATATATTGCATTCTGAACAACAGCCACACGCTTCTTCTCATTTTTTGTGTTCGCGTAGGAAAGAAAAGGAGGGTAACAGCTAAGTATAGTAAACGAATCCAATATGTCGTGAATTTCCAAAAGCAAATAGTCGCAGGTAAGACAGAAAACAGCAATGTAATAAAACGCAGTCATATCAATCAATATACCAAAAAGGAGTGTCTGTATCCCGCAAAGCAATCACCATCTTTGGTGGGTTTCGTAGAAATATCTCCCGTAACCTGCTCCCCCATTTTCGTATTCATGTACCGTCATCCCGGCTAGGCTCGCACGGAAGAGGGGGTTGGACGGGTGCTGGAACTACCGACGCGCGTCGAGACCTCCCGCCAGCTCCTGCTCCAGACCCGCCGGGTGTGTCACGTACTCCTGGGGACGCGGATCCTCGGCAGTCCACTGCCCGCCACCCGACGGCATGGGCACCTGGCTGGTCTGCTGCTGGGCGGCAGCCTGGGCAGCGGCGTGGCCCGCGGTGCCGGGCACGGTGCGCACGAGCTGGCGGAAGCGGTAGACCTCGTCGAGGATCATGCGGCGCATGTCGTCGACCTCCTCGACGACCTCAAAGTCAAAGTTGAAGGTGGTGGGGCAGTCGGGCTCGTCGCTGGCGTCGTGCCAGATCTGAAGGTAGTGGTGCTCCAGGGCCTCCTCGACGGAAATGCGGCTGCTGGGGTCGAACGCGAGCATGCGGTCGAGCAGATCGAGGGCGTCCGGGTTGGCGTTGGGGAACAGGATGGGGAAGGGTCGCTTGGGCATGAAGGGCAAGTTGCGAACGTACTCCTGGGCGCGGGAGGAGCCGATGCGGGAGAGGGTGACCTCGTTGGGCGTGCCGAGGATCTGGAGGATCTGGTTGAGCTGGTCGACGTAGTCGCGGCCCTTGAAGAAGGGGCGGGAGCCCAGCAGCTCGGCCAGAATACAGCCGACGGACCAGACGTCAATGGCCTTTGTGTAGCTCTGGAAGCTGAGCATGATTTCCGGGGCGCGGTACCAGCGGGTGGCGACGTACTCGGTCATGTAACCGGCGTTCTCCTCCGGATCGACGGAAAAGCCGCGCGCAAGACCGAAATCGCAAATCTTGAGCTCGCAGTCGGCGTTGACGAGCAGGTTGCCGGGCTTGAGGTCGCGGTGCAGGACATTGGCAGAGTGGATGTATTTCAGGCCGCACAGGATCTGGTAGATGAAAGACTGGAAATGGGCGTCGGTGAGAGGTTGGCCGGAGCGGATAATGGCCGCCAGGTCGCACTCCATGAGTTCTGTGCTTGTTAGCACGAGCACGAGCACGCGCGTCGCTGGTGTGAGGGGCCCAGGGGAGAGCTGTACATACCCTCGTAGAGATAGGTCTCATTGAAGTTGTTTGGCCGCGGAATGTCCATGTCGTATAGACAGGTGATCTGTCGTCTGGTCAGTACGGTAGCTGTCGTCTTGCGAGGGGCGGGCATTGACGTACGTTGCGGTGGCCGCGGAAGTGCTGCAGCAGCTTGATCTCGCGCAGCGCGCGCTTCGCGAGAATCTTCTTGCTAAAGACATTGGTGACCTTCTTGATGGCCACGCCTTCGTTCGTCTGGTTGTTGACGGCGGCGCACACAATACCGTACGCGCCCTGGCCAAGCTCCTTGGTCACGGTATAGCGCTCGTCGACGATGAAGTCTTGGTTGAAGACCTTGAAGACCTTGCGGCCCTGCAGATCGGCCATCTTGCTGTGGGAGAGAGATGTGGGACGTGCGGAGGAGGGGCAGGAAAAGATGGCGAGGAAACGGGACAAGCAGCCCAGGATCTGGTAAGGTTGGAATGGAAGGACGTGGGCGTCGAGAACAACGGCCGAGAATGTCAAAATATAAATCGAGGACAGCTCCAGGTGAAACAGTCGAGTCAATCTGAAATGATCTCGGACGGACGAGAGCGTTGACCAGCTCTTGTTTTGTTTTGGGGGCTCTTTTGGTGGGGTGGAGCGAGGCGCAAGGAAGAGGAGCTGACGGTTTTGGCGGGGCTGAAACGAGCCTACGGTGGTGCGAATGAGGGGAGACGTGAGATTTGAGACTGGAGTGACGGATAACTGGCCAGACGGAGGGTAAAATGAAGCAATGAAAGGGGCAGAGAACGAGAATGATTCTGAAGGTTTATGCCATAGAAAAAAATATGTATTTGTGGTGGGAAGTCGTCGCAAGAGAAGGCGCGTTGTTAGTCAACTGTTTGTCGAATGGAAGGCGCCAAATGGAGAAGGCAAGAAGGTACTTCAAAATGAGGCAGAACGGGCGGCAGCAAGTAGAAAATGTAAATGGAAGGACAGGAAGGGGCAGGTACAAGACAAATCCCGAGAGACGAAAAGGGAAAGGGCAAAGAGGGAAAGAGGGAAGGCGAGAATGGGCGACGGGAGCTTATTTGGAGGGGTGACGGGCAGAAGGCAACAGCGGAACACAACAGAGCAACTGGGAAAGTGCAACTCGAGTGGCGGGTGGTTGCTGCAGTATTTATGACTTTGAGGCCGTTCTTTCCTGAGTTGCTTGACGCTTTTTTCCTGTTGATTTTCATCACCTTCTTTCCTATTTTGTCACGTCAACTGGGAATTGGGACGCATCGAGCACTTGACCATGCCGACGTTGTCTTGACAGAAGCTAGTCGCTTTGCGCGGGGCATCCACTTCGACGTGCTAGGTTGTCAACAAGGCGCGGAACTAACAGGGCCAACTGCGGGCGTGCTGGGCGCCAATTCGTCGGCCACGAAAGGGATGGACAGGGGCAACGCTAGCTCGATTTTGCGGGCGGCAAACTCAGGGACCGAGACAAAAGAGAACGACTAAAGAACAAAGAAATATGAAGGTTGACAAGATTCTGAAAACAGCTCGCAACGGCGGCCTTACCCGGTTGCATACTTCGAAATCTTCTGGCACTTCCAAAGACGGCGCCAAAAGACACGTCGACCGCTCGGCCGCTCGATCGTTGCGAGGGACAATGAGGAACCTAGGAACCGAATACCAGGTCGACGCGCGACCCCCAGCCATGTCATGGTCACCATAGCCGCCCGCGACGTTCCCTTCACCTCGATTAATCTTGGCTGATGAGCCAAGGACATGAGCGGCAATCCTTCCACTCTGTTTCCGTGATATCCAGTGAAGGAAGGTGAAGGCATGGATTCAACGTGGCGCAGATACTTGGAGGATCATCAGCACCTGCCACTCGCCACTCACACCGGCACCGGTATCTTTCACGACGCCAAAGTACCAATCTGCTATTCTCCTCAAGCTCTCCCAAGCCTGACGTCTTGCCTGCCTAGACGCAGTTAAGCGCGCCGATGCACGTAGCATCCACGATACCATGTACGAAAGAGGGTGTTTATGGCCGCTCCTGCAGGCCCCCTCTGCGCGGCAAACATGTCCACTGCAGAAGCGAAGAGCGAGTAGCAACGGGGGCGCAGCCCGTCAAATCCCAAGCGTATGGCTCTCGGGAACAGCCATCGTCTTTGGCGTGGTGGTATTTCTTTCGAGGCCCGTTCTGGGGCGGCCTTTATGGTGGCCTTTGCCCGCAGTAAGGTAACAAGCGAGCGGCGTTTATGAGGCGCATGAAGGGAAAAGGATCGAGCGCGTAGGATCGGTAACGTACTCTGCTTGCCATATCCTACGAGCAGTGGCGTGGCACATATTTTTCTTTTGCCCCACGGCTCGACGATGCATTCGTAGAGAGAATGCAGACTAGACGCCGACTAGAACGGCCTGTGCCTACTACGCACATCGTAGTCCAAGCATGTGACGTATGCAGGGGAAGGGGTACGGCACGTTGTTTCGCCTTCTTCCCGGAAATTATGTGCCGCACGAAGAGGATCTCCGCTGTTCTCTTCACCACACGAGACTAACGGCTTCTCTATATTCTACCACCTCGTTGACCCTGACCCAATTCTGTACAGTGGAAAGGAGCGTTGGTGGACGTGACGCAGCCAAAGCATGGTATATTAAAAAGGACTAAGAAACAATGGGCTATCACGTCGACAAAGAAAAGACCGTCGCAAAACCAGAAATCACAACCGCAATGTCGCCTCATGGCGGTGTAATCTCGGGAAAGGCCGCCTTCAGAAAGTTCTTGCTGAACCGCGTCGCCTGCTCGTATGCCTTGCTGAAGCCGTCGCGGCCGCCATAGTAGGGGTCGGAAATCACTTCGCGGCCGTCGCCGTCGGGCGTTGCGTACGCCCCAAACAGCATGACCTGCGCCCTGGTCTTGTCGGGGTGCTTCTGCTGGAGACGCTGGATGTCGCTCAGGTTCTGCTTGTCCATGGCAAAGATGTAGTCGAAGCGGTCGAGGTCGGCGGCCTGGAGCATGCGCGCGCGGTGGGAGTAGTCCGTGATGCCGTGGGCGGCGAGCGTGGCCATGGTGCGGTCGTCGGGGTCGTCACCGGTATGGTAGGAGACTGTGTATCGGTGTTAGAAGACAGGCAAGAGAGGGGATGGCAGCTTTCGTGTGGACAGACGCACTCGTGCCGCACGAGTCCACTTTGGAGACACAGGCGTTGTAGGGCTCCTTCTTGGCCATGGCCTGGAAGACGCCCTCGGCCATGGTGGAGCGGCAAATGTTGCCCATGCAGCAAAAGAGGACAGCTATTTGGTCGGGCATGGTGGCGATTGGGGAGGGAAGGCGGAAGAACGAGTAAAGAAAAGACGAAGCAAGGGACTCGTTTGACGTGGTTGTAGAGCTACCCCACGATAGTGCTACATTGGGTGGGGCGAACCGCGTGGCTGATAAGATAAGGCTTTTGGTGAGCAGGACTTGCACGGAGGCCTACCGTAATAGCGTTTGTTTATTTCTTTATTTTGGTAGAGAAACTGGAACGAAAAATAAGTACAGGAGATAATTGTCAGGGTTATACTGTATCTGGTACGTTTACTTCGCCGCTGCAACTGTCTTGGTAGGCTCTGGTCAAAGAAGATTAATAAGAACTGAGAAAATCAACCGTGGAGGTATTTTCACAGTCAATTACACGAGTCCAGTATAATTTAAGAAAGAGTCATACTGATGGACTTTCTTTTCTTTTCTTTTTGTATGTTTGGCAGTTGCTCCTGTCTGTATGGAGCTTAGCCATATGTACAGAGGTCACAGCAATGTGTGACCGTCACTGATACTTTGTTACGAATTGGGACGGGTAAAGTATAAGGGTACATAATATTGTACAATCAAATCAAAAGAAATCATAGATCTTCTTTTGGAAACTTGGAAATTAGGTATTTTCAGATAAACCAAATATGACTGAACGAGCTCAATGGCCACCCTCGAGATAAGTATATCAGTATAGAATGTGCGATGGAGGCATGGCACACATCTGATTTCCCTAGGAGAGAGGACGCGCTGGTTAAAAGGCCACAAGGTAGGCAACGCCGAGAGCGGCAATACCAGCCAGACAGGCAGCCACGGAGCGAAGGCTGGCGCCAGAGGTGGCAACCGACGAAGGGGCGGACTTTACTGTTAGTCGGGGACGAGATACAAACACAGGTAGAACGAACAGAGACGAGCCGCCGGGACTTACAGTGGTGACGCTGGGAGAGCCAGTACCGGCAATCGTGCTGTTGGAAACACCTGAACCAGCAGTGGGCCTGGAGTCAGTTCTCGAGGTGGCCGCGGCAGAGGACGAGTCGGCAGCAGCCGCAGAAGAGTCAGTCAGAGCAGCACCGGCCGACAAGGATGAGGAGGTGGTGGTGGCCGGTGCCGACGAGAGAACACCGGCAGCAGACGGCGAGGACGCGCCCGAGCCGCTGGAGTCGGCACCGCCAGGCAGGGCGGTACCAACAGCGGCCTGGGAGCCGGCCGCGGGGGTGGTGGCCAGACCGCAAACAGCGGCAGCGGACGTGAGGGCGTCGCTGTAGTACTTCCAGATGTCACCATTGTCGGGGCCGGCGCACTGCAGACAGTTGTCGTAGTCGGTCAGGAAGACATTGTCATTGCAGATGCTGGACACGGTTTGGGCCTCTAGAATCGCTTGGCCTGGGTTTTGTTAGTACAGTAATGAGCGAAGACAAAAAAGGAAAGCGAGTAAGCGAGAAAGTGAATGTAGGGATGGCAACCAAACGTACCGCAGTTGTCGTGGCAGTTGTAAAGGGGCGAGCCGGGGGACAGGTCGGCACGGGCGCGGATACCGGCCATCAGGGGCGAGACGCCAGAGGCAGAGGCGCCAGCCGCGAGGACACTGCCGACGACGACCTTGGGAGCAACCATTTTGTCGTTTTGATTCTGGATGAGGAAGGTTGTGAAAATGAAGGTATTTAATAAATATTAAAAGAGATGAAATCACAAGAGGTTGGGTGACAATTGGTAAAGACGGTGAAATGAGCGTGAATGGTTGGCGATCTGTGCGAGAAGACGAGCTTATATCTGTGATGAATTGAACTGCGGCCCGGGACTGATGGTGGTGTCGAGCCAGGGGATCCTCCGTGAAAGAATGGCCTGTGGCATGGCAATGTATATTTACCTACAAGTGGACAGTTTCTCCCATTACCGGCAGCTGTGCTTTCCACCATTGTTCCACTCTCGTTGCCATAGTGCTGTTTCGAGTGATCTCTGGTAACCTTGCCGAGAAACGTTTATGAGGGAAACAGAGTGCCGGGAAACGAAAAGAGGATGGCGGTATTCGAAGGAAAAAACGCTACGGAGTTGGACAATGGACCACCGCGACCACCCAATATACTTGGCGTGCCAAGGATATGGCCGGTGTATTCCGTAGGTGCACATCGTTCAGCGTGTCTTGACCAGCTTTGCCTGCCCCGGCCAAGACCAGTCTAGCGGTTTGTTCTCTTGCGAGCTGGTCGGCAAGACTGGCATGTTGTGCTCTCACCGATTCTCTCTAATTTTGCACCATCCTTGACCGAAATTCACCATTTGGCTCTGTCTTTGCGTCCCAGATGTTTTACTTGACTTGATCCATGGGGTTGTCATCAAATTTTGGCGTAGAATATTCAAACAAAGACATATGAGGGTGTCGTGTCGTTCAAGGGGATGAAGCAGTGCTCTGGCAATGGTTCGCTATCATCTATTGGTCTCTACTTCGGCGCGTCGGCAACTGCTTACCTGCCTCCATACATTAAGAGAACTGCGATCTCGGAGTATACTAAGACTCTTCGTTTACTGTACGTACCTCCCATGCCTGGCACGACCTCGCCAGAACAAAAGAGGGCCCCATAATGGAAGGGGGCGCGCAAGAGGAAGTAGGATTTGATCCCGCCCTGTCCTCTTTACGGTATGGCGTTTGATTTTGAGTGCATTGACTGATCATCTGATAAGATTAGATTAAATAAAATAAACAGATACGAACCTGCCCACTGTTGCGAGTTGCCACGACATTACCGGTGCCCACTGATCCTATTCCTTATTCAGCGTTAATTTTCCACCTCTTTCTGCCTCAATTCCATTGCTTTCACATTGCCGCAACCCTTCAGAGCTACCCAACCACCTCCAGGTCCTTCGTCCTTCCCAAGGCCAAGACCTTACTAGGCCAAGACTTTTCTAGGACGTACGCGGTGACAATGGCTCCACATCACCCACCACCCATTTCTTGTTAGCCTCCACTTTGATCAGATAACGACAACTGCACTCTCGTCGTTGTCTCCGCCCTGTCTCGCCAACCTGTTCAACACATGGCTGATGGAGCCCTGCCAAGGCGACTCTACGAGCTTTGCGAAAACGAGCCCAGAAGAGGTAACCAGGATAAATAATAAGACGGCAAACTCCCCTTTTAAAATATGAATTTGAAAAAAAGGATCCTATCTAAAAGCCTGACAGTCAGGTGGCGGAACGACGACTGTTCCATACTGCCCGTGGGATTGCTGTTTTTGTGCTCTGAAAGCTCTCCCTCTGCATTTCCTTGTCAGATTCTATCTGATCAAAATTATCAGATCTAAGCATCAGGAGCGCCATCATCCTCGCCACAAAGGATAGCCGGGATCATAGCAGACGCTTACAACTAACTGATGAAGGATCCATCCTAACGAGCGCTTGCAAAGACCAGCCGAGAACGACTCATGTAGTGTTATGCCATTTTTTCATCCGTTTACCTCCTCTCGGTCTCCGCACGCGTCTTACTCGGCGTTTAGACTCGAGAGTGGTTACGTCGAACTCTGTATCCGGAGTGTCCTACCAATAGCTTCACCAACCCCCTCCTCTCCTTCAGCCAACCTACTTCCGTTCTCCAGCCGGGAATCCAACTTTATATTCAAGTTCACTTTTCTTGTTTGTCGGCCAAGACTTTACTTGCATCCAGCCAAGTCCGGCCATGTCCCAAAGAGACATCGTCTGCACCGCGACCGGCACCGTTGTTTGTTGGTATGTTTCTTGTTGTGTGCATTCTTTTGTCATTTCTCTTAACCGCGCTTTGCACAGTCTGTTCTCTCCTTTCTTCTTCCGCCATCTTCTCCGCTCATGTTATCAGATTCTCTGATGGGAGTCCGCCCGTAAAATACGCTCTCGACCATGTTTTTTTTGCATCTGCTAACGCTGGCACCCCCCTTTTCTCATAACCATAAATACTATGTCTTCACGTTGTGTAATATCGAACTTATAGAGAAAAATCAACAGCAAAAATCAAAATCAAATTAAAATCAAACACAATGATCTGGTAACCCTCCCTTCCCGTCACATCCAGTTACCCTCCCACCTGTTAAAAATGCTGCGCTAAAAGGCCCCTCTCAACAATGTACAAGTGCTTCCTGCAACTCCGGCATACATTTTCTGTTTCCATCCGCCTTATTGTCTTGGCAAAGGCACCCTTCATCACCTCCAAGCCGACCAAAAACCGAAAGTAGAAGCCAGTAGTCACCCAACGTTTATCGTCTCTAGTCCATCATTCACTGTCTGCCTCTTGCCACTTTCCAGATTTTTTGGGGTTTTGTCCCACTTTCTGATATCTCCCAGCTACGGCCTTCTGCCAAACGTATCGAATCCCCTCGTATTGTTGCAGCCCTCGTTATCTGTGTTGTAGCCCATGAATCCTCTTTTCAGCTTGTGCAAGTCCACATTGTTTGCCTCTGTCCCACTACGCTTCTTTTTGGGCCTTACCTAAATGTTTTTTTACTTCCTTTTCGTAACCATAATAGACACCGTCGTGGGTGGTCGGTTGTCGGTCTATATAACTTGACAGATCAGCCACAGACGCCCGTCCTTGTATTCCATGCCCATATTGTATTTCTCGTCCGCCCCCTTGCACTCTCTTCCACGTCACTCTTCGATGCCCATATGACCAACTAACGCATTCTTTCTGTGTCTTCATCCCTCTCTTCCCATAATGCGCTTCGCTGCCATACTCTCTGCCACCGCCACCATGGCTGGCGTGGTTCGGGCCGCCCACGGCGACGGCGACGAAGGCAGCATCATGGGCCCGGTGGCGTTCCTATGGCCCGACGACCGGAACTGGTCTGCCGCTGCCGACAACAATGGGCCCTGCGGCAGCACCGAGGGCGTCACCAACCGCACATTGTTCCCGTTGTGTACGTGTGGGACTTTAAGCGTACCATTCGCAACGACTGGACTCTGCTAACCATCAGCCCACGGCTCTGTTGCCCTGACCATTGCCGACGAGGCCTACAAGGTCGCCTTTTACGTTGCCTTTACGAACGGTGCGTCCAAGACTATTCCACCCACGTTGTACAATGTTTCATCGCCCTCCTAACTAACAACGCGCAGACCCCACTCGCCAGACCGAGTTCCAGGAGCAGGTCGTCAACAACGTCACCGAGGTCGCCCCCGGCCACCAGTGCTACAAGATCGACCCCGTTCCGCCGTCCACCACGGCCGGCACCAATGCCACCATCCAGCTGCAGTACTGGGCTGTGTACGAGGGCGAGAACAACAACCAGAACCAGACGTTTTATGCCTGCGCCGACGTTACCTTTGTCGAAGACGCAGATATCGTCGGCTCTGTGCCGTGTTTCAATGTGACGGCCTCCGATTTCAGCAGCGAGGGCTCGTCGTCCACCATATCTGCCGGCAGCGGCGCCACCACGGGCCCCACCGGGCCGGGTGTGGGTTCGAGTGCTGCTCCTACGACAGCCTCCGAAACGAGCGGCCTCGCCGCGGGCGCCAAGGCCGGCATTGCCGTCGGCTCCATAGCCGGCGTCGCTGCGCTGGCCGCGCTCGGGGTCTTTGTGTACGCCCGCAAGCGCCACACGGGCTACCTCGAGCGACGCCGCGCGTCCAAGATGAATGCGCCCATCCCGCTGAACAAGCGCAAACCAGACGGCACATCGGTCACGTCGGCATAGACGTAGGAGAAGGGCAAATATATGCAAGAGAACCGTAAATAAGACAATGGGGGCTCGAAATGAGCATAAAGTCATGAGATATTTGTAATGACGTAGGTTGGCAACTTGTACGAAGCAGAGTTTCAACGAAACGAGAATTAAAGATGATCAGATGATTGCTACAATGATATGTGCGTACTACTTTTCTGAGAGTGTCGTAGGATAAGGCATGTATAAGTCTGTTTGCTTTATCTGCGTCCGATGTGACATTCCAAAAATCAGGAAATGTTTTCCCGTTGTATAACGCCGCACAAGGACTAAGTAGATTGATAATTGTGAAATACATATGCATTGGCGGAGAGTACGCTGGTATCTGGTTGTTCCATAACATTTATTTTATTTTACTTAATTTCGGATTTTTATGGAATAAAAAAAAAAGTTAAATACCTTTTGAGTCTCAATATTTTGCCCAAAAGAAGGTGATTTTGTTTATCGTTACCTGCGTTCATATCACTGTCGTACGTTTGTCACCACTGTGCGTTTCCAATTTTGTTTATTAATGCAGGCTAATGCAGCTCAACGATAAGGTACCGTCCCTAGCCTTTACGGGGCAGTTTTGTAAAAGACGATTCGTCAATTGCTCTAGAGGTTTTAAAATACCAAAAATGCAGTACCCTCCTTCTACTATGATTGCTTTGAGAAGCATCCGTTTACAGCCGCTCACTCAACGTCTCTAGGATCAGCCTCTCCTCCGGCCGCAGGTTCATGAAATCCGGCACGACGACCCGGTTGCGGGTGATGACGACGCGGGCATGCTCCTGAGACGTCGCGACGGTGGTCGTCCGCGGGCCGTGGTTCGAGCGTGAGTGCGTGCGGGTGAATGTGACGTGGCCCATCCCGGGGTCGGCGAGATCGGTCATGCCGAGCTCCACATCGGTGTCGTCCTGGGACGCGGTCCTGCGTGGATTTTCGAGGTTTTCGGGATTTTCGGCATCGTCGGTATGTTCGGGCTTCCCCGGTCCGGTTGTGCCACACGCCAACTTGTCCGTTTGTTCGATGGCGGGTTTGTCGTGCTGGCTCGCGTTGCTCGCCGTGGACGACGCCGGCGACGCCGACAGCGCCGACGTTGTCGAGTGGCGCGTCCAGAACTGGCCCACCTCCTCGGGCGCCCACCAGTAGATCGGGTACCGCCGCTGCACGTTGTTGATGAGCAGCGCAATCGCCTGCATCAGCACCGACCCCAGCAGCACGGCGGGGATCAGGCGCCAGCCAATGTGGTAGGCGTTGTTGTCGGCGACGGCAATCAGGGCTGTGGCGCCGGCCGGCGGGTGCACGGTGCCCGTCAGGGCCATGACGGCCGTCGCCGCCGCACAGGCAATGGACCCGGCGAGCCAGCGCAGCGCCTCGAAACGGGCGGGCGGCAGCAGCGAAAAGAGGCGGGCGACGGCGACGCCGATCACGGACGACAGGAGCTGGCCGATGACGGCATTGCGCGGCTGGGCCAGCGGGGACTCGATGGCGTAAAACTCGAGGACGGCGGCAGCGCCGAAGCTGCCAATGGTGATGGTGGCGCCGTCGACCCCGAAAAAGGCGGAGATGCGGGCGTCGACGACGTTGACCACCGACACGCCGCAAAAGACACCGACAAACGCCCAGGCAATGACAATCAGATTGCCGATGCGCCCCGGATGCGATGTTTGTGGCGGTTGGCGATAGCCGAGAAAGTGGCCGAGCGGGCGCGGCAGGTGCGGGACCACGGAGGGGGGGATGAAGCGGTTGACGTAGTCATCAATGTTGAACTGCCAGGCGGCGGCTGTGAAGAATGAGGACCGCTTGTGCATGATGGGCGATGGGAGCGTGGATGTGGGAGAGTGAAGAGTGGACGTGAGTACAGAGTGTCGTCTATGTAGCCAGCCGTTGGGAGATGAGGATGGCGATGTTCTCTTTTGAGAGGGTGATGAGCAGTTCTCTCTGCAGGACTCGTTACTGATGTTGTAGCGTTATGTTTGTCGTGACATATCCTGCTTCAGTTAACATTCATCCAGACGAATATGATCCAACGATGGCGTCCTGGCCTCGGCTTTTCGAAAAGATAAAGTATTAGAGTGCTCAAAGTTCTTACCATTGTCATGGAGTTGGAAGGCGAATTTGATATGGATGGCGGATTGCCTTCGTAAGGCAGTGCCGAGAATGTACTTCCGCCTGGCCAATGCAGGAATGAGCAGATGGAAGTCTTCCCTTTTTCGATCGTCGAGAAGCAGAAAATGGAAATAAACAGCCAGCGACAAGTCTCGTTTCGTTTTGTTTTGTCTTCATGTCCTTATGTCTGTGTCTTTCTGTCTTGCCACTCCAAAGGACGTAACTCGGCAATTCGGCCTCGCCAGAAACGGGTGGATGTCGTCCTTTTTGCGGGCCCACGGACGGCCTTACCCGCCGACGGTTTAGTGTGAGGCGGCCGAGCGGTCGAAGCAATTCAACGTCAGTGCTGACCACTGCTGGTCGATGACGAGGATGAGCAACTAAACTCGCAGAAATTACGGATTACACAGAAATCACGACGAAGAACCAAAGGAACGGACAGCGGTCTGTTTACAAAGACAAATCTGGTGCCGCCGGCGACATAGAAAGACGTCTGTGAGCCTGGAAAACCAGTCAACGCCTTGCAAGAATTGCATTTCCACGGAACCGTGTATTTCACACTGGATTTTCGCTTGCTGGCGATCCGGGAAATGGGGCAACCGGGAGCCAAAATGACGATTGGTACCGACTAATCCTGCCGACAAGTCGTGCTAGTGGCCTACGCGTGTATTGAACGAAGGCTTGTCGGTGCGTTCATGGTTATAAAATTCCACATCCGATAACTCATCACCAAATCGCCAAATCGCGAAATCACAAAATCACGAAACCACGAAATATCCGAGGACAAGAAACGACACGCGAGCCTTTTGTACACCGTCCCGGCCGTTCCTGATACACAGTGGACGAGGCTCTGGTCGTCTTCATGTACTTACAGTCTGGCGTGTGTGTACTTTGCACGCCGGAGATGTCAAATCGGACTGTCAAGGCGACCACATTGACGCAACGCAAATTCCCAATTTATATCGTAATTTTTACGTATTAGTGTCACAGTTGACCCGTACAAAGTGGATACTCCGTGCCGAGAGCGACGTGAAGTAACCAATGCGGAGAGGACCCGCTACAAGAGGCTACACTCAGCAGCCAATAGCCAGTTCGCATGCGCTGGCCTAACAATGCTGACCTAAGAATGCTGACCTAAACAAACATGACAGTTTGGAAACGCTGTATCAACATCACCAACGTCACGATCGTTACAAGCAGCGTCGCAATCAGACAGCCTTTGGCTACGGGCTAGAACGATGGTGACAGTACACTGGACCGTTGTCGTAGGTGCGTCGACGTTGAATGGGACAAGGCAAGTATGATGAACAGGTAGAAGACAGAAACCTCGCAAGGATGAAGCGAGAAAAAAGAATGAGAAACAAGAGAACAGTCACTCGACTCTTGTCTTGTTTCTTAGAAATGTTAAGTTTATACAAGACTTTGAATTCAAGAGGGACATTTCTGGCTTCCATTGGCTTTGATGTATGTCATAATACCTTATGCCTGGATCTGGATCTATTCAGATCATCGCTGTCCTATGCGCAGGACAACTGCCACCAAGGAAGAAGCTAGACACCGCCTCTAAGGAAGACGGCTCATCTTGATATTATAAGAAGATAGTGTTTCTTCTGTTGAAACATAAAGAAGCTCAGGAGAGTAAGTATCCAGAAGCCGTGACAACCGCACCGCAGATAAGCTTCCAGGCCTGTAGAGCCATACTGGGGGCACTGTGTCCTCGGAGCACTGGCACCTAGCATGCATTCATTCACATGTAGACCTCTTCGATCTGCGCACACTCGTGTATACATGGACTTTGACAGATGGCGCAGCCCTGGGCATCGATGGCTTCCACTCTGCAGCAAGGAGTGCCCATATGGCGCCAATAACGATGGACGAGGCTGGCAGCGAGGTGCGGTGGGTGGCCATTACGCACTGCTCTGTCAGGATGATGCTGTATCCTTTGGGCGTCGGGCTTCCACCTCGAAAGCCTGCGGGTGATTGTGCATAATCTCCTGCATCGCCCGACATTAAAGTCCGCCCCGGCGGCTGTGACAGCCTGCGGCGCCTTGACAATGGTAAAAGGGTTTTCACATCAGCAAGACGAGTTCATGTTCACTCATGGCACTCCCTGTCATTGTGGCTTCCCTTTGTTCTCATCAGTCAAAGTGGCTGGACACGTGGTGTGAGACGGCTGCCTCGTCGCCTTCAAAGTCGTTGCACACTGGGCATTTCGTCGTCGCCACAGCCGGTGCCGTAGCAGCTGCCGTTGCTGCTGTCGTCGGGCTGTCTGCGTCTGCCGTTCCTGCCCTGTTGCCGCCTCGCCGTTTATGCTGCTTCTTCGCTGGGCGTACGTATGCGTCCAGACAAATCTGCTCGCGCGGTGCCCCATCGACGCCGGCGGCAGCGGCGGTAGTATCAAACCCGGAGGCCCCAAATGCGGATGCCCCAAACGCGGACGCCGCTGCTCCATATGCGGGTGCGGTGACCATGGATGCGCCACTGTGACCGCCGTCCCCGCTTCCACCAGCCCCCGCCATCGTCTGCACCCGCCCGACCCGGCCGTCGCTGAGCCGCACCTTGATCCCCCGCGGATGGTTGCCGCGTGTTAGGACGTTCTGCACCATGCCCTGCACGGTGCGGCCGGTCGGCTGGTCCTGCTTGAGGACGATGTTGACGTAGGCACCGGGGACGACCTGGGCGATTGTGGGGACCGACTTGAGCGCCATCCTCGGCCGCATCGTCCGCTGGGCGACGTTGGGGAGGGTTTCGTAGTTATCAGTCCGTCGTTCTCGGAAGAGTTTTGTTGGCCGATCGATTAAAACGTAATGGTTTGTCGTGGTGGGGAATATGTTGACGATGTTGTTGAATTTTTTTTGGTTGGCGTTCTAAAGGCTTCCAGAAATAAGCCGAGCAAACCCACTGTCGCGGTTGAGTCCCGCTGTGGCCCTCTAGTTGCCTTCCTATTTCGGGTTTCCGCCATTCACCAGTGCGTCTCAGTGGACTTAGCCCGCTGTAATTAGTGGATGCAATGATGCTACCAAGGCACTGAGCCATTCGACATGTTTTGCAAAAGCCTTTGCTCGAGGCGGGGTAGTTTTTTGCACGGCTTGCAACGGGACAGTGAGAGACCAGACAAGGCACTGATATGCTGGCCGTTACTTACCATTGCTTTGTGTCTTATCCATCACTCTCACGGAGAACTACTCACTTCCGTGCTCGTTCCCCTCGCTCCTTCCTGCTGACCTGTTAAATCCATTCCTGCCTCTGCCGGCTTATTCGGTGTGCATCTCTCGCTATCTACCGCTCATCGGCATGCCCCGCCCGGCTCTGTCGCTCTTGCCACCTTCCCGATCAATTCAATCGCACCTTCCCCTTAGGTTGACCCAGCGCCGGTTGACGTTTAGTCCGCGCCGTCTCTTCGTATCTAGCTCTCCTGTGCACGTGAACCTCCCCCCCTCTGCGATCCCGAAGAATTTGAGCACCTCGCATCTCTCCTCAAACAACAGCAATCCAGCCATCCTCCCGTCCCCCATATCACAACACCCGCCTGTGCCCTCTGCGCTCCCCCGCATCCACATCCGCACCTACCTCACCGACGCCATTCGCGCCCACCAAGCCCGCAAAGTCACCATGGCACCCCAGCTCGACGGCTTCTTCAAGCAGGTCGACGACCTGTCCGGCCACTTCATCGACCGCCTCGGCAAGGCCGTCGCCATCCCCTCTGTGTCCTCGGACGCCGCCCGCCGCCCGGATGTCGTCCGCATGGCCCACTTCCTCGAGACCGAGCTCAAGGCCCTGGGCGCCGAGGTCGAGCTCCGCCCCCTCGGCAAGCAGCCCGACAACCCGAGCCTCGACCTGCCCCCCGTCGTGCTCGCCCGCTATGGCCGCGATACCGCCAAGCGCACCATTCTGGTGTACGGCCACTACGACGTGCAGCCCGCCGAGAAGACGGACGGCTGGAACACGGAGCCGTTTGAGCTGACCGTCGGCGAGGACGGCCGCATGCTGGGCCGCGGCTCGACGGACGACAAGGGCCCCGTGCTGGGCTGGCTCAACGCCATCGAGGCGCACCAGAAGGCGGGCGTCGACTTCCCTGTGAACCTGCTGATGTGCTTTGAGGGCATGGAGGAGTACGGCTCGGAGGGCCTCGACGAGCTGATTGAGGCCGAGGCCAAGAACTTCTTCAAGGACGCCGAGGCCGTCTGCATTTCCGACAACTACTGGCTCGGCACCGAGAAGCCGTGCCTGACGTACGGCCTGCGCGGCTGCAACTACTACGCCATTGAGGTGTCGGGCCCCGGCCAGGACCTGCACAGCGGCGTGTTCGGCGGCACGGCCCAGGAGCCCATGACGGACCTGTCGCGTGTGCTGGCGACGCTCGTCGACACGGACGGCAAGATCCAGATCCCCGGCATTGCCGAGCAGGTGGCGCCCGTCACGGCGGACGAGGCGTCGCTGTACGACAACATCTCCTTCACAATGGACACGCTGCACGAGTCGCTCGGCAGCACGACGACCATCTTCGAGGACAAGAAGTCGACGCTCATGGCGCGCTGGCGCTACCCGTCGCTGTCCATCCACGGCGTCGAGGGCGCCTTCTCGGCCCCCGGCGCCAAGACGGTCATCCCCGCCAAGGTCATTGGCAAGTTCTCCATCCGCACCGTGCCCAACATGGAGATTGACAAGACCAACGCGCTCGTCTTCCAGTACGTCAAGGACCAGTTTGCCAAGCTCGGCAGCAAGAACACGGTCAAGGTCAGCGCCCTGCACACGGGCAACTGGTGGGTCGCGAGCCCCAAGCACTGGAACTTCTCGGCCGCCGCCAAGGCCGTCGAGCGCGTCTGGGGCGTCGCCCCCGACTTCACCCGCGAGGGCGGCAGCATCCCCGTGACGCTCACGTTCGAGCAGGCCACCGGCAAGAACGTGCTGCTGTTGCCGATGGGCAGCTCGACCGACGGTGCCCACTCGATCAACGAGAAGCTGGACAAGCGCAACTACATTGAGGGCATCAAGCTGCTGGGCGCCTACCTCCACTACGTGGCTGTCGAGCCGACGCAGTAGGGGGCCATGTTCGTTTCAGTGACACTGCCTATGTCTCGAGTACACACAATTGATATGAGTTGAATGCATTCTCTCTATGACCTGACAATATACAATTTACTGTGAAGACGACGGAGACTTAATGTGCGAAGGAAAAACAAACGTAACCAAGAAGCAACAGAGGAAAGGTATACAATCAACCTTGCGTACATGTGCAAGAATGAGTGAGGGTATCGGGGTATTAGTGTAAAGCAAGGCATGAAATAGAACCAATCAAAACAAAACGCCCAAATAAGTCAAGAAAAAAGCAGACCGGTCCTCACACCACACGACCTCACGTTTTGAAACTCTTAAACAGCAACTCGGCCCGCTTCGCGGCCCGGCGCCGGGCCACGACGTCGGCGTCCCATGTGCCCATGAAAATGTCCTCGCACTCGTCCTCGTCTTCCGAGTCAAACTCGATAGGACCGTTGTGTTTGGGGGCGTAGACGTCGCTGTCGCCGTCGCCGTCATCCTCAGAATTCCCTTCCTCTTCAACGTCAACCGTGGCCTCGCCGGTACGGACCCGTTGGTAGCGGGCCATCAACTGCCGCACCGCCCCGAGCGGGTCGCTGATGGGGGAGCGGGCAGTCTCTGATTCATCGTCCGCAACGCCCTCTTCTCCCTTTCCGCCCACTCCGCCCACCCCGCGGGCATCACGCAAAGGCACATCCTCCCAGCTGTGGTACGTCGCCAGCCGCGCAATCTCCAAAATAAACTTGCCCACCTTGTACCGCTGCGCCGGGTCGCTCGCATCCACGTACTTCCAGCCCAGCTTCGACCGGCACACAGCGCAGTAGATGTCAGCCACGACGTGGGCGCCGGTGACGAGGCGGCGGTTCTCGGAGCGGCCGATCAAGATGTTAGGCAAATCGCGCGAGCGGCCCGGCTTGAGGCGGAGAGCGTGTCCGCCGCCTCCGTCGTTGTCATCATCATCGTCATCATCGTCGTCGTCGTCGTCATCGTCGTCTTCGTCATCCTCCCTGTCACTCCTCGCTTCTTTGACCTCTGGAGCAAAAAGGTGACTCGGCGATGTGGCAGGTGCCGACACGAGATAGGCGCGGCCATGGCGACCGGTGAACCCCTTGGAGACGACCTGGGCCGCAAAGGCGAGGTCGGCGGAGCAGCGGCGGCAGCGTAGGGTTGTGGGGAAGACGCGCTGGATGTGGCGAGCAGGCGCGGCGAGAGCAGCCGTCTGTGTTTGTGTGTGTGGAGAGCTAGACGGACGATTGTGCTGCTTTCGCAGCGTCTCCACTTGTGGACCCGGCTTGTCCATGGACGGGGCTGCCACGCCTGTCTCCAGCAGCCCGTCGTCATTGTGGAACGCGGCAAAGCCTGGCTGTTGGTAGTCGATGGTATCAAAGACGGGGAATGGCGCGGCGATGGGGCCAAAGAGGCTTTGGGGTGTAACGGAGATGTCAGAGCTGGGCGAGGTCGAGAGGGATGTCGACAAGGAAGGTGCCGTAGCTTGGCTGCCGGTGGAGGTGACGGTGGCTGCCGACGCTGACGATGCCGCTGAGGCGACACTAAACCGATGCGAGTCGGTCACGGCTTCAAAGTAGTCATGGTCTGTGTCAATCGGGGCGGCGCTCGGTAAAGCGATGCTCTCTCGTGGCGACATCGCCAGGGATGTGGCGTCTTGCGCCGTTGCGGCCGAGACCTTTCGGATCCAGTCGAGGCTGGGAAACGACGGCAAGAGGTATGTCGAAACGGGCCGCAGGCCGTCGTAGTTGTTGCGTCTTATCCTGAACATGTTCGGCTGTGTTCGGTGTGTTGGATAGTATCAGATCAAGCAGAAGAGAAAGATATTACAAAAGATACGAAACACAGCACGCGACCAAACAAACGAAGATTAAGGCTGAAGATCAATGGCGACAAACTCCAGGAGAAGAAATATTGAAATCGCAACGCAAGGCAAGCGTCAAGATGTGAAGACAAGAACGAAGCGTTGGGCGAAGATGTAACAAAGTGCGTGCAAAGTTGAGTTCAAAACAAGAATCACAAAGGCAGCAGATGGGACAATGAAGAGGCAGGAGACCCAAAAGAGAGAGAGAGAGCCGGTTGAGCGAGGTTAATATCACCAGACTGCAGACTGGGGCCGCGCCCAACGCACAAAGAAACTCGGTGTGCAGCAGGTAGCACCAAAATCAAAGTAGAGGAAGAATCGCACCAGCAACCTTCGGAGGGGTCGGAGAGCAGGTGATTGTCAGTGCAGTAAAGCGGAGACGAATGTATGAATGATCCCAGGCCTGAACCGGCAGAACGATCGTCAAAGAATGTTGTGAGGAGACTGACTCGGTCTTTATCCAGGTCAGGCCGAGATCAAAAGCTCGGAAACTCTGGAAAGTCTAGGAAGCCAGGGACGTTCGGATCTGTGTTCAGGGTCTCTTGAATAGAAGGGGAGGCAATATCGTTGGATGTCTTGAGTGGTTGGTTTTTGTGTGGCTTCTTGCCGCCCAACGTTGTTGTGTGCCGGCCTCTGCAGTAACTTGCAGTCACATCTCGTCCCGAGAAGGTGTCATAAAAGACCACGAGAGGCCAAAAGACCAAGAAAATCAGCCAGTTATGATGACAACAGCCGCCAGCGATGCAGGTGCGCAATGTCACCCGACGAAAAGGGAAAATTGGAGGTCGAAAGGAGAGAAAGAGGAGAGTGGAGTTGGAGAGGGATGACGAACGATGAATGGCAGTTGCGTGTTTCTGCCGCGTGCGGGAAGAGTGGGGCGGGTGGGGTACAAGATGGTGGGTGTGGCGGCGCTGTCATATGAAGTCACTCCTCGCTTGAGTAACGGCTAACTGTTATCGATAAGAGTCGAACGGCAAAAGAGGGGTCGCGCTAGTGTTTTGTGTGGTCTGCTGGACTACTGTGTGTACGGAGACGTCGGGCGGTGAAATGGCAGGGAATGGGGCATCGAAGACAACAAGGCCATGGAAGCCGACGATGAAGCTCCACGGCACGGTGGTATTTGTGAAGCAATGGGTAAACGAGTATAAGAGCAACAGGTAATTGGTTCTGCTGTGAGCCGACTCTCGTACGCGCGTTGGGCTTCAGAAACTATTGCATTGCCTCCTTCGAATCCGCACACAACTCCGTTGTAATACCCTGAATGGCAAGCGGTGAAACTCGCCTTGGCACTTGGCACTTGGAAACGTGCAAGGCGAGAGAGACCGTCTCACCGCCTTCTTTTGCATTGTGTTCCATACTGTTGTCGATGGCCCTCGTTATGATTTTAACGCCTTCTACTTGACACTCACACTTTATTTTCATGCTGTACAAACCACAAACGTTTGAGATCAGTCTGCAGCCCAATGGAAACCTCGTCGATGTCGTTCATGAACGGCCAAGACGCCCAAGACGACTTCTGGTGGACCAATCCGGACGGCGGCATGTGGACCACGTGACTACAAAGACCCACCCGGCACAATATCTGACAGTGTCTCGTTGGTCTGCGGCCAATCATGTGCGCGAGACACGGCCACAGGCCCACCAAAATGCAATTTATCATCCGCACTAGTCCGTTTCCATACATTTTCACACTGGGGGCTGTCCTCGCAACTTTTGCCTCCTTCTGGTCCTTTCCACTACTTATGGCCTCACCCGTCCGCTTTGTCTCACTTTGATTCACCTTTTCCAACATCACGACCTCATTCGACTTCCCGTACCAACCTGCAATACCAACCAGCAAGCGCAATCGCCTATCAACTCTCAACTCACCGTCCTCGTCAATCCACATCGACTGCTAGACGTTAACATTAGATAACCGTCTTTCCCAAACTCGTCTCCGCCGTTCCTCGTCTTGTCCCCTTTCACCGAACCTGTCTCTAGACCGTTTCCCATCGTGGATCCCAACCGACTATCATGGCGCAATTACAGTCCAATTTAAATAATAGTAGTAGTAGTCGCTATGGCGAGGGCGCCGTCCGCCAGGCCGACGTCCTTGCCAGCTGCTACGTGATTGATGCTGCGGCCACTCAGCTCAAGGGCCTCCACTACTGCACTACTCCTCTTGCCGGTACGTGTCTTTGTCTTTTTTGTCTTGTCCTCGCTTCGCTCGCTTTCTGGTCGTTCCTCAGCTAACACTATCAGGGGCAGAGTGGTATTCCTGAGGTCCCTTCCTCAGGACTGCCTTCGCCACCATCAAGCCCCCCCCTCGCTGCCATCTCCGCCACGAACGAGCTGACCGTGTTCCCCAAGAACAAGGCCAGCGCCCATACGACCAGCCGTGGCGGGCACGCTCGACCCAGCGGTCGAGGGGGGGCAACACTGCGGATCAGGGAAGAGTGTGAGAGACTCTTTTGCGAGACCATGAAGACTGTGTTTCTTGGTGAGAGGAACATGGCCAGTACTGGCTCCAGCCTGACGGGTGTTTATGGCGGTGTTCCTCCGTCTGCGTACCACAGCAGCAGCAGCAGCAGCAGCAACGGGGGAGCCGCCCACTACGACTACATCGACAATGTCCACAATGACGACGGCGACGACGACCGCACGCCGCCGGCCGAGGACGGCCCAGGCAGCCTGGGCCGCCGCCGCACCTCGTCCGTCTCCGAGGGCGGCCGCAGCTACAGCTTCGGCTCCAGCGTCGGGGCACGCAGCATTTCGACTGTGGCCTCGTCGGTCGATGGCGATGGCGACGGCGACGGCGATGTGGCCCCTCCGTATGCGGTGCCCGCGGCCTGGCTCGAGCTCTGGGACTTTGTCGGCTGCGGCAGTTTCCGCGGCTTTGTCGCCGAAGACCCGGCCGGCGCGACGTCCCTGTTTGCCTTTTTCGACGCGTCCGTGCTGAGCCGCGACCTCAAGCGCGCGCTCATGGCGCTCATCGAGCTCGCCGACACCGCGCTGCACTGCGCCCACCTCGTCATCTGCGTCGACCGCGGCGGTGCCGAGGCGCTCCCCGACGAGGCGGCGACGCTGCTCAAGGGCCTGCAATGGGCCGGGTTTTCGCTGACGACGCTGGACACGTGGACAGGCGGCGCGTGCGTGGACGTGACGAGTGCGCGGTGGATCTTCATGGGCATGGAGCTGTAGAGGATGACATCTCTCTGTGTGTCCCCGCGTTGCCTCCTGTCGTCAAGTTGTAGCAATTGGGATCGAAGCTTTTGTTCAATCGTTTATGTCTGTGTTTCAGTCACTAGTTTGTTCACCTGCGTCACGAAAGTTGCCTTTGAATTTCGCTTCTTTTTATAACGTCTCGTCTGAATCTCGTCTGTGCTTTCTGCGAATTCGTTTGCTTTTTTTTATTCCTGGATGTCGTCATAAATAGTACCGACTTTTAAAAGAATGTGACCTTTGTTCCCGACACTACATTTGTGGCTCGTTGAAATGCTCTATTTGATATTGACATGTCTATCACAGCTATGAAAATGCAAACCCGTAAACAACGCCGTCCTTTTGTAGTGACAATTTTCTTTTGCCATGAACGTTCCCCTACAACTCGCCTTCGAATTTCCGCACAACCAGACCCTTGTCGGCCAGGTAGTCCTTGACCTCCGTCACCGTGTACTCGCCGCGGTGGAAAATGCCCGCGCCCAGGGCGGCGTCCGTCGTCGTTTGCTCAAAGACCTCCTCAAAGTGGGCGGGCTGGCCGGCGCCGCTCGAAGCAATGACGGGAATGTGCACGGCCGCCTTGACCTGGCGGATCAGCTCGAGGTCGTAGCCGCTGTTGCTGCCGTCCTTGTCGATGCAGTTGAGCAGAATCTCGCCGCAGCCCATGGCCTCGACGGCCTGCGTGAGCTGGACGACGTCCAGGTCGCGCGTCTCGCGGCCGCCCTTGATGGTGCAGGCGTACCAGCAGTGGGTTTCGCCGCGGGGGCCGGGGAACGCGGTCGAGAGGGTGCTGTGCGCGGTCGACGCGGGGTCGGCCACGTAGACGCGTTTCGGGTCGACGCTGACCACGACGGCTTGGTTGCCGTAGGCACCGGCAATCTGCTCGATGGCGGTGGTGCCCGACAGCGTGCGGCCGGCCGCGTAGTAGGCCTCGGCGGCGAGGACGGCGTCGGAGCCAATGGACACCTTGTCGGCGCCAGACTTGAAGTACATGGTGGCAATGGCCAGAGCCGACACGTGGGTGCCGTCCGTGTCGACGGTGTCGCGGATGCCGCCGCCAATGGTCAGGGGCACAAACACGGTCTGGGAGGTGCGCCGCAGGATCTCGAGCATGGGCACGTCGGCCACGGGGCAGTCGCGGAAGCTCGTGATGTTGAGGAACGTGACCTCGTCGGCGCCCTGGGCGTAGTACCGCTCGGCCAGCTCGACGGGCTTGCCGAGGTTGCGCACGCCGCGCGCGTCGGACTTTTCCCGGACATCGTACTGGTCGCCCTTGGTCACCACCAGGTCGCCCTGGTCGTTGGTGCGCACGTCGAGGCAGGCGATGACGCGGCGGGTCAAGCCGGACGTGGGTGCGGCTGTGGGCGTGTCTGGCAACGACGGCACGGGCGACGCTGCCAACGCCTTGGCGCCGCTGCCGTCCAAAAACGCCCGGATCACCCGCAGACCCGCGACGCCGCTCTTTTCCGGGTGGAACTGTGTGGCCATCACGTTGCCGCGCGCCACGGCGCCCACAAACGTCTCGCCGCCGTACGTCGCCGTCGCCACGGACCAGCCGAGCGCCTCGAGCTCGCCTCGCGTGTAGGGGTACTTGTACGAGTGCACATAGTAGTACTTGGAGGCGGCGCGCACGCCGTAGAAGCCGCCGCCGCCGCCGCCGCCGCCGCCGTCCTGGGCCCGCGCGTCGTTCCAGCCAATATGCGGCACCGCCTTGTCGCTGTCGTCGAAGCGCGTCAGGTCGCCTGCAATCACGCCCAGACCACTGCAGCCCGGGTCCTCGCTCGAGCCGCGGAACAGCGCCTGCAGGCCCACGCAGATGCCCATAAACGGCTTGCCGTCGTCAATGTGCTTGCGGATGGCGGGCAGGTAGCCGGCCGCGGCCAGCTGGGAGAGGCAGTGGCCAAAGTGGCCGACACCCGGCAAGATCAGGCGCTCAGCATCGGCGACCTGGTCGGGGCGGGTGATCCATTCGACCTCGTAGCCGACCTTTTCAATGGCGTTGACGAGCGAGCGGACGTTGCCGGCGACGTAGTCGAGGAGGTGGACGGTCGGCATGGCGCGAGGCACAAGAAAAGCGAGGACTTAAGAAACAACAAGAGCGAGCGGAGAGAGTCCCGACAGCGAGCGTAGCGAGACACACAAAATAAGCGCACCGGGGTGTCGTATAAGTGAGGCCGAAGTCGAAACTGCAATTGCGGAGGGGAAATGCCTAGCAGAAGATTTCGGAGGAGTCAATGCGGTCGCAGCAACTCTGGTATATATAGAGGACCTCGGGCCTTGCCTGTGCGATGGTGGTGGCTGGTTGTTTGGCTATCGTGGGAGGGCGCACTGGAAAGAATGGTGACTCAACGACCTCTGCATCACTAAAGCAATGTCAACAGATTGCGTCCTGTCGTCGGCGATTGGTTTCTTTTTTTTTTTTTTGCTGGCGCGCGTTAGCACTGCTGCCCCACCACTGCCTCCCACTATCGGCGCTGTGACGTCCCGCCATAGCTCTGCCAATTCTGCCGTTCGTCTCCGCTAATTTTTATTTAGCTGTGTGGAATTTACGCTGTAAGTCGCACGCTGAAGCTCTGTCCTTCTGCAGTCGCGCGCGACGTCACAACGGCAAACTGGCAATTGTCGCGTGCAAAGGTCTCGTCTCAATGCATTCCCGTCAACAACACAATTGCGCCTACCAATACGATTCCCATGGCTGAACCAGCTGCTCCGGGCGTGCCAGCTGCAATGGCCGGCAACGACGACGACTCCTCCTCGTCCTGGGAGTACGAGTACTCGACCACCGAGACCGAGACACACCTCATCACACTGGACCTGTCCGTGCCCGAGTTTGTGCGGCAGCGCGACGACGTGATAGTGCACAACACGCGCGGCGGGTTCCGGTCGTGGCAGAACCCGCTGAATGTGGAGGAGGCACCGGCCCTGCGCGAGTTTGGAGGCGACGACAGCGACAATGCTGGCGGCGGCGACGGTGCCGGCGACTCGGATCGTAGCGACGGGGCACTGAGAAACACGTCCAGCAGGAACAAGAACAAGACGGCCAAAGCAGGCAAAAGCAGCCCTGCCACCAAGAATCCGACGCAACCAACACAGCCGCTGGCAGCCGACGAACCCGACGACACAGACATCCAGATCCTCGACCTACACACGCACGAACCCATTGTTGCCTACCGCGGGATGATCTTCAAAGGCACATGGAGCGAGACCATTGGCACGGAGATGCTGTTTGCCAAGACGGACGAGGGACACGAGGCAGACAATGCGCACGGCATCCAGGTGGTGGACAACGTCCGTCTGGTGGGCGCCTCGTCCGCACGCATCACCTGTGCACCCACCGAGATGGTTCCCAAGGCGAAAAAGGCGGACCATGCTGCTGCGACAGCGGACGCCTCCAGCGTGTCTACGGCCGCCCCCAAAAAGAGCCTCGGCTTCGTTATCCCCGTCGGCAACAACGCCTCCGTGCAGCGCCAGCAGCAGGCGTCCTTCCTCGAGCAGCTCATGGCTCTCAAGCACCGCCGCGGCGAGCAGGACGTCGTCACTGTTCAGGCCACCGAGACAAAGCAGAATGCCGTTCGGGGCGATGCGGCGGAGATCAAACGGCGCGCGCGGCGGGAGACGCAGCTGCAGGTGCACCAGGAGCGGCGGGCAAAGCGGTTGCGCGGCGGGCAAGGCGGAGCCGACGGCGACACCGAGGCCGGTGCGGCGGCCGGTGCTGCCGATGCTGGCCATGTCGACGCCGATGCCGACAATGTGGCCAGCCCACAGCCACAGTCGGCCCAACGACGACGTCGCGCGGCAGCACGCCGTGGCCGCAGCCGCGTGTCTGATTTCTCGCAGATTGCGCGGGTGGCGGGCGACGACGACCTGCTGGCGTTGTCTCAAAACGGACACGGAAGCCAGGGCGACGCGGAGGACGACGAAGCGTCGTTGAGCGAAGACGACGACGACGGCGAGTGAGCGTCCGTCTGCTGCTGGCAGTACCCCCTGTTACGATACGATGTACTATTATCAAGATGCTGTATGCCATGAATTATGACAGCGAAGGACTGTTTACCAAGGGCCCGTGTCCAACGTGACGGCAATGAAGCGGCGTAGGACAACGGCAGAGTGTTGTGGCTGATAGCTGGTGCATCGCAGTCAACTCTTCTCAAGCGTACAAAGTCAGTCCAGTCACGGACTTTGAGAGGGACCTCCTGCTTGAATGATGGCTACATGGTGCCCGTGCAAAAGGCCGCTCGCCAAAGAGCTGCCGCTTTAAGCGCACCGTGCTATGGTCGTTTCCGAACGGAGACGAGATGATATCGCAGCTATCACAGGGTGCTGCCAATGTCCATACAACCTGCAGCACCCACCTCCGACAGACGCGTCCTCGACCGCCTATGGTTCCACCCCGTGGTGGTCATTGTCGTTGGTATCGGTTCGTCTCGTTCGGGGGAGAATGTTGAGAAGGCCGCGAAAGTCGAGTGTCTACTTTATCGACATGCATGTGGTGCTGCAATGTTTCACTTGGATGGGACAGGCGATGTCGGCTCCTTTCCCTTTCTGTCACCCAATATATGGCCCAATACCTGCAGCACGGCATCGTGGCTGTTTCCGGGTTCCTGTTTGGTTCCTGGCGTAAGCCCTGCGCTCTGCACGTCTGGCGCACATGGCACATGGGCTGATGGGCCACAGGCGACACAGCAGCACATGGACCACTGGAATCTTGGAGCCCTGGAAGAGGCCAGGCGGGGCCAGGCTCTCTGGCCGTCTGCCCAGAGAGGCGCAAAGCAAACTAACGAAATAGTGGGCCCCTAGGCATTGCCGAAGCGGCAACGTCATGTGTGGGACCGATGTAGTGGTACTTGTGTCGGTATATCTTTTTCTATCAATTTAATGTACCTCTACTCTTTGTATCTGGGCGCAGGCACCTGCCACATCGTTCGTTGCCCAACACCGCCAAATCCGTATTCGTCACAGCGCTTAGTCCGACTTTCATTCTTTTCGTCTCTCATTCGTTTCCGTCGTCCTTTTCTTTCTGCACCACATCTTCTTCTTCTGTTTACACCTCTGTTTTTTCCTGCTGTTGACAGCAGACCTTCGACCTCTTTCCTCTGTCTGCGACGGAGACGTGCCAGCGCTACTCGACGTTGGACCAATTCCGCCTTTTCCCAGCCACCCAAATCTTCCTCCAAAACAACATCGACACTCCTCTCTGACATCTTTCCTCTGCCAATGCCTTGCGATTGTCGGATACGCCGGTCCGTCCTATTTTCCGTCTGCTCCTCTTCGACGACCGGCTGGCGATCGTAGCCGGCCTTCCGTGCCACGCTCCACCCACAATGTATCACGTCCGGCGGCTCACCATCACCGCCATCTCCATCGGCCTCGTCATCTTCATCTTCACCTACCTGCCCACCGTCCTCAACCCGACACCACCCTCGGCCGAGGAGAAACGCCGCGACAAGAAATGGATCGACTCCAGCCCCTACTGGCTTGATCGCCAGGCCTGCCGCTGGTTCAGTCTGTGTGGCGTGCACCACCTGCGCTGGGATGCTCCCGCCCTCGGCAACCACACCAACGAGCGCCACGACAACGACGACGATGGCCACGAGCTCGGCCTGGATCTGAAGTCTCTCGAGCTCCGCGAGCTGTTTGCCGTCAGTGACAGCTACAAGTGGCTGTCGCGCGAGTCGACGGGCGACGAGAGCTGGGAGATTGCGGGGCGTGCGAAGACCATTGCCGTCGCCACCTCGACATCAGAGAGCCCGGATACGCCGGACGAGCCGGCCGAGCCGGAGCCGTCCACCGACAGGGAAGGGCCGGCCATGGGCGAACTGCGGAAGCGGGCGGCCTCGCCGCCATCGACCCCGTTCAACGACCCCTACGCCATCCCGCAGTACGTCCTCGACCATGCGCCGCTCGTCCACCTCTTCTCCGGCGAGAACTTTTGGCCATCGCACATTGCCGAGCACGTGAAGCACATGATCCCCGCGACCAACGGCTCGGCCATCCGCGACCGCAAGACCGGCGACATCATCCGCCCCAACGGCTCGCACCCCTTGACGCTCGACAACCTCTACGAAACACTCAACCACTACCGCACGCGCGTGACCCTAACCAGCGAGGTCGACGTCGAGAGCCGTCCGGAGTGGCTGCACTCACACTACGGCATCCCCCTTCCGTTTGATGGCGACAACAACGACGGCAGCGACGGCAGCAACCCCCACACCAACCCCGACATCCGCAACGGCCATGACTACGAGCAGCCCGACCACAAGTTCTCGGACGATACCACCTGGTTTGCCGTCGACAAGGACCACCCGCTCAACCGTATTTCGGACCCGCGCAAGCTGCCCACGCCGCAAGAGGTCATGGCCATGCGCCAGGCCAAGGGCCCGCGCGAGGCTCTGACCCGTTTCAACGGTCCGCAGGAGGCACGCGTTCGCCAGCTGCTGCACGAGCGGGCGGCCGCTGCCGTGGCCGCCTCGACCGGGGCCCCGCGCCACCAGATTGTCGTCGGCGACGCGCCCCAGTCTGTCATGGGCGGCGACGGCTACGACGACACAGTTGACACGCCACAGGATCCCCCCGTCCGCGGTTACAAGCCTGACACGAGCGGCTATTCCGAGGCCCCCGCCATCCTCGTCATGGTCGACAAGGGCTCGGGCATTCTGGACGCCTTCTGGTTCTTCTTCTACAGCTACAATCTCGGCCAGACCGTCCTCAAGGTCCGCTACGGCAACCACGTCGGCGATTGGGAGCACTGCATGGTCCGCTTCGAGAACGGCGTGCCGCGTGCCCTCTACCTGAGCGAGCACGCCGGCGGCCAGGCGTACGCGTGGAGCGCCCTCGAAAAGTACAACAACGCGTCCTCCACCACCGGCATCCAGCGCCCCGTCATCTACTCGGCCGTCGGCAGCCACGCCATGTATGCGCTGCCCGGCACGCACCCGTACGTGCTGCCCTTTAAGATGCTGCGCGACGAGACCGACAAGGGCCCGCTCTGGGACCCGGCCCTGAACAACCTGGCCTACCACTACGACTACGTGCTGGACCGCGAGCAGGGCGACGCGGGCTCGCACGACCCCGAGAATGAGGAGGACGACGACGACGATGTCGTCGACGAGGACGGCCGCGCCTCAGCCTCCTCGTCCGCCTCAAAATCGTCCTTGAAAAAGAAAAAGGACAAGACGCCCGGCGGCCCGTGGGTCCCGCCGACCAGCCTGACCCCGGCCTCGACCAACCCGGACGCGCCCACCTCGTGGTTCCACTTCCGCGGCCTCTGGGGCGACGCCCTCTACGAGCTCGGCGACCCGCGCCAGTGGCGCCTCTTTGGCCAGTACCACTACACCGAGGGCCCCGCCGGCCCCAAGTTCAAGAACCTGGGCCGCGAAAAGGTGTGCCAGGCGGAGCGCTGCCGCATCCTGTACAGCCTCGACGCCGGCAAAAAGGCGTCGTGGTACAGTTAGGCGTGGCCGCCCCAGCCAGCCGTTGCTGTGTGCTTCTTTTGTTGTTACTTTGCTTGTGTACCATGTTTCTACGAACTGCATCGATTGGAGTTCCACGATACCCCATCTCTCCTTTTTCTCAATCTCTTTCCTTTATCATTTGTCTTTGCGACAAGGTCAACATAGACAGCTTTGTTAGACTTGTTGATGGATGTTTCTGCTGAGTCAAAATTGACAATGGCGTATCTGTATGTGTCTGATTTTGTGCTCTCCTTTGTCATTTCCTGTATATATCGGAGTGACGACATACAAGACGGCGAACAATAACCATAGAAATATACCACTTTGACTTATTCTGCTCGTTGGACAAGACTCGACGCACGACTGTGATTGATGGATCGTAGCAGCGACGCCCAGTTCATGGTGCCGTCGTGCGAGATGGACTCGTTGTATGTTCATGTTGGAGTTTTGAGAATTAAAATAACTCCACGACGAAATAAATTAACTTAAAAAATGCAAAAATGCAGTCTATACCTTTATAAATTGCCAGCCAAAAAGAAAAACGACAACAAAAAAAAATTACCCAATATTCCAGAAATATGAGAAAATAAACCAAAATGGACCACACGTGCCATCACACCCGGGTGATCTTAATGTCCAGGGTCGGCATCATCACGGTGTGCTCGTCAATCTGCACCCGGCTCTCGATGATGGACGCCACCACCTCGTACGTCCGCGTCGTTGCCGTGTTGATCGGCTGGCCCGCCGCCGCGGCGGCCGCCTGCGCGCTGCTGCCCACGGTCATGCGCAGCACATTGGTGCTCGCCGAGATCTGCGGCAGCTCGTTTTCCATGACGTACCAGCGCACGGGCTCGCCCTGCTGGCGCATGGAGAGCACAAACAGGAAGCGGCTGTCGAGCGCGTGCCGGTTGATGACGAGGCAGCGCGGGCCGTCGCGCTTGAGGCGGTAGTCGACGAGGACGCCAAAGGAGAGGTTGTCGCGGCCGTCGGGGCCCTGGCGGCTGGCGCACGAAAAGGCGACCACGTCGTTGCGCGACTCGGGCTGGCAAAAGATGCGCGTGCGCTCGTCCCACGACTGCGGCGGGAACGAGCTGAAGTAGATGTGGCGGTCGCCAAAGTAGGGAATGTGCATGCCGCGCGGGAAGAGGCGCGGGTGGTAGACGGCGCAGAGCTTCTGGTGGGCCGTGAGCGTAGCCGTGGCGGCGGCGACGGCCGCCGCCGACGTAGTGGGCACCGTCGGCTGCTGCTGCTGCTGCTGCTGTTGTTGTTGTTGGCCGTGGTGCGGCAGCAGGAGCTGGGCCGTCGACAGGCGGGGCGACTCGACGCTCCCGCCGGCGAGCACGGACGGTGCTGGCGGCAGCGTTGGTGACGAGGCCGACACCATCGACAGCGTCTCATTGCGCGCCGACCGGCCCGAGGCCGAGGCCGTGGGGACCGTGTTGGGGTGCATAATAATGTAAAACGAGTGGTTCTCGGTCGTGTTGGTGGACTTGAGCTTGCTTTTGGACAAGAACGCCAGCGACGGATTGGCATCGCGCAGGAAGAGGCCCGGCCCGACCTTCTTTAGTGAGATGCCAATCTCGGACGCCGCACCGCGCGCGAAGCCGACGCTCAGCACATAGCGGTATCGCGTGTACTGCACGGCCGTCGGCTTTCGGCGGGTCGACCCAGTCGTCCCGATGGGTGGGCTGCTGCTGCCACCGCTGACATTGCTGCCGCCTACCTCGGCGTCGACTCCGTACACAGGACTGCGGCTGTGACTGTGGCTGTGAGAATGGGCATGGCTGTGGCCATGTGTGCGGTGGTCGTCCATGTCCAGCGCCAGTGGCACCAGCACGAGATACGTGGAGATGCGCAGGCCTCGGTTGGTCACGGCAAACTCGCAGTCGTCGTTACGGAACTGCGACAGCTGGTGGCAGTGCTCAAATTCCGCAGGCGATGGAGCCAGCAGCGGCATGTATGGTTCCCGGCCAGCCGGTTGTGTGGCCGGCAGGGACGGCAGATCGTCGCCTGCCGCGTCGCCTGCAGGCATCCAGGCAAACAGCGTCAGGTCCGTGGTGCGCTTGATGATCTCCTCCTGCAGACGCTGGAAGGCGCGCCGGCCCTCGCCGTAGATCAGGGGCATGTAGACGTCAAACAGACCCAGCAAGCAGTAGGCCAGGTCCTCGACCTTTGTGGTGACACGCTGCGATGCCCATGCCATGCGTTGGGCTGTCGAGTAGCTGCTGAGGCGTTCTTCGCCGAGAATGGCCGGCACGGGGATGTGCGTAATGTCGGCCAGCAAGGGCGCCAAGTCGATCTTGGAGCCGATGGGTGACCAGCGGGCGTCGTAGAACTCGACCGTATGCGGTGCCAAGAGCTCCTGGAGGGTCCAGCCGCGCCTGAACCATGCACAGCGCCGGATCTGTTGGTAGACGTAGTCGCGGTGTGAGTGGCCGTCGTCGACATTGTTGCCGTCGTCATTGCCCGACGCGGCACGAGCGGACGGTGACGCATCGAGGTCGACCAGGTGCACAAAGCAGACTGCGGCGCACTGGTACCAGTTGAACATGGAGTTGATGGACTCGGTCAGCTCCGTGTTGTTGGTCTTGTCGATGCAGCACGTGTCGATCCAAGCCCACTCAAGGCCGCGCTGGAGTGCTAGTGTGCAGGTCGACGTGATTTTGGCGTAGCCCTTCTTGTCGGTCAGGTAGGGCGACGACATGTCTTGCAGGGTGACCTCTTGCTTGTCCTCCCATGTGTGCGACAGAATGGCGTACGGTGGGATGGTAGCAGAGTCAGGAAAGTCCTTGAACTTCAGCGATGCCGCGTGAAGGAGCCTCATTGTGAGGAGAGGGAGTCGGTGCTCCAGCAAGTGATTCTTGGTTGTGTTATCGAAGTGTATGTAGACCTGAGCGCAGACATCGCTGCAAGAGTGCCTATGCTTGAGAGTTGTGGACCGGCATCTACCAAAGATTCTGTTCGAAACACTCTTATCGATTACAAGAGATGCCGCCGGCGAAAGAGTGTCACGGTCGCCGAAGGCTGAAGAAAAGGTACGACAAGGGGAGATTGGAAATGGTCAAGTAGGAAAGTCGTCCCTTTAACTGATACGTGTCGTCGACGCGATGATGCCATGTGACCATCATCAAAGGCGTACACTGAGCGCCTTGCGGGAAACCTGCGCTTTCACACCCTTGTCGCCTTGTTGTCGTCTTTTACTGTTCGCTTACGCCGTGGTCAGGTGCAGCCCTACAGCAAAAGGCAGCCTATTCCTCATGTCTTGGAGTGACCTCAACTTCAAGGCGGGGAAGAGTCCAGGAGGCTCTGTCCGGGATTGTGGGAGGCCCGAGCTGCTGTGGAGCTGCATGCAGGACCTCTGCCAATAAACTGGAGGCCTGGCTTTTGATGTTCGGCACAGCCTCGCGACCCAGATAGTCAGCGCTTGCAAAACGCATTTCACCTTGAGAGAAAATGCAAATGCGAGCCATCCAATAAAACATGCGAGTCTCGTCGTGCTTGCGGCTGGGAACGTTGTGGAAAACGCGTCCTTGTGTAAGCGGAGTAAACAAGGTCGAGCTTGGCGATTCCTGGGCGTTTGTTAGCTTTCGGCGACTCCAGCGGGATGGATAGAACGGGCAGCAAAGACAGCCAACACAAGCCAATTCCGACGGGACAAAACGTTTGAATCACGCCCAAATACTTTGTCTAGAAAACGCTGCATCCGACCCGAAAGACGAGGTAGTTTTGGGAGGACATGAGACGGCGCCTAAACTCAACATCGTTGGCTAAGCAGCTGCGGCATCGAAAGAACTCTGCAGACGAACTTGGCCAAGTTGACTTTTCTGTGACCAAAGCAACACCACTGGATAGACAGGCGGAAGGCAACTGATAGAGAACTGGCAGGCAGCTACTGTACAAGCACGGCAGGCATTCATGCCTAAAGGTCTGCCTGGGTAGTTTCTTTGTGAATGGTTAACGGCCGCCTGGCATTGTTCATATTTTCGTTCGCCTTGACAGAATCTGGCCAGTAAATGGACGTAGAAGGCTGTATGGATATCTCGGGGAAGGTCCCTACAGCGGCGGCGGACGGCGACCACCTGCGAGCGGTGCAGCAAACGTAGCAAATGACATTGGTTGCCAGCTGCTTCGTGTGAGGAAGGATATGAAAGTCAAGATCCCCAGAGTCGAGAGGATAAGTTACGACGGAAACTAATCGCCTTCCCCTCAAGCCCTTGACTCTCTTTGTTGTGGCCATGTGGTGTTTAGCATATCCGATCTTGTTTGGATGTGAGCATATGTGTGTACATGTTTTGGCTTGGTCATGGTTGCATGTCCCTCCACGTTCGTGTCTTTTCCACTGAAGTAACGGCTCCGTTACAGTCAACGTCGGCCACCGCCTCGGGTTCTGTCTGGCAAGATGTTTGCCCGCGCAGCAGGAGGCCCCTTCCACGAGAGTCACACTGCTCCGAATCTGGCACTTGAACGACATGTCTTGGTAAGTGCACTTGATATACATATGTTGTCAAGTGCGACTACCTGAGGGCACTTTGCCGTTCTTTCCTCGTCGGTGTCTTCTTTTGTAAACTCCTTTTCGTTGAGTCCTTTCATTTTTACCATCACCAAATATCTTTCATGCTGTTGTGTCATTCGTGGCCCTGATATCAGCCATCTTTGGTGGTGCTGTTGGTAGCACATGCCCTTTTCATTTAGGAATCTTTTCTTCTTTTCTTCTCTTTTTCTTTTTTCTCTTTTTTTTTCTCCTTTTTCTTGTGTTTCCCATCCTTATCTACCTCTTTTCTTGGCTACCCTCCCATCATTATTTCTCCTCACCATTCTTTTCTCCTTTCTTTCCTGCTCCCAGAGACGCGGTACGACCGGGTGGCTGTGCAGGCTGCCGCGAGCAGGGACGGTGCGGCGATGGCAGCGTCCTCGGCATCGGCCGTCAGCGGCAGCAACGAGGCTCTCGGCGGTGCAGGTGACAAGGCGTCGGTGGCGCCAGAGGCTGTCCATGCGACGACACCCACGCCGCGATCTGGCTGCCCTGGTACCTGCACATCTTCCCACTGTCGAGTGGGCTGCCTTTGTCGTATCGTGGTCCGCTGCCTGTTTCCTTGTCGTCAACCTCACGCAGTCGCAGATGTTGGCAAGGCGGTGTGAAGCAATGGATGTAAGCATGGCTACAGCTTGTAGGTTTCGTCCCAAAAGAGACGTCTCCCCCGGATAGAAAACTATACAACCTCTGTCGATCTTGTCGGCTCCTTTCCATGTATCGTCACTTGGCTTCTCGTATTCTACGCAGTAATTCCAACGGCCGGCTTTCAGGGCCCGAGCCGGAATGCCGCTTGTTGGGAATGCCAGGGACCGACGTGACGTCTAGACCGAAGTGACATTTATTCAACATTTCTGACTATGTCAATACCGTTGGGGCAATCCAAGCCCCGTTTGCTTTCGTTATTCGTTTTTCGTGCTTATTGCTACTTTTTATGCTGGTGGACATGTGAAGGAAGACGAGTGGGAACGGCGCGACTTTCCGGTTTGGGTTAGGGGACAAAACAGTACCTCGGCGTGTGCCTGCCGCCTAAGCCCTTCCAGCACTGGTGTGGCCGTTTCATTGGCCCCATCTACGCTCCGTTGACTCCCATTGGCTGGAAGGGATCTTAACGGTCCCAATTCGAACGACATACGCGGAAGGCGCGATCCTGTCCCTTGGCTCGGGAGATGGGAACATTTTTTCTAAAAAAAAAAAAAAATACTAATAATCAAATATAAGGGATGCACGTCACCTACAAGCTCTCTGCGGCAAGTTATCCCTACGTCTTCGCCCACCATCGACAGTCCCGTTGCGACACCCCCACGCGCATGTCGCCGCCCTCTCTTGCGCAGTCACTCCTTACCAAGTGCAGCAGCACTCTGATTTGCTACATCCGCGCCGCGCCTCTCTGGATTGTCGTCATCCTCGGCCTCCTTGCCGGCGCCGTCCGCCATTTTTTGTTTCCTTCTCCTTCTCCTCCTCGACAACCACCGGCACCTCACCCTGCACCGGCACTGAGGGCCCGCGCCGCCGCCGCCGTGTCGAAGCAAGAATAGCGTTCCTGTCCGACCTCCCGCGCTCCCTCTGCGGCCTGCTTGCGCCCCTGCGCCGCCACCTCAACGCCGCCATGGCCTCCGCTGCGGGGTCGTCCCTCACCAACATGAACGTCGTCGTGCCCGTCTTCAGCCTGGCGGGTGCCGCGTCGGCCGCGTGGGCCGCGCGCGCGGTGCTCGCCCGCCACGACGGCGACGTCCGCGCGTGGGCGGTGCGCTTCCTGACGGGGCCGGGCCGCACATCGCGGCTGCTGCTGCTGCTGTTCATGGCGTTGAACCTCAAGTCGCTGCCGTTTGCGTGGACGGCGCGCATCTTTTGCGCGCTGATCCGGCACACGCTGTGGCCGCGCAAGCCGCTGCCGCTGCCCGCGCTGTTCCACTACAGCATCACGCGCTCGCGCACGTCGCTGCTGGAGACGGACTACAACTTCCACAAGTCCAACAGCACGTACTTTGCCGACCTCGACGCCAGCCGCACGCACCTCGTCATGTACCTGCTGGGCCCCGGCTTCGCGGCCGTCGGCCGCAACGCGTCGACCAAGATCGTGCGGTCGCCCGCGGACGGCGTGACACCCATGGCGGGCAGCCTCGGCGTCGGGCTGGGCGCCGTCTTCTGCAGCTTCCGCAAGGAGATTGCGCCGTACCAGCCGTACGAGATGTGGAGCCGCGTGCTGGCGTGGGACCGCAAGTGGCTGTACATTGTGACGCACTTTGTCGTCAAGGGCAAGGTGCGGCCAGCCAGCTGGGACGGCCGGAGCCGGCAGGGGGGCCCCACGGCACAGAAGGCGTGGACCGCCGCCGACGAGGCCAATCTGCAAAAGTACGTCATCGCGACGGCCGTTAGCAAGTACGTGTTCAAGCTCGGCCGGTTCACCGTGCACCCCTCGTACCTGATCGAGGCCAGCGGCCTGCTGCCGACGCGGCCCGGCGACGGCTGGCGCGGCGGCGGGCCCGAGGCCGTGGGCACCGTCGACGACGCCGACGAGGCCGAGCTCATGAGCGAATCGCCGACGCCGACGACGGACAGCGAGAGCGACGGCGAGACGTGGACGTGGAAGAATGTGGAGCGCGAGCGCCGCCGGGGCATGGCGCTGGCGGGCCAATTTGCCGCTCTGGACGACGCCGGTGCATTGTTTGATGGCGGCAAGAACGGCGCTCTGGGCATCTTTGGTCCCGGCTGAGGGAGTGGAGTGACAGGATGTTGTACAAGGTGTAGAAGGGGCTGTTTGGGTTTCTTGCTTTCCCAAATGGATGCATCATAGACAATGCATTTTTAGAGATTAGATGTTAGGCTGTATGTTTACAACTCTTGTATGATAATAGAACCATGGTTCAGTGATTAGAGCGGCATTGCTGCCACACATTAATTCAGAAAGTGTCGTGCATTGTTCAGCTATTTCTATTGTATGTTGTCCTCCCACTTCATGTTTCTCGAACGTCTATCCGATTAGTTCCCCCTATGTCGCTCTTCCTTCATGCTTCGACGTCAACGACAATGCGTGCGTACAATAAAATAAGGAGTGTCTATGGGTGTGTATATGTATCCGTGGGTATCAAAGGAGTGTAAGTGTATGGGTCCGCGTAACGAGTGTCCAGAGTGGGTATCAAATGAGTGTCGTGGGCCAACGCCAGCCAAGTACCGTACCATTCACCAAATATGAAAACATTACCAATCAGTGTGAAAAATCAAAATCAAAAATCAAAGCAAAACCAAAACGCCGCTTGCGTACAGAGTGGTCTCCCCCAACCCGTGTTCTACAGCATCATGGCCACCGCGGCAACGGCGGCACCGGCCACGGCCGCAACGGGAACATCGTGGACGACCGCGCCGGCCGTGGTCACCGAGGTCGGCGTCGAGGTGGTGGTCAGCGAGGGGATCAGGCTGGCGGTGGGGATGTTCGAAGCCTGGACGATCTGGACGGTCGTGGGGGTACCGCAGCCAGTGTCGGCACCGCGACGGGCCAGGTAGGCAGCGACGACCTCATCGGGAATCTCGGGCTCGGGGGCAGGCGCCGGGAAGGCGTCCGGCGCGGGCAAGGGCGCAGGAGCAGGAGCAGGGAACGGGGCGGGTGCAGGGAACGGGGCCGGCGCAGGAGCAGGGGCCGGAGCGGCGGCGCGCTTGAGCACGGGCAGACCGCGCTTGACGGCACCGCAGATCTTGTTGCTGAGGGCGTGGGCGTCCTTGGCCTGGGCGGGGCTGCACGACTTGTCGAGGCAGTTGTGGGTGAGGGCAATCAGCTGGTCGTACTTGGTGTCGGAGCACTGGCAGTGGTAGTCGTCGGTGTCGCAGCCGACGGCCACGGCGGCCTGGAAGATGCAGAGGTTGGCGCAGACGGGGATGCGGGCGGCATAGCCGTTGATGGTGTTGCTGCCGCCGTCGTCCTGGATGATGAGGGACTCGTCGATGGCGGCGGCCGTGCCAGCAAGAGCCAGCAGGAAGGAGGTGTACTTCATTGTGGAGGAGAGAAGTAGGTGAGGGAGATTGGGAGGCTCCAAACGAGTGATGAATGAGTCTATACGGACGAGAGCGAGAGTACGTCGTGGCGGCAGATGTGAGGTACAACAAGAGAGAGAGAGAACGAGGAACGAGAGAGGAGAAAGGAGAGAAGCAACAAGAAGCTATGCGTATACACCAGAGGAGGACCGGCTTGGTACTTAAAGATGGGCAGCCAAGCCCGAGACCGTCCACGCTCAAAGGAAGAGGCCGCTCCACATGGGACTGGGCGGGCTAGATTCCGGGACCAGACGAGAAAAAAGCTTCTGATAGAGGGGAAGCAGGCCTGGTCGTGCTCATCCTTGCTGTTTTGGTCAAGAGGACGACCGGACCACGGACTACGATGTGTGGACTTGTCTGCGAGGTCGACCTCTGAAGAGGAGAGGGAGTCTCGCCAGAGAAAAAGAGACGGGTGACGAGGTCGCCGCTTGCCAAGGGCCAGGATCGAGAGGCGGCGCTGCGATTGGTCACTGCTAGTGTAAGTCGTTGGCGTGGTTTTGTTTTTCGGTTTTTGTTTTTCGGTCGTCCGTTTTTCTTCTTTTCCTCTTCACTTTTCCTTGATTCCAGCTCTCGAGCACCTCCACAGCCTCCACGCCTCCACGGCCTCCACCACTCCCCGCCCCCGGACTAAGCGGAGCACCGCCAGATCGAGTCTGGCAGCTCCGGCCCTAGTTTTGTATCTGCTTTTTCTTCGTTTTCTTACAAGTGTTTTTCGTTTTTGAGCTTTTCAATTCCGTGTCTCTTGCGTCTTACGAAGCTTCAGAGAGTGCCTTTGATTCTGCTGTGGTTTTCCTTGCTCATTCTATCGCCTGCAACGGACCACTGCCCTCATCTGGCGCAATGATCGGCGTGGCCACCGGCAATGGCAAGTAGAAATTTGTCCAACCTACAGAGGAAATATACAGTGAAGAATGGTGGTGGTGGAGAGGTGCAACAACATTGTGGCGACGATGACGGCCGTGTGTCATGGAACAAGGAAGGCTTCTGTACGGATGTGGCACAGTCAACACCAAGACAGTGTAGAATTGGAAACGGCAGACAATATGGTGTCTTTCAGTGACTAGCAGTCCTGTTTCTTTTTTTGGTCTTTTCTTTATTCTTTTTCTTTTCTCACACGCTCGTCATCGTCATTTGTCGATTCCGCGATGGCCTCCTCCACCTTCTTCTCCGGCTTCGTCTTCCCACCTTCCCCTTCCCGCCTCTCCTTCCCCTCCTTTTCGGCTGTCGCATAGCTTCACATGTGAAACTGCAAACAGAGGCACGCCGTGCGCAGGACCTTTCTCGCGGCTCTTCCCATGACGAGCAAAAGGCAAAGGCGGCGTGCATTTCGCGCTACTGCAGCCAGCTTCTGCTCTACTGCAAGGCCATGCAGCCGGGGACAGCCGGGCTGTGGTGAATACGGGACACGAAAGGCAAGAAAGACAAGAAGGGCAAGCAGACAAAAGAGACGAGAAAAACAAATGGCAGAACACGAACGGCGTCAAATGGAGACAGTGTAGGTTGCGTAACTGGGCGACAATGTGCATCGAACTGTATTATTCTCTCACCAAAACGGAACGAGTTACGAGGGCAAACAGAGGAAACATGAAGTGGAAGAACCCATATCAGCCACCTTTTTCCAAATGCGTCTCGTTTCTTTACTTTTTTCTTTACTTTGTTCTTGTCTTTTGTCTTTTCTTGTTTCTTTCGACGTTTGTTCCTTGTCTTTCTATTGTCCTTTACGACGTCTTATCGTGAACTTGTCTCATTCCATTTTCCTCTTTTTCTTTGTCTTGGTGATCGGCGATCTCTCCGCATGCTGATCGGTGGACCTGCCTCTCCATCTCTTTCTCTCTCTTAACCTCATATCCTTTTATCGTGGTCCACATAGCACGGCCGAAAACGCAAGCTTCGGTGTCCCCTCGTCAGGGCTCGCTCGGAAACGAGCTCTGGTGGCAAGACAGGGTAAGACAAAGTCCTTCGAATGCCACCCCCCTGCTGCCCCTCTTCTGTAAATGTTGCGTCCTGGCCACTTTGCGTTTGTCCATGACAGAAGAAGCACATGCTTTTGCTTCTCGGCTGGGCCGGCCAATTGCACTACACTGTAACAAGTGTGGCGTTTTTAGGCTTTTTCGATCGTGTTGGGCTTCGCAACATACCCCTGCTTGAGTACCCGTTTGGCGGGAATCAAAACCAAGGCCAGTCTTGAAATGCCAAGGCAACGAGAACTGTCCCCCGCAAATGGCGCCCGGGGCTTGTCCAGAACTCTGGCTTTTTTTTGCAGCATCTGCGTCATGTGTCGTGTGCCGGTTGTCTTTCAAGCAGTACGAATAAGCGGATACACGATTTCAGTAAGAGGCGCCGTACGTTTCCGAGTTGGTCTCTCAAGCCATATACTTCTATTCAAATATACTCTTCCGAGGAGTTGTGTGGAAAGAGACACGAAGACGAACTGCAGCTGCACAATTCTTGCAGCTCCATTCTCGCAGCTACAGCTCTCCGGCTCTCCTGATTTACAGCGCCTCACACCACTTCTTTGCACCTTTAATGCAAGGCACCGTTCCCGGTGTGTAAAATGTGCGGCGGACGACAAAAGTGTGCCCGTATTTCCACCCACGGCCACGAATACGACATATTTTTGTAGGGTGTGGCTAGCATCTTGTAGGCGAGCGTATCTCACGCTCTCACTACCCAACAGCCAACCTCCGCTTTCGCCATGGGCTGACTGAAGCCCCTCTGCCTTTCCTGCCCACGCCATTGGCCCAGGACCAGCCAGCCTCTTCCCAGTTTTGCGCCTGGCCGAGCCAATCCCCTCGCAGCTTACCGCCTTTCTGTTGTGGTGCTCGGCAACGTGGTGACCAAGAGAGCCATGTGAAAGTCGAAGTCGCCATTCCAGTTCCCCCTCTTTGAGGACGGCAAAGTCTCGGTCGGCGCATTGCTATTCTGAACTCCTGGGTTGCGATGCACGATGCTTTCGTCATACAACATGAAATAGGAAAGGAAACAAAGTGCCTGGGCTATTCCCGGGAGCGGAGTAGAATAAAGCATAAATTCACCTCCGTCGTGTCTGTTCCGTATTTTCCATCCTCTGTCCTCTTGGCGTCGTCTTCAAAGTGGCTCAGCCCTGGGAGGAAGGCAGCATTCCAGTGTGAACCCAGCGGGAAGGTCCAGTGGGATCCCGTCAAACGAAAATCCGACTATCATCACTCGAAATCAACAAGATCAACATCCAGACAAACAGAGCCGCGATCGATCACCACGCTGGCCACTGGGCCCAGACTACCCGCCCTGCCGCCCATGTCTGAGTTTATTTGCGTTGAATGTCGCGGACAACACAACACAACAAAACACAACACAGCATCCATCCTGGCGGCCGTCTTTCCCTTTCCCCTGCCCGTACTCATCGTAAATCCACATCAAAACAAAGTGCAAACATAACTTGACAACACCCAAAACCGCCCAGTTTGGCAGGTCATTCAATGGTCTGCGGGGTGCGTGCCAAATTGTTACAACTGACTGCAATTGGTTAGGTTTGGCTGCTTTGACTCACTTGTAGCGCCCTTTGGTGTCCATTCGGGTGCCTTTTCTGGGGCGGCGCTTGGTTCCTGACCAAATGCTAATCTTAAATGTCGACGAGACCGTTGTTTAGACTGCTTTCACTGGTCCATGCTTCTCGGGTCGTTTTCTGTCGACTTGACGAGCACACGATCTCTTGGGAGGCACTGCAAAGACACTGCCATGGTACGGAGTAAGCCTTGTGAGCTTCCTTCTAAAACAACGCCCTCTCGCCCCTTTCTTCCCTGTTTCCTTGCTGCTCGGAAGCAAAACTCGGACTCGCAAAAGTCCGGAGGAGTGATATTACGTCGACACCTGTCACACACCAAGGAACTAGGACGTGACGGTGCTAGGACGGATGCCTCTTCGTGTTCGGCCTCTCGGGGCATGTCTCTGGCAAGATAATTTTAATTTCCCCAGACTCCAGACTGGGTAGGTCGCAACGAGCCAAAGAGGACCGTTTGCAAGCGTTGTTTGCAAGCGTTGTTTGCAAGCGATGCAGGGTTGTACGAAGCAGACGCGGGGAAGAGCACGACGTGGATGAAGATGGCACTGCCCGGCGGCTGGCGTCGACAGACCGTAGCCGTCGCCAGGGTCGCTGCGAGGAATGCAGAATTCATAAGTATGCTGGCGTTCCACCAGGTTGGACCACATCTGTTTTGTTCTTTACTCTTGTCGTGGACCAGACATCACCATCCCGTCTGACCTTTCACAACACACATATACATACACCACACAAAGGCACCATGGTAAGCCGCATCTCACCAGCCCGTGCAGGCGCGCTCGCCCTCGGCCTTGCTGCCGCGCTCTTTGCACCCCCGATCCTCGCCCAGGATGCGCCGCCCGCCTGCCCGGCTCCCCTGCCCGTCGGCCCTAGCGGCACCGCTTTCTACACACCGCCGGACTCGCTGCCCGACAGCGACCACGGCTCCATCGTCTGGTACCGCGGATACACCGACGGCGTCTCCGCCATTGCTGGCGGCACCAACATTTTGCTGCTGTACACCCAGGAGGGCGTCCACGGCAACACCGTGGCCACGTCGGGCTCCATTGTCATCCCCGACGGCGACGCGCCAGACGGCGGCTGGCCGGTCGTCACCTGGGCCCACGGCACCACCGGCATCGCCGACCAGTGCGCGCCCACCATCAACGACCCGCCCTCGGACGCCGACACGCGCGACAAGCTGCTGGGCGGCTGGGTCCGCAAAGGGTATGCGGTTGTGCGCACCGACTACGAGGGCCTGGGTACGCCCGGCGACCACCCGTACCTCATCGGGCCCTCCGAGGGCCGCGCCGTGCTCGACATGGTGCGCGCCGCGCGCCAGTTTGACGCGCGCATCAGCGCGCGCGTCGTCATCGCGGGTCACTCGCAGGGCGGGCACGCGGCGCTCTGGGCGGCGTCCCTGGCGCCCGCGTACACGCCCGAGCTCGACGTGCGCGCCACGATCGCCTTTGCGCCCGCCAACAGCCTCGAGTCCGAGGTCCCGCTGCTCAACGCCGTCGGCAACACCACCGCGCTCTCCGGCACCGTCGCCCTCATCGTGCGCGGCCTCAGCATCGCCAACGCCTCCCTCGACGTCGTCGACATCATGACCCCCGACGCCGCCGCCCTCTACCCGCAGACCCTCACCGTGTGCTCGGCCGCCCTCGACGATCCCACGTCCTTTGGCGGCCTCGGCGCCAACGACCTCGTCCAGGCCCACGCGCGCCTCACCGACGTCCTGGCCCAGCTCAAGGACAACGACCCGACCTACCTGACGGGCATCCCCCAGCCCGTCCTCGTCCTGCAGGGCTCCGCCGACACCACCGTCTTCCCCTTTACGACGGCCGCCATGGTCAAGAACCTGAAAGCCGGCGGCGTCGACATTGTCGAGCAGGTCTACACCGGCGCCACGCACATGACCGTCATTGACGCCGCCATGGCCAACGCCACCGACTACCTCGTCAGTGTGCTGAGCGCGTAGTTGTGTTTGATATGAAAATGGAGCGGTTTTGTTGCATGTTTTAAATGAATAATCTAATTTTTAATAAATTAACAAAATTCACTGGAACAAATGTATCTTGAAAAACTGCCATTTGTAAATTGAAAACTAAAAATTCGACGTACCATTAATATGTTTACTGTTGCAAACAAGCATTCCCGCTAGGCAGAAAAATGTGTATTTCGTAGACGAATAACACGAACAAACAACTGGAACCTGGTGGTACGGTGATGAGCCATCTCGAAAATGACTAAGCACTGCCTATGTCCCACTTTTTCAAGGTCACTGAAGCTTGGAGCTTCACCGCGTTTCAGGGGACATGTTATCGCGATACAGCATTCACGAATTTGCAACATCACATCGTTGTCGACACCTCGACCACACGACCCATGTGGTCTACACGCAATCGACCATGTCGCGAAGATCCGTGAAAGGAGAATACATTGAGACGGTAAGTTACCTGTCTCTTTCATAGCGAGCTGCCTCCCGCCTAACACTCCCCAGGACACCGGCAACAAAGTCTCCCGCAAGGCCACGCTCGTCGGCACGCAAAACATTATCCTCGGCGGCAAGAGCGTCATCCAGCAGGATGTCATGATCCGGGGCGATCTTGTACGGTCCCTGCCGGCCTCGGCGTCGGGCGGCAGTGGCGGCGGCAGTGGCGGTACCAGCAGCGGCAGCGCTGCGGCCGGCGGCAGCACGGCCATCTCCATTGGGCGCTACTGCTTCCTGAGCCGCGGCTGCTGCCTGCGGCCCCCCGGCCGCCTGTGGAAGGGCGTCTTCTCCCACATGCCCCTGCGCATGGGCGACCACGTCTTTGTCGGCCCCGGCACCACCGTCATGGCCGCCTCCATCGGCAGCCACGTCCACCTCGGCGCCAACGTCGTCGTCGGCGACTTTGCCATCATCAAGGACTACGTGCGCGTGCTCGACGGCACCGTCGTCCCGCCCAACATGGTCATTGCGAGCTTCAGCATCGTGGCCGGCCAGCCGGCGCGCGTCGTGGGGGAGCTGCCCGAGGGCGGCACGGAGGCCTTTGAGCTGCGGGAGCTGTACAAGACGGTGGGCAACAATCCACAGCTGATGCAAGCGTAGGTGGGGGTGGGCTGGTGTGGGAGAGGGCAACGACGGGATACGGAGAAACGGAAGCGGCACGCGTCGAGATACGACGGCAGAGCCACAAGGCTCTCGCCAACACACGAGCAAGACCGCTAGCATACACGGACACTGCATCGATAGAAACGAAAGATACCCATGCTCCTACATTCATTTCCCCGTCTGTGCACGCGCGCTCATGGGTGATTTTTGGAAGCCACGAAAACGGTCGCAACGTGACCATACCAGACAGGAAGGAAATCAATTTCTCCGAACGAATGTCGTTGGTGGAAACAGCTCGTGATTGATCAGACTCAACTTTGTCGTTTGTCGTCTGGCTGTCGGCAAGTATCAGTCTCTCGCGCGCACATGGCACTTTGGAAAGTTGGGAAGACGACTGACAAGCTTTAGATGGACAGCAAGGTGCAGTGACAGTTAACAAAATACGGAGTGCAAAGACGCACCAATCACAGCCACAGCCCGCCCGGAAAACATCCGCTTTGATTGATCTCCAGATTGCCGTCCAGATTAAGCCGCCTCCGTTGCCCAAAGCGTCTCCCATGCCAGCAGCTTACTCGCTCACGGCCACTTTATCCAGAGAGTGGTCCATATTAGCAGCATTAAGGAGGTCTCTGTTTTGCAGCTTTTGCGGTGTTATTGCAGTCAGCCTGGGTCTTGCCCCCTTGTCCATTCTTATTTCTTATCCTGTCTTGTCTTTTCTTGTCCTATTTATTTTTATCGCTTTTCGACTTGTCGCGTTCGCTGTGGAGCCTTGCCCCCATACCCACATCCCGTTCGGCATCTCCAGATGTCGGCAGTCGAGGATGGGCCTAGGAGAAATAATGGTAACCGAGTCTGGGGCAGCGGAAGCGACGTACAACGATGCCCTTTCGACGTCCAATGACGCCTGATTGATTCCGGGGACGACTTGTCGTCTGAACATCGCTTGCCGTTCGCAGAGGCTCATTTTGTTCTTTTAAGCCTGCGCGCTCCGCCCAGAGGTCCTTCATTTCGGCTTCCCTTCCTCTACTGTTCTTCTCTTGTTGTTCTTCCTTCATTGTCTCCACAGCCAGTCCTCGTTGTTTTGTTCGTCCTCTCCCATCACAAGGCAACTGTTCACATTCGCGATCGTATCCCTACATCGTCACCATGTTGAGAAACACTGCTCTCTTGGCCCTGGCGGCGATGGCCGAGGCCGCGCCCCAGTTCGGCGGTGGATTTGGTGGCTTCGGCGGCGGCGGCGGCGGCGGCGGTGGTGGCGGCACCACGATGCTGCGCTTCGGCTGCACGCAGACCGTCATCGACCGCCTCGACCCTCTCGTCAACCCCGGCCAGCTGCCCTCGCCCCATGTGCACCAGGTTGTCGGTGGCAACGCCTTCAACGCCACGATGCCCTCGACGGACATTTCCAAGCTGGCCACGTGCACGTCGTGCCAGTTCTCGGAAGACTTTAGCAACTACTGGACGGCCAACCTGTACTTCAAGGCGCGCAACGGCTCGCTGATCCGCGTCAAGCAGGGCGACGCCGCGCTGCAGTTCAACGACAAGTTCAGCAACCAGATCAACGGCGGCGTGCTGGTGTACTACGTCTCGGCGGCGCCCGGCAAGATCACGGCCTTCAAGCCCGGCTTCCGCATGCTCGTCGGTGACGCCGGCCGCAAGACGCCACTGCCCGCCAGCATGAAGATGCAAAACTGCTTCCGCTGCTACACGGGGCCCAACTTTGGCGGCGACACCGCGGCGCCCTGCGCCGGCGGCGCCATCGACTCGACCGAGTTCCCGCAGAAGAAGTGCTACGGCGTGCGCTCCAACATCCTCTTCCCCACCTGCTGGGACGGCAAGAACCTGGACACGCCCAACCACCAGGACCACGTGGCGTACCCGACGTCCGGCCCCGCGTCGTTCCTCAGCCTCGGCGGCAGCTGCCCGTCCACGCACCCCGTGCGCATCCCCCAGATCATGCTCGAGGTCGTCTGGAAGACGGACGAGTTCAACGACCAGAGCATCTGGCCCGCCGACGGCAAGCCGTTTGTCTTCTCCGACGGCGACAAGATGGGCTACGCGCAGCACGCCGACTACGTCTTTGGCTGGAAGGACGACTCGCTGCAAAAGGCCATGGACACGGGCGGCTGCATGGGCGCGCGCTGCGGCTCGCTCAAGTACCAGACGATTGACCAGGCGAAGGCGTGCACGGTGAAGAACATGGTCAAGGAGAACGTCGACGGCTGGATCTCGGGGCTGCCGGGCGACGACAGCATGAGCATGAAGAACTAAGCGTCCGTCGGGCATAGGGAAAGATGGTTGAAGCGAGTCTTGGGTCGTTGTCTGGTTTGCTTGCCTGGTCTGTTTAGTTGGTCTGACTACGTGATAGGCCCTCTTGTACCTGCTGTTGTTACTGTCGTGCATTTTGCAGAGCTACTAGAAGACGGCGGTGGACCTCCATTTTGTAATTACTGTGAGACGTTGTTGTCTTCTCTCAAGGCACACACGTCTCGCCGTGCTTGTCTACCGTAGTTCAGAGATGTCTGTCTTCAACATTCGTTTTAGTTTCTTTTCTCGTCAATTTAATTATCACAATATGGTCACTTGCATGTTGACATGTGAATTTGGGAGATAGTGGCTTGCGCAAAATCAATTGTTGTCAATCGAGCAAAACAACAAAACAAAAGCGCGACAAAACATTGGCACTCACCGGTTCACTTGGCCCGCGGCCGTGGACAGAGGGACGTTCTTCCTCACGACTTCGGTCAAAGCCGCTACGACTCCCGGCCGCTTGGCCAACTCAAAATATGGCAGCAACAAGTCTGTCATCGTATGGGGGCACTCGCCTGCCAAGTTATCGACGGCCACGCCGACCAGCGGCGCATACACTCGTGAAATGTCTGTCCACAGTTGGCAGAGAAAGGAAGTACTGTGAAGATCCTGGTCGTCCACACCACGGGCCGCCTGCAGACTCGCAATGTATTGAAAAATGGACATGCCGTTGGCAATGGCAGTGTGTGTCAACGGGCAGCCTTGCAACTCTGCCGGCGCTTGCCAGTGGAACAGGGCGTGTCTTTGCGCCCCTGCAAAAATGTTGTCCTCAGTCCACACCGCTCGCAGATACGCCATATCACCGCCCAGCGCCTCGAAGCGGTACCCGACCGCCTGCAGCCGCCGACCTAGCGCCTGCATGTGCTGGTACATCCGGTGGCGCAGGTCGGCGCCGCCCATCTCCGTCAAGGTCACGGCGCCTGTGCCCACCAGATGCACCAGAAACTCGAGCGCCACGCGCTGGTTCTGCTGGTCCACACTGACCACGCCGTATTCACGCTCGCACTGCGTCGTGAGACGCGCCACATCCAGCAGCAGGAGAAGCCGCGCAAAGATGCTGTTCTCTGGCGCGCCGGCCGAGTAGCCGTAGAGTGCGCCGATGCAGCAGTTGTCGGTGATGGCGAGCGAGAAGGACATGATGGTGGGAAAAACTGCCCGTGTTTGTGTCCAGTGTTTGTGTGTGAGAAGAAACGGAAAAGAAAAGTTCACTACGAAAGCAATTTATTTAAATAGACATGATGCTGTTCCTGGTCATTGTTCTTCTCGTTGTTGACATTTGTTCACGTTATGTTTGGATGTTGTTTCATCTGATACGGTGTAGTGGCTTTAGTGGAGAGAGACCGCTGCAACTTTGATTTTCAGTGCATTGTCACTCCGTACTGAACTGCCCTTTTGTTATCAAAACAAAGAATCTGGTCAACCAGACAAAGCGGCCGTTTACGTCCACCCCGCTCTTTTCTACAACTGTCACGGACAAAATAAAGCGAAATATGGACTGAATTTGTATGTACTGGGAAAAACTAACAAAACAGTTGAATTTTGGCACGACGAGAATGTCACATAACCACACCACAAAGCTCACCACAAAGCTCACCACAAAGCTCACCAAACACCAAACAACCTCACTCCCCGTTCTCTTGACCCCTTCATGCCAGCAGCTTCTGGATAAACGCCGCGGCCTTTTGGCCGTAAATGCTGACGTACTGCTGGTGATGATTGGCGTCGTTGCCGTTGCAGCTGGTCGGTTAGCAACAAAGTCTGGACACAATAATTAGCATGGCCGGGTTCAACCTACCAGTACGGATCTTGCGAGTCGCAGTACGACTGGATGATTGACGGGCTGCCCGGCGAGCACTGGAACCCGCTCTGCCGCGCTGCGAAGCCGTGGTTCGTGCACGTGCCCACATTGTACGGCAGGCCGGCCGTGTTGTGCGGGTCGCCCATGAAAATCGCCGCCTTGACGGCCTTGAGCGCCGCGCCCGTCAGCGTCGCGCCGGCGCCGCCGCACAGCGCATTGTCCATGATCTGGCCGCCCTGTGAGTAGCCGATGAGCACAATCTTGGTGTCCGGGCACTGCGTGTTGAGGGACGTCACCGCCTTGACGACGGCCGCCGTGCCCTGCGACGCCGAGCTGTCGTAGCTGGCGCCGCCGCAGCTGCTCTGGCCACCGCAGGCCGGGTAGACAATGGCCTCGGACGTGGCGCCGCTGTTGGCCCGGACGACCATGTCGACGAGGCCCTTGGAGGTGCCGTAGCCGGCGGGCGCTGTGGTCTCGCGGGCGGCGAAGATGTGGACAGGCGGGCAGGCGAGGGGCGAGGCACCGGCCAGGCCGGCAGCCAGGACGGGCAGGGCAGCGGTGAGCTTCATGTTGGTGGTGTGTGGTGGGTGATGCGTGAGAACGGTGATGAGTGAGTTGTGATTGCTGGCTGGTGGTAGAGATGCCTTGGACGATGGATGATGAGTGATTACGAAAAAAAGACGTCAAGGAAAGAGTGACGTGACTGACGCATTTATACGACAAACGATGATTCTTGCAGCAATTGCACTAAGCATGACTTTTCTCAATCTGTCCAGGTCGAATCATGCCGATCGGGGGGCTGCGGTGCCCATTACTCGCCAACCCCTTTGAGATGATCAATATCAAACGATGGAACCAGGGAAGCTTTTCCCGAGCGGTCCGTATTGGAGATAAAAATACGACATAGGACAAAAGGAGATCTTGTGGTTGGCATGAAATTAGGAGCATATATCATTCATGGACGTAAGGAAGGCAGGATGAGCCGTGAGAAGGTCTGTGTTTTGTTTTCTGGAAGTCAGTATAATTTATGGATTTTCTCCGCGGGACGTTGCACTGTATCCATTTTTGGACTTGCGTCCATCTTGGCCAAAAGGAGAAGTATGGAGAATGAACAGACAATATGTGTTACCTACATTGAAAGAATGAAAAGTATGGGGTAGATATTTGGTAGATATTTAGTAGATATTTGGTACTTTTACGAATAAAGCTTTGGTAACGCCTCCAGGCGATATTGAGAGTCATGGGGCCTCAGATCTCCAACCTGACGCAGCCTTGACCTTATCATCTATTCCCATTTCAGCTGCTCAAATATGCAGATATCCTTGCTACCGTCATTACTCTACGCCACGTTCGTCACTTTTACTCCATTGGGCGATCGCCCCCGAGATCTTCTTCTCCCCCGCCGGCTGAACGTCGTACATCTCGGAACTTTATTGCAATCCACACGGATAAAAGGCAAAATGCCGTGGGCCGTTGTGGATTGCTTTGGCTCATGGCTAAGTTGAAAATAGACAAAAAAAAAAAAACGTAAACAAAAGCAAACAACGGAACGTGATGCTCCAGATCGTAGATCGGCCGGGAGTCAGGTTGCGGGGTGCAGAGTACAGGGTGCTATCAAGCCCAAGCCGGATAAAAGGGGTAAATACGGTACGTGAGATTAGATCGGATGTACGACAGATGCTGTAGTTTATCTAAGCGCATCCTCACTGTAATTCCATGTGGTCCGTTCTTTCAAAATGCTATTTTCTTACTATGTCGAGTCATTCGTATTGCTTTTATTCTCGTCATCTGGTCACCAGTGCATATTGAATAAGTTTGGCGTTTTGTATTGAGCGAACAAAAAGAGATTTTAAATAAAAAATTATCGACGAAATTTACACAAAAAGACGAAGACAGGAAATGTCCGAATTAAAGGGCCTCGGTTGTAAATAATCATGGATTGAAGTAAAAGAGTAGAAACCAATTATGAAGACGAGACAATAGTCATCCATTTCTGCAATCTTGTATGGCAAACAGCCGTGTCGTAAAAAAAAAGAATGAAGCGTGCTTATAAGCACAAAAATGCGACCTCCGGGAGTCGAACCCGAACCTTCGGTATGGAAAACCGAAATCCTAGCCGTTAGACCAAGGACGCTAGCGTCTGAATTGTCAATTCGACCAGAAAGCACGCTTATGTAGGACGGTCTGTAGCCCAGCGATGTCACACTACTAACAACCACTAACACCCCAATTGGGAAGTCGCAGTCCAATGACAGCACATCAGCAACGCCGTATGTCGACAAGATGCGTTTCCCGGTTTGCATTTGGTAAATGCCCGATGGTCATTTAGTCCGCATGGGATATTCTCCTACAGAGACATCCCGAAAACGTGTCGAGCTGCGACAGTATCCTTGCCGTGCACCGCAGCCGTGCAATTTACTGAGCTGTCGGCTTTTGTGATGTCCGATTTACCCACTGAATTGACAAAGGCACAAAACAGGATGCCAGAAAAACCAGCCAACAGAGGCAAAATGAGAATCAAATGAGAACAAAATGAGGGGTTGGTGTCACGGACTTTACGTTTATCCACGATCTGTCTTCCTACTGTCGTCTGCCAACAGAGGGTATATCTGGTGCAAGCGATGCCTTTGACGGATGCTCACGTTTGCAAGTGCATCTCTTTGTAGTCTGTAGACCTTCAACAAACAGGATCAACGAATCGTTGCTATTGATCGTCACAAAACACTGCAGAAATGGTCTCCTTTCACCTCCTGGGCCTCACACTGGCCGCCTTGGCCGGCCAGGCTGTAGCCGACTGCTCCCGCGACACGCTGCAGGCCGCCGCCGATGCCTACCTCGCCGCGCAGGAGGCCGGCGCGATTGCCGGCAGCGCCTTTCAGAAGCTGCTGGACCCGGCCGTGACCTACCGCCAGAACAACAAGGCCTCCAGCGCGAGTGCCGGCATCTGGAGCAAGGCCCTGAAGCTCGACCACAACCGCACGACGCTCGACACGACGCAGTGCGCCTCGTACACGGAGCTCGTGTCGACGGCTGGTCCCTACGTCGTCGGCGTGCAGCTGCGGCACGCGTCGGCCACCGACGCGGCGTCGCCCATCAACTCGGTGGATGCCATCGTGGCCACGACGGGCGACTGGGCGTTCAACGCGGCCAAGACGCTCAGCTA